CGGGGTCATGAGAGGTCAAGTAAGAGGTCAATAGACTTGTACTCGTCTCTCTTTTCTAATCAGTCTGACCACTCAAAGAAATTACACAGCTTGTTATGTCCCCCCTTTCACACAACATTCATACGCTGATGGCAGAGGACGATATTGTAATAGACTGATTCCAGTCACGCACATTTGCACACTGTTGACAATGTCAGTCAGAGCATTTTAGGATTCATTGTCATGCTCAAAGACACGGGACCTGAGATTGAACTGTAAACCTTGTGATTGGTTCAAATTCACTTTTATTCAGGTGTATTCACCTGGTTGGAACAAAATAAAAATACCATAAAGTTCTTTTTGTTGTAAAGACTGTCACGTTCTGAAGTTAACCAAAAAGGGAAAGGAGCCAAATTGCAGATCAAAAAAGAGGATTTATTTTAAAAGGAACTAAAAGAAGAAGCAACAAAAACTTACTTTCAAAATAGTCCAATCAAAAGAAATCCCCCAGTCAAAAACACAATGTGCCAAATTCAAGGAACAAAAAATAACGAGGGGGAAAAAAAACCACAAGTAGACACTGGAGTCACACAGAGGCATAGACATACATTCACACATTCACAATGAACCAACAAAGAAACGGGGGAAGACAAGGACTATATACACACAGGGAAACAAGCAATGAGAGGCAGGTGAGACACTGAGACACAGGTGCAGACAATTAAAGAGGAGGGAAAACTGAGGAAGTAAAACGAGACTAGAAACACAGGGAATAAACTACTACAAAATAAAACAGGAAATGCTGAAAACTGATAATGAATAAAACACTAAGAACATGAGGAAACTGGGGTCAGACACAAACTGAAAACTCACAAGACAGGACTAGAGGGGAACAGGAACAGAAACACTTGGGAAAATCACAAAGAAAATACACTCAAAAGGAAAACTAAGTACCAGAACATATATCATGACAAACATGTCTTTTAACCTACACTAGGCTCTGCTAATGTCTGTTACATTGCAAAACAAATAATCTATTTATCTATTGAAAGTTATTTGCATTTATTATCTTGCACCACCCTGCACTTTTGCACGTTTATTTTTATAGTTTGAAATTGTCTTTTTTTTTTTTTTTTTTTTACTTTGTTCTATCTCAGGTTCTTTGAAAGGGTGGTTATTAAAACTCTCTCTGTCCCTGACTCACAGTCTTTTCTTCTCAATTTATGTACAAGTGACAGTAGCGACAGGTGATGAAAAAGAATGATAAAGAAATAGTCTTCTCGCCAATGATCTTGTTTGCTTTAGAGGTCAAATGAGGCGTCATTTTATCACCAGTATTCCCATTTAGATCAAATGTTTTTTTTTTAAAAGAAGTCCTTGTGAAGGCTACAGCTTTTAAGTGTTTCAGACTGAAGAACAACCAATAGATTTACACACATTCTTATCATCACCAAAACAAAATTCACAGGATAAATATTCTGTAACCTTTATTTTATTATCTTCCATGCTCATAAAATTATAGTCCGACAGCTGGTGTTGTGGTTACTCTGTAAAAAAAAAGGTGCAAAAACACTCCAGTAAAAAAATGAAATAAATAAATAAACACGTTATTCTCACTTCAGTTAAAATTTATACTTGTGATATTTGGGAATCATCGATCAGATATAAAATCCTCCTTTCACTGAAAATACCAAGCCTGAGTCTGATACTGTGGCTCACACCAGTTGGAAAATCTCATTACATGATTGTTAACAAATCAATAACTGTGCCACACTGAGCTCTCCTGCACAAGGCCGGTTTACCTTCACAGCACACTGCCCTGGATGTGTTTCAGTTGGCAGGAGAGCTGGAAGCACCAAGTCAGTGCCTCCTTTGTAAACGATTGTTCAAGCTCAATTGGTACTCCTGCTACACCGCTTTGTCGGGGAGATCAGGCAGAAGAATAACAGACACTCGGAGGCAGAGAGAGCCCCATTGTGGCCACTCAGGACCCAAAGTGAGATGACATTGTGGTCATTCGGTGGCTGGTGTCAAAGGCCATTGTGGCTCCTGACATGCCACAGCGGAGGTGCAGAGTTGCTGAGTGAAATCGATCCGAGCGAGACAAAGATCACCGTTTTGTGTAGCTGTGTGAAAGTGTGGGTTTTGTATACCTTGTTTATGAATGCGGTTAGTGCTGTGTGATGTTTTTGTTTGTTAACATTTAGCAAGCCCAGGCCTTTCACACCCGTGGGATCAGCAGTTTGCTCCCTCAGGAGAGAGACGGACAGACTGAGAGAGGTGAATCATGTGGACACCCCCTCCATTATGCCACCATTGTGCCCATGTGGCTGCATCAATGGTGCTAAAACAGATGCTTCTGGAAATGGTAAAGTGCTGTGTAAGACACTTTGAGATAAAGGTTCAATTAACCTGTATGCCGCGTGTAGAAGAAAGGGGACAATAAGCTTAAAAAGAGCCGTTATGTGACCTCCAGCGTGTGTCAGCAGCATCTAGAAAATATTGCACAAAGACGAGAGATGATGACTTTTTCAACACAGAGGAAAGCAGTCCATCCCATCAATACAGTGTGTTTGTATCAGTGTGTGTCGCTGTTTTTGTGTGTGTGTGTGTCATGAGTCCTGTAACTGCCGGCCACAGTTTGAGTTTGGTTGCCTAGGACTTGTATGCACGCTGAGGTAGGAGCAAGTCTGGGCAGATCACTTTGTTCCCTTCACAGGACAATGGCTGCCTCAGATGCTTGGCTGAGCAGGAGTCTAGAGGATTCCGTGAGAGAGAAGGAACCTCTTGCACCCCCTCTGTGCTCTGACATTTAAGCATTTGCCAAGTTCAAAGTGCAAACACAGCAAATAACTTATTTTTGTTTGTTTTCTTTTTCAGCAATGCTAATGCAGATTTATTTCCCCTGTATGTCAAGGATTAGGTTTAAAGGGATATTCCAGCATAAAATTAATCTAGGGTCAAACACACCATAACACCGAGTTAGACACCCCCTCGAGAGATGAATGTTGCTGACCGCTTGCTTCTCTAGTTATACCAACTTTAGTTACGACCGCAGGATAGCAACACACAGCGGTCTAAGGAGCCACACACAAACCTCAACCAAAACACCACTCTATAGCCACAAACAATGCTCAGAACAGCACCTAACTTCATCAACAGTACATATAGGGTCCCAGCCATAGTACTAGCCACCAAACATATTTTTAACTTTCCCTAATTTCTTTAACAAAGAGACTAAACACAACTCACCTACTCTCTTCCAGCAGCCGCTAGTTTGTAGCGAGACCTCGGGCCAGTCCATTACGGATTGCAGAGGGGTGACGCAGCTCAAGGAAGAACATTTATGATCATTTCTTCATTGAAATGAGATTCAACTGAGACTATAACGGTCAAAACCGACAGAGTCCGGAACGGCTCCGCTCTGCTCTGGCAGGGCTGGCAGATCAAATCCGCAAGCATTTTGATCAATGTGAGTCATTCCACAGAATCCATCCAGCGACCAGCTTCACTGCGGATCCGCTCTGGCAGCTGGATCAGATAGGCAAGGCTTCTATTTTTGCCGGACGCCGGAGCACAACGCATCAATTCAGTGCAGCGCAGCAGCGGAAGTTTTATGCGGTTTATGCTGGTTAATTTTCAAAATATAAAAAAGTCAATATATTGAACTGTTCTTAACTTGATAATAGAAAAGGCCAGGGTTGTGGGGTGTGGGTGTTTATATACACCGCCGTTTATATACACTAAACGGCGGATCTTATGCTATGACTCGCGGGGAAACACGCGAGAGCTCGTGAGATCTCGTCCAGTCTCGCGAGAAATATCTCGCGGAAATCTCGCGAGCGCATCTCCTCCGATGGCGGCGGCGGCTCGGATCCGGTGGGCGCTTTATGCCTGCGGATCTGATCCGCCTGCCGGTCCGGAGCGGAGCGGAGCCGTTCCGGATCGAGTGGATTTAGCCAGAAAGGTAGAAGAGCTACCGCGTCTGCTGTGCAAAATGATAAATATGGTGATTGTCACTTTTAGGAAATGATAAAGTAATGATCATAAATGTTGTTTCTTGAGCTGCGTCACCCCACAGCAGTCTTTAATGGACTAGTCCGAGGTCTCGCTACAAACAAGCAGCTGCTGGAAGAGACTGGGTGAGTTGTGTTTAGTCTCTTTTCTGTTTGGTGGCTAGTGCTGTGGCTAGTACTCTATGTACTGTTGATGAAGTTAGGTGCTGTTCTGAGCATTATTTGTGGCTATGGAGTGGCATTTTGGTTGAGTTTTGTTTATGGCTCCTCAGACCGCTGTGTATTGCTATCTTGCGGTCATTACTAAAGTTGGTTCAACTAGATAAGCAAGCGGTCTGCAACATTTATCTCTCGAGGGGGTGTCTAACTCGGTGTTAGGGTGTGTTGTTTGACCCTGAGTTAATTTTATGCCAAAATATCCCTTTAAGCCTAAACAAAAAGTCCTCATTTTAACTTTTGAGGTGTGTGACACAGACAAGGCGCACACATACTAGAAGACTGACCGGTGGCAACACTCTCAACAATGGCTGTATGCAGCATCCACCCTGGGTGGTGACCTACTGTACAACACAATGGTGTTTTTTCAAGACTAAAACGTCCACCCAAATAGTTTCAGTCAGACTAAATAGGATGGGTTTAAACAGTCTTTGTTTTCATAAAAACAAAGCTGTATGAACACTTTGAATTAAGCGCTTGGTGAATTGTCATGCAACCTTGCAGAAACAGGCAGGTTGAACAGGTGGACGTGATGATTCAGCAGTGTGACTGACTGATCAAGGAGGACCGGCTATACATCTCCCTAAAGTTTTGCATTATCTTAAACATAACACATGGTTTTTGTGCTCTAAAGAAGTACTGAATACTGATATCGATCTCTATCGTCCACGGATGAATTAACCTTTATACGGCCCCCCACAACCCAAACATGAAAAGATGGAGACTGCAGAGTCCATAAGAGGGTATTTGAGAGTTGATGGGAAAAGAAGAGCCGTGTTTTTTCGCCACATCCCCTCTGGGTTAAGCTGTACGCTCTACCTTCCTTACTCTTGTATTTTGATCAGGCAAGAGAGAAAGAGGAGAAAGAGAAAACTGAGGGAGGACTCTGATGAAGCCTTTAGCCATGACTGGCAAAGTTAAGGCAAAACTCCCTTCTGTTTGGTTGGACTGCATGCTCTACCTCTTCTTGCTTTCCTTCTGTCATGAGAGAAGAGAGGAGGTGATAAGATGGAGAGGAAACAGAAAAAGTGGGAAACAGAGCAGGAGTGAGAGGCATATTTTGGCTGAACTCACCCATACTGGTTCACACTGTGCACTTGACCTAACTTTATTCCCCCATTTTCATGAGCACAGGCAGAGACAAAGAGACGTGCAGTTCCCTACTAATTTGTTTCAGCCCTGACTCCTGTCTCCTTGAAATTTAGAACCCAATAATACATTGAATCAGGGCATTTTCTTATGAAATATAATTTTATCTAAAATCAAAAAAGATTGAAGCTCAAATTGCGCAGATAGACAGTAACAAAAGTTGCAGAATCTACTGTAGTTTACAAAATAGGGGAGAGTGGGGTAACATTTTTTCACTCTTGAAAGTGAATTTAGTCTATCATAAGTTTTATTATAGTTGTGTTCAGACCAAAAAAGATCATTTTAAATTTGTTTTATACATGAATGGTGTTTTCTATGAGCTACAACAAGGTCAAAAACTTAGCATAAAAGTCCAGTCCTCAAGGCCCACTGTCCTGCATGTTTTGGATGTTTCCCTGCTCCAACACACCTGATTCAAATGATTAGCTCGTTATCAAGCCATTCCAGAGCTTGATAACGAGCTGATCATTTGAATCAGGTGTGTTGGAGCAGGGAAACATCCAAAACATGCAGGGCAGTGGGCCTCGAGGACTGGACTTGAGAACCACTGGCTTAGAGGACTAATAAAGTCATAATAGTAGTTCTTGGGTAAGTTGAGTCATTTCGCCTAACTGAGAAAGTAAAGAAGTCTGATGAGAGGATCAGAGTTTCAGTTCAGATTGTTGAAATGTGTTACTTTTTCTTTTCAAAAATACAGCTGTGAATGTTCTGAATCACTTAAATACATTCTCATGTTAAAATGGCTCTTTACAAAACAGCTTTTTAGCAGTTATATGCAATAATAATACAAAGAATTATTGTACCAGTTGAATAGCGTATAATAGATTAAAATACACATGAATGTGAAGAAGTGACCCCGCTCGTATGGTCAACTTACCCCATACACGGGGTGAGTTGACCATAGGAGACCACTATTTTTGGCATGCTATATTATCAAGACAGTTATGTTTACACTCATTCTGTTGGTTTGCAGGGATGCACAACATTTTGAAATATATGCAGATACACTAGTTAGAGACAAAACTGTGATTGCCTTGATGTAGTGATCCGAAATATGAAAAATGGCTCATCTTACCCCACTCTCCCCTACTGTTACTGTCAACTACTATTGTTCCACACACTCAAAGCTTTTAGTTTTATGTATTCAGCCAAGAGGAAATACTTCCCAAATTGTTTCCCGAATCCCACGAAACAGTTTTTCCTGTTAAACATATCAAGAAGTAAAAATAAAATTCCCCGGTATTTCATCAGGATTGTGTTTTCAGACTCAAACACGTCCACTATGATGCATTTCAGTCCCTAAGAGACTATTCTGCCATTCTATCACTCCCTATAGACACAAGATGACCCCCCCTCCTGCCTCCTCCCTGCACACTGTAAGGTCTGGAGGCTGGCACTCTCTCATACACTTTATGAATGGATGGGTGTGGCACTGCTGCCTGTGTCGTCAGTGCGCTCTCGGAGAGACGCTGGCGCGCTGTTGGTGAAGGCTGGTCTACAGTGAGGCATATTTGGGCTCTGCCACCGCTTTGAGAGAGACAACCAGAGAGAGAGGGAGAGTGGGGAGGAGAGGAGGGAGCGAAAGAGAGAGAGAGAGAGTGTGTGAGAGAGAGAAACAGCGGCGGCAGCTCCCAGCTCCCCAGCAAGGACTAAACTTCAGGCGACAGATTTGGTGAGACAGGGGGAGACCTGGATAGAAAGAAAAAGCAAAGTGAGTCAAAGCTATATTTTTGATCAAAGGGTGGAATTACAAAATTAAATAGAAATGATGTGATGAGGACCAGCTGATCAAAATTCAGGGTGTAATCCCTCTGTGATGTAAAGTCAATCATTATTTAAGACCAAACAGATGCCGAGACGCTGCGTAAAAACAACAAACTGACAGACAAAAGAAAAGTGGAGGCAAAGACCCCCGCCTCCATGTGCTCCCTCCTTGTAGGTGTGACAGAAACAACAAAGAGACGTGTGGAAAAAACTCGCATCAGGACCACAAGGCGGACTCCAAGCCCAGACAGATCGCAGAGCACAATAGCTGCAAAACAAGAGCGTGTCTGCAGGTTTTTTTTCTTGCAATATGCAGCAGTCTTCATGTAATTACATTCCTCCCGGCGTCTCTCGGCTACAACAGTCGAGAGTGTTTTTCTCATGTCACTTGTCTGGCAGATCTTCACCAAAAACACGCGCGTGTAGAAAACCCAAACCGATCATTTTGAGACGGAGCATGTTGAGATAAATGTGAGTTATGATTAGATGCTGTCATCCGCGCACCGGAGGAATGCTCTGAAGTGATCGCATGTGTTTGTGCCTTGCAGTTTAATGGGGGGAGAAGCAGGAGACGAGCACGGCTGCCCAGAATAAACTGAAGAGAGAAAAAAGCAGCGGAGAGAAAGAGACACAGAGAGAGAGAGAGAGCGAGAGAGTGAGAGAGAGGGAGGTGTGAACTGAAAGCGGACGTCGAGTCGAGATAGAGAGCTGATTCCAGTGGTGACTGTCTTTAAAGGTAGGAGGATGTTTATTTTATTACTCTTATTCTGATGTTTTAATTCTGATGTGAACTGTATTCTTGCAAATGCACGCGCTTACACAGCAGATAACATGTGGATAGGCAGGCGAAGGGGGTTGCATAACGGTTCACTTAGTTTGTGTTGTGCTCAGTTCTGGACTTACAGAGTCGACTCACGCTCAACTTCAACAGTGTGGTCTCTCTAAGTTGTGTTTACAGTCTAAGTGACGCTTTTAGTGGGAAACAAAGTGAGACCTCCTGAAGGCATCTTCACCAACTCCTCTTCACGCCCATGTCTGAGAAAAGGGACCTTGAAACTTCCTTATTCTTGTTCTTAAAGTTTTTTTTTCAACTAAATGATAACATTTCACAGTGGGTGTGTCACTTTTTAAACTCCTTATAAAGACTTAAGATACTTTAAAAGTCAGGTCGTGTCTGCCTTAAAGGAGCAATCCTGTATTTTTTTTTAAATTAACTTTCAGTTTCTGTCATGCCTTTGTCTTTTTGAGATTTTAAAGCTACTATAAGGAACTTTCAGTTTAGGACTATTTTAGTGCCCCTGGTGGACAAATTGATATGTAACACCAAAATCCCATCCTGCTGTCCTTAGGAAGTCAAATGTGATGCTTCTCAATAGCCTTTTCTGTGGAGTATAGTGTTGTGTCGTTCATGAACGATTTGTTCGAAAGAACTGAATCTTTTAAGTGAACGTACTGAACCGAATCACTTCCTCGAGTGATTTGTTCGTTTCTCACTTCAGTTGAGCTGAAGAGAGAAACAGCATTGCCAGTCGAGCAGCGGGTGAACAAGGGACCACATGCACCGACACCTGAATCACTTAGTGAACGAATCACGCATTGAACTACACTCTCTGGAATAATTTTTGTCCAACAAAACTTACCCTCTTTTTTTACTGCTAAATTGCCACCACCACAACTTGCATACAGTAGGACACAGCATGTAACAAGTAGTGCATTAAACCTGCAGCATCCTATCTTTGCAGCGGTTTGCAAGGGAATGGTGCATGTTCATGATTGTTCATGCTACATGATTCAGTGATTTAGTGAACAAATCTTTTGAACGAATCTTTTTAGTGAACTGATTTTAGTGATTCAGTACACCTAAAAGAACTGCCGTGCCCATGACTAGTGGAGGATGCTGATAAATGCTGTATACTAGAGTGACCATATGTCCTCTTTTACCCGGACATGTCCTCTTTTTTGGAGGCTGTCCAGGCTTGTCCGGCTTTGTCCTGGGAACTTTATGAAATCCTTCAAATGTCTGCGGTTTTGTATGAGAGTTTCGATTTTGTGTCACACAGACTTACTGAGTGAGAAGCGCATGTAAGACACTTGGTCCCACCCAAAAAACTCCCAAAATTAACTTTGTGTGACTGTCGTTTCCTCTTTTTGGGAAGTCAGAATATGGTCACCCTATTGTATATGACTTAAGTCAAAACTTTTACCCCCATCAGTGGTATCAGATTAAAAAAAAAAACTATAATAAAATAGTAAATCTACTTTTTGTTAGTCTTGTGTGCCTTTTTAGGTAAAAAAAAAAAAAAATCAAAAGCATTAATTCTAGTCTGTTTCTCAACCGTTAAATAAGTCCTCACAGGAGCTTTAAGTTAGAATATCCTCCTTATTTTGGGAAATTCCAAGAGCTTAAGTCTAACAGAAAACAGGGAGATTTATCTTTTTGTCAAATGTTTAAAGTAATTTCAAAGTGTCTATTTTAAATTGAAAGAATGATGCCAGAGGTCTAATATCGTCTCATCACATCCCCTCATGAATACACCAAACTTTTCCTTTAAATGTGCGACCGTGGGAACTTTTAAAAAGCTGCTCCAGCTCTACTTCAAACCTCTTCAATCAGGTTCTCTTTGGCGATAATCAATCAGTGAGCCAGTGTGTGCTTTGCAAAAGTCTAGTTTACATGCCCTAGTTAAACTCCGATATCTCTGCCACCTGCAGCCTGGATGAGAGAGTCCAGCTCAGGGACATAGCAGGGGAGTTAAGTCACTGTGTCTGCGTCTGATGTAGTTATTGTATATAATAAAACACTTAAAGGCAGAGGCATAGAGGGGGATTTTTTAAACACCAGCCAGATATCAGCTTAACAACAATGCCCACCAGCGTCAAATATTTTCCAATTTTTTGTTTCACTCTCCTCTTTTTTTTCCCTCCACTGTGAGCTGGGAACAGATGGTGGGTGTGGGGGGAGGGTCTGATGGAGCTGACATCAGTTCCTCCGCTTAGTCCCACTCCACTGTGTTTTTCTATCAACTGTGGAATTTGAACCATTCTTCCTTTGGGGTGAGGCCCGTCCCTCCGTCTGAGTAGGTTGAAATCCAGAGTTGGCTGCGAGTGTCTCTGCGCTCATGTGTTTGTGTCTGTGTGGGTAACTGGGGCTTTCCAGTAGAGTTGCACACCAAACATTCCTGGCTGCTGGATGGCTGTCTAGTGGGCCAAGTCCACACAGCTGGGAGTCATATAAGAAGCTGTGTCTTTGTGTGGGTCGACACACAGAAACACACACGTACACGAAACAGTCTGCTTGAAGACCACACCCTCTTTAACTGGATCCAGACTCATTGTTCGTGTGTGCATGCATACAGTATAGATGCATGGATGAGGAGTTGTGATTATTAAAGTGAGACCTTCGTAGACTAGAATGCATGCACACACACACATTCCTGCACGCCAGCACAGGCGTTCACACATAGAACAGACAAATACGAACAGAGACTCACAGTCACCGTACAACAGTGTCTTCTTCTCTTACCAGCACCACATGATGTTTGTCCTCTCAAGAACGTTTCGGAAAAAGAGACAGAAGGGTGGGGTGGTGGTGGTGGTGGTGGTGGTAGGGGGGGTTGAGAGAAGTGAGTAATTGTGCCGGTGATGGCATCTGTACTGTTTATTTCTCTCTCTGGTTATTTTCCAAGAATGCAGAGAAGACGTCAAGGGGGGAAAGTTCAAGAGAAGATGAGAGAGAGGAGAAAGAGGTGGTGTGACAGTGAAAATTAAGAAGGAGAGAGCGGAGTAGAAAGGAGCGCAGATCCTGAGGAAGAGGGACGCGAAGGGGTTGTTGGCTGAGGGCAAATTAGAGCAGAGCAGGCTGAAGTAGCCAGAGAGAGAGAGAGAGAGAGAGAGAGAGAGAGAGAGAGAGAGAGAGAGAGAGAGAGAGAGAGAGAGAGAGAGAGAGGAGAGAGAGAGAGAGAGAGAGAAAGAGAGAGAGAGAGAGAGAGAGAGAGAGAGAGAGAGAGGAGAGAGAGAGAGAGAGAGAGGAGAGAGAGAGAGAGAGAGAGAGAGGAGAGGCGCTAGATTGCATTTGACTGTAAACACGATAAATCAGAGGGCCAAAACACATCACTTGAACCCTCGTTCACCTCACATTTTTCCTCTGTTTCTCTTTTAAGTTTGAAATGAAAAAAATAAAACGGCAGAGATTACAAAGAAGAAATGTAAATATTCACGGTTGACCGTTCACAGTCCCACCTACTCAAGACAAAAAAAGGTTTCCTTTTGCACAACCCAGAGCTTAAACCACAAGTAAAATCTTATAAACATCTGTTTTAACTTCCTCTCATGTGGTAATTGTGCATCACTGACCCACATACACTCTCTGTTTTAGATTTAAGTGAGTGTACATAACTTTGCAGACCTTTTTTAGCTGGACTGAATTAAAGAAAGCGAACGCATTTCATCTTTTGTCTGAGTTAGTAAACACTTAAACAGTTCTATATTAACAGCTACAGAAGGGTGTGCAGTATATCATCAAAGATAATATCCTGATTATCATTTAAAGAATGCGTCAAGTATGCCATTTATATTGTGAAAACTAATAAAGACAAGCTTCGAGAGTCCACATTTACTGAATATTAGGGCTGGGCGATAAACCAAAGATTTACCGAAACCGAAATTTACGACATTAACTGATGTCAGTTTGCCCATGTCAATATATTCGGTGTCAAATAAATAAATAAATAAAAGTTGGTTTTGGATGTGTGTAGGTAGGCTATGGTCTCATGTCCCTTTAAGACTCCGTGACTCCACCCCATCCAGTCCATAACAAAGAGGGAAAGACAGGTGAGGAGGTGGAGGACGGTTCAAAAGTTAGAGCGGCTGGAGCGTCCATTTATCGTTATCGAGGAAATGTATCGTGATATTGATTTAAGGCCATATCGCCCAGCTCTACCGAGTATGGTTTAACAGTCAATCAATCTTCATTTGTATAATTCCTATTTACATCCAATGTTATCTCACAGCCCTTTACAAAAGAGCCTGTCCAGACCACACTCTTCTTTATACCTACAACATCAACATCAAGCTAGGATTAGATTAAGTCTTATTTTGTAAGATCAGACCCACTCTTATCCCATCTTAATCCACCATGAGGGAAGGACTTTGCAGGATCCAGCAAAAACTTCCTTTTACAGGCAGACACCTTGAATAGAACCAGACATACAGTATGTCATGCAGACAGTCATCAGACTAGTGTGCAAGCACATTGAGAACTCATGAAGTGTTCACACATCACTACAAGCCAGCATAGCTGCCTGAGGGGTTGAACCTAAACAGGGGTATGTGCGCACTCTAGAATCAACCTCATTTGACTGCATACCTGTGTCATCCTCACTCGCACGGAGGTGGTTTAAGGTCAAAAAAAGGTGTGTGTTGCTCAAAAGATCCCAACCTGTAGGCTATTGCAAAGCTGAGACAACTTGTGCCTCACACAATCTAAGTGTGTGCAAAGCTTTGGGAGTTAGCAACCGAACCATAACCACACTTTTTGGCTGAGTCATTTGGGTTATTTCGGTAATTTTGTGGCGCATCTACTAAAATGACTCAGTTTTGGGTTCATTAATGAGATCTATTTTTATCGGTTGTTCTTACTGATACACAAAAAAATAGTGCTTTTTTGGAAGGACTATTACACACCCCTAAACACCTGCATTTTTTTTAAGCACTCCAAATAAGGTACACATTTTTATCACATGACCGTCTGAGTGTGGTGAAACACACCTTTCCGAGGCCAGACAGCTCATGTGTGAGGGAATGAGCAGCGTGTGTGTTTGTGTACATGTGTTGACAGACATGGATAAGAAGGTGTTATGCCGCTGGGGAGGACAGCACAGGCCAGCACAGAGCAGGGCCGGAGCGGGAGGGCGAGAGGAGATAAGACAGTCAGCTCAGTTTTTGAGGAGGCTGTTTTTGTCTGGTGGTGGTAACTCAGAGAGCTTTGAGCTGGTCCGTAGCCAGAGTCTGACAGGCCGTTGGGTCCAAAGACACAGGATGGCTGAACTGATAGGGAGGTGTGTTACACAATCTAGCTGCTGACAGAATGTGGGGAAAGAGTTCTGGGTCAAAGGTTTTTGGATCCTGTTGTCGATGTTTGCAGACTGGTTTTGACAGACAGAATCACAACAGTTTGCATCTGCACGTCTCGAAATTGTTCCTAAATCCTCAAAAATGGGACTCTAAATGGTTGTTTCCGATATTTAACCCTGCGTCCCTCAGGTTTGGTGTCACCGTCTGTCTCTTTGACACCGTCACCACTCCTGGTCACATACTCCACATTGTAAGACTTCAGAATGAAAGATTACTACAGACACGAGATAGGAAGGGTCGGGGTTAGGTTCAGCATTCCAGTTGAACTGGAGAGAGATATTTTCTTAAAGCAGTGGCTGGTGCTGATAACAAAAATTAGGGCAGTGAGGGGCTCAGACATTTTGGACTGGAAACTCTCACTCAGCATAAGAGTGTGCAAAAGTTAATGCTTTTTCACTCACGTGCAAAACATTTGAGATACTTGTGTTGTTATAGCCATGTTGTTTGTTTAATTTTAGCAAATCTTTCCTTCCCTTCCTTTTCTGAGTCCGTGTGTGTGCGTCTGCATGTGTGTTCAGAGAAAGACAGCATGTTATGCCACAGACACCAAGAGGCACAGCTTGGTTGCTTGGCTGAAGCTCCTCTCTATTTATGTTCCTGAATGTGTGCGTGTGCTTTCCTGTTTCATGGTGGTACGGATGTATCACTGCAACAAATATATCTCCCTGTGTATCTACGTGTGATTATGTAGGCATATTTTTACATGTGTGCGACTCTGTATGTAATTTGATGCCTGAGTATCTTTTTCTTTTGCATCTGCTCCTCTCATATGTGGCAGATAGCTGATCCCCTTGGGTGAATTGGCTCCAAAGTCATATGACTGAGGGTATGCCAACTAGGTATCTGAGCGCACGTGTCCTGCAATTAAAGGATGCGTTTCGTATCATAAGTTCTTTGAGGGGTTTATAAAGATAGATGTGTGTTTTTTTGTGGTTCCAGCATAGTTTTCTGGGTGTAGCAGGACTGGACAGGCTGACCCATGCACTAATCCTTTCCCATGTCTGTATCGGAGCAAACAGCCCCATATGTCTTGGTGATATAGTGATGTCAGGGATCTCTCGTTTTCAGCGCCCGAAAGTCTTCACTGTCTCCTGTTTTTTATACTGATGTGTTTTAAGTTTGTCCACCTGCTTTCTGTAATAACTCACATCCCATCGCACTACTCAGCAGCTACGGCTTCATTAAACCAAGATTGGAAAAGAAAACAATTAGTATCGCCAGCAACATCAGGGACTGGATTTGCTTGGGTGACACAGAGTGAGGCAGAGATGGTGCCATTGTTTGCTTAACTGCATGTATTTACTGTAGTGGCCCTCATGTAATTTTAACACTGAATGTAAGTGTTAATGGGCCAAATATAGATGTAAATCCCCTCATAATCTGTCATCATAGACCTCTCCCTGTTGTCTCTTTTCTGCCTTGAAGGCATCGCCCAAATCTTCCCTCACACCCAAATTCATTGGCAAACAAAACCACAGATTCAGACACAGTGACTCATAAAGGGAAACACATGACTCCCTGCACACCTTTAAATTGCCATAAACACACTGACACGTAGGCATGCTCCCTGCCTGTGTCTCTCTGTCTCCTCACTAGTTAGAGCTGCAGACTTCAACCTAATCCGTAGTGAGAGAAACGCCCAAGGGTGCCATTCCTGCTAATCAGGGTCAAACCAGTTTCAGTGGTGGCCGAGGCACTCAAAAAACCCAGAGGATTTAAATCTGTAATTGTGCCAGTGTGTGATCTTGTGTGAGCGTACACACCCACAGGTTTAGGTGTTTCCCTTCAGGTTTATTTTTAACCGCACACACATTTTTGTCTTTGCGCATGTAATCACCTACATGCCATTTGATTGAGATTTTTGCAGTTTCAGGAGGCTGATGCAACCAGACTGACACTTCCACACTGACTCTGACTCTCTCACAAACACGCACACATACCAGAACGGATGAATCAGATTTGCTAACTGATGGTAGTGAGCTGCAGATGAGAGCTCTGTCATCATCTCAGTGTTTGTCTGTCTGCAGCAGACTCTGCGGTTTGCCTTCCAATTAAATCTGAAATTGACTCGCCATAAATGATGTGGTTTGGTTTGCAGATTTCAGCTTGGATCTTATTTTAGTCAACACGTACTTTTGAAACCATTCGCTCAATTAAACCTAACCAAAGAAGCTTTTAAAAGCTTTTTGGGCTTTAAATATCACCTGCATTTGAAGGGTGATTGCACTCATTATAAATAGGGATACAAGTCTCTGCAACAAAAACAACAAACCCGAGTTTCCATCTTAGAGAGTTGTTACCGAATGAGGAATCAGAGAGACAGTTTTTTGTGTTTATCCAACTGCAAATAGATCACGTAATAAATTAACAAGTTTATCTGTAAGTTGGTATTTTGTCTTAACTTGTCTGTGTCTTTAGTGTCAGCCAGCATGATAAGCAGGCACTCGAGAGAATCTGCTCACCTTTTGGAGATTCGTATCTGCAAAATCACCAAGTCAGTATTCATGATCCCTTACATAATACAGTCCTCAATGTCCTAAATGCCACATGGAAGCAAGGCTTCAATTTCCTCATAAGCCATATCTCCTGAAGGATAACTGAAGTGAAAATATCACACTTGTACTCTGTGCGCTCTCCCAGGGAATTGGTCACAAATCGGCTAAACTGCATGATCTGCAAATCGTTCAAACGTGCGGATGTAAACAATATGTTTCATGGGTGACACTCAGAAACTTGGTTAGACATAAAGTTACATCTTGAACATCTTTAAGATTTTTACTAAATCAGCTTGGATCATCTGAGGACACGGTGCTGCTAAATTGTCCCACTTTGGAATAATTTCCCTTTTTGTTTGTCTCTCTCTTCCTTTCACAGGAACACATCACTCTTATTTTATCATTAATATTTAATCAGGTTCATCAATATGGTTCCTATTTTACATCATGTGCTACTTAATACTGATGCATTTCCCTACTGAGGTCATACAATGCAGAAATATTGACTTTGCAAGTGTTGTTTTGCTCCATTACGGCTGTGAGAGTTCACTGTTAAAGCGCCTTTTACTCCCCCCTTAATGTGGACATCAATCACACAGCAGGAACACACTGTACAGTTATAGGCATTAATGAATTGTACAGGGGACTCTAGGAGCTTTGTGATGTATATGTTCTGTTTTCTGTTCCAGTGTTTTTCATCTGGACATTTCTCTGGTCTTGGTTCACAAGTGGTTGGGATTAGCTGGGATCAAGAGTAATGCAGCATCCAAAAGAGCTTCCACCCTGTTTCCCCTTACCCTTATTTAAACGATTAAAGCCTTTGTGGCTCTGCTTCGGCTTGGCCAGAGGATGACATGCGGTCACGGTGTGCGGTGACTTTTGTACGTCTGTTGTATCATCAGGCCGTACGGAAATAACCGGACACCAGTATAGATTTTTCCATTTCACTATTTCAGGATGCCTATACTTTGCATATCAGCTGTGCAAGTGTGCATGTTTGGTTATATCTGACATTCCCGCAAATGGAGACCAATTTTGACCTCTCCTTTATTCAAGCAGCAGGAAGAGTATACAGTAATTCTAGTGCCCGGTTGAAACATATCTTTGTATGTGGAGTTTCTTTTTCCAGGCTTGCTGAAGGATCACTTTGCTCCTCTACTGGCTAGGAAAATAGTTTGACCTCTTAGGGTAATAGAAGCCGCTGCACGCCTCTGAGGATAAAATCAAAACTGCATCACTATCGAGATGAATGCCTTGGTCATTTTTCTTCATCTGTGAGCAAACACAACAGGTTTTGTTTTTGTTTGTGCCTGTACAGCACAATATGAGGAACTCTAACAAACAGAGCAGCACAAATGGATAAACAGCATGCTGGCTATTTGAAGTAAACACAACAAAGAACCTTCCTGTTTTGCTTCGACTCTCTGTTATGTGGTTTATTTGTCTGTCGGTGTCTCAGCCTGTGTGTGAGTTTTGCTTTTACACTCATGTTTTTTCCCTTCCTCTTTGTTTCCTCCTCTCTATTTCTGTAGCTGTGAACAAGACTGTGTTTAAATAGAGACAGACTGGCATTCGGTATATTTTTATTTATAGTCATGATGAGCAACAAAACCTTATTTATTAATTGTTCACTTTCCATATTAGCCACTTCCAGGGCACCTACTTGCAAAATAAGTGTTATAGTCTGTAAAGAAAAATGTTGCTGTTTTATTCTGTATGCACCCGCCAAAATAAAGCTCATCCCTATGAAAATTAGGTAGGTTTAACCCTGAATTTCCAACGCATTTGGAACGGCTTCAATCCGGATATTTTCAGTCCTACCAGATCCGTTTGTGAGGCGAATTTCGCGATGGATTACAGACAGCGGTAATCGCGAGAACTCAGGAACCTGCAGCTTCACGTGCGATTGCGCGATAACAACTTGTCTCTATATAGACAGCCACATAGGCTAACCATTTAAGCAGCAGATTGTGTCCTTCCAGAGGAGGAAATCTACTTCTCGTCTTCTCAAATCAGCATCCCCTCATCCATGGTGTCATCGGGATGAAATGCTATGGTCTAAAAACCTTTCACTTGTTCATCCCCACCCGTTTGCATGGTATGAAATATGATCCGCCTAAAACACAGAGTGTTTTATTTTGAAAAGAAGCCGGATGTTTTATTTTGTGTCTGTGCCCGACTTCCTTTACAGCACGGGTTAATCTGTGCTAAATTTATCCGGCACGCCTCAGCATCCAGAAAAAATAGAACTCTTGCGATCAGCTGCAGAGTCCAGCGATCAGCAGTGGAACGGAAATAAGCCAGTGGAAATTGGCACATTAACTTGAATGGTTAGGATCAGCTGTGATCGGTGGATACGGCCTTTTCGGGGTAAGAAGGCTGCATTTTAAAGGCTTAAAGTGCTATTCCCTGTTGGGGGCATGATCCATTGACTGTATAATGGACCGCCAACTGCCTCTGTAAACAATAAGCCAAAACACTGCTTCAGTGGGTACAGACATATTGAGTTAATAATGAATTATTGAGCCAAGACACCCCCAGAAGTGATTCACAAGCTAGACTGCAGACAACCTGTAGGTGGAGCTTCAGATTTTTTGGCTTTACTTTCTGGGAGCACTCGGGTCGTCCATTGAATAATGGATTCTGTATGTCTGCTTGGGTCCATGTTACCCGTCATGGGAGGGCTCCCAGAGAGGCTTTAATTCAAGCGTCTACATGCCAAGAAGGTGAACAACCTCTGGTATATAACACTTTCCAGAGAGTGCTGGGGAGATGCACTGACTGACTGACTGTGTGCAGTGTGTTTCTCTGCAGGGCTGCAGCTCGGCCTCTCTGTGCCAGACTGAAGTCCAGCGGTGTTTGTCTTGGCTTCACTCTCTGTTTGATCAGGCTGTTTCTGGAATACTGACTGACCTGTTCTGAGGCCAAAATGCATCCCTCTCTCTTCACAATATTTTATCTGTTCCCATACCCTATTTAAGATGAACATAAAGTCAATCAGAACTCAAGTACCTTCTCATTTTATAGATTTTAGATCAATTACTAATCCTGTAATATTTCTGTCTCTGTATGTATTTGATGCCTCACATGCGCCTCTGTTCTCCAGTCCCTCTCGCTCACTTTCTCCTGTTTGTTGTCTGATCTCAGCCTCAGTCTCAAACTCTGATGCATCTTTAGCAGAGTGTGAGAGCACCTCAGAACAGGTAACATTGAGGTGTGACCTCCACGTGATAGATTGCAGGTATTGCTGGAGCGACTGTCAGGTTGGGAAAAAAAGGCCAGTAAGTTTTTGATCATGAGTTTTACTTTTTTTCACACTATAAATTAGAATTACTGGATTTTTTAAAGATTATTGAAAGGAAAATAGCGCCATAAAAAATGGGAGCTTATCAGGAATGATCCATTGGATTACATTTTTACATTAACCGCATTCACATGAAGATTTTGATGGATGAAATTCGATCATGCTACATTTATATTTTATGGATTGGTGTCCAGATTTCATCTCTTTATAGAAATATTTCAGTGTAGAGTCCCTTCAATATCAGGAGTACAGTCTTTGCAGTGTTTATTTGCATTTTTACATGAATTGAGTCATGCAGTGGTTTAGTTTTGTGTTTTTAACCATCATACCTTTGTCAAATCTAATGTAAAAAGAAAGCACATGAACTGAAAGTGAATCTTCATACCCTGCTGAGTATGTATTTTTTAAAATACCCGGTTTAAGAACCTTTGAATGTACTCTGTGATAACCTCCTCCCTGATCCCTTTTCTAAAGAAATATTAAGAAGTTACAGGGGACGATATCTGATGGATTAAATCCATTTTAGACTGGCGTTGAACCATGTGTATCAGGGGAGTAGGTGTAATAAATCTAATCAGATGTGGCATGGAGAACATGTTCAGAGGATTACACTTGTTAAACTTGTCAAAGCCAAAGTCTGGCAGAGTTGTTTGACATTGTTATGACCTCAGTGAGTCACAATCTCACAATCATGAACGGATTCGGCGTCTGTTCTCGTTTTCCTCTGAGTATTCTTTAGATCCCGAAAGAGGCCGTGAACGGAGGGAGTCAGTGATTTTTGGCGTGTAGTCCATTATTCATATGGGAAACAGACAAATACAAAATGAATAATGGTTAAAAGAAAAAGACATTTGTAGACTTTGATAGCAAAATGTAATGTAAATGTAAATGTTCTTTATTCATACAGCCCTTTACAACAACCCTTTTGGTGAACCAAAGAGCTTTACAATAAAATAAAAATGAATAAATATAAGCAATGAAATAAATAAAAATAGAATAAAATACAATGCAGTAAAATAAAGTGTCACTACGCTACTGGGTATTACAAGCCAGCATAAGTAAGTATATTTTCAATCGAGATTTAAAAAGGCACAGGTCGGATATAAGTCTCATTTCGATGGGGAGCTTATTCCAGAGCCTGGGACCTAACCCTAACTGAAAAGCTTCGGTCACCCCAGTGCTGTTTTTTTTTACCTTGGCACCTCCAGAAGAAGTTAATTTGACGACCTCAGAGCTCTACCCCGCTCCCAAATGGTTAAAAGCTCAGTTCAATAGATCGGGGCGAGGCCGTTAAGCACTTTAAAAACAAACATTAAAAGTTTAAAATCGATCCAAAAGGAGACGGGAAGCCAATGAAGGGAGCTAAGGACAGGAGTGATGTGCTCATGTCTGTTAGTGTTAGTTAAAAGACGGGCAGCAGCATTTTGGACAAGTTTGCTATAGACTTCTTGATGTATTTCTCCCCTGGATTTGTATACAGAGCGTAGGTTTCCTTTGAATGAAGCCTTCAGTTCGACACTCTTAGTCCCCCATTTGTATTCCACACCAGACCATCCACAGGACCACTGTGTTAAAGGTTTAACCCTGTACTATGACAATTAAAAAGTGTATAGAGTAATATTTGAGCTAAAGGTTCAAAAATAATGTCCACCGATCATTTTTTATCTTGCACTGAACTGCGTTTCGGCTCCTTCTCTAAGCTTTAGCCTCAGCTGTGTTTGTATTCAACACCTTTTAAAGCTTTAACCTGCTGATACCAGCTCCCTCACTAATATTTAATCTGTCCTGTCAGGTCACATCCTTCCTGATCTTAACTTCCGTTTTTATATCTGCCTCTGTGTCCTTTAGCTTCATTCTCATATCCACGCTTGATGTCGTCTTTAGCTGGGAAAAGTAACCTACTGTATTTACATCAATCTTAGTACTTCCAATCACACGCTCTCATTTGTAAAGTCAGACCTAACTGGCTCAGCGCTCACTTTGCAGAGTGATTAAAGTTTTCACTTTCACTTCGCTGGAACATCAGACACAATGCGGAGTACATGTTTCTCCTTCTGAGTCACTCAGCTGCTGTTGTCTGAACAGGATCTCTGGTGATCTCTTTGTGGATAGCATGACACCCATACATCAAATGAACATCATAAATACAGGATTCAATTAACAGAGAGGATACGCTTTGATTGAAATGTACTAATTTCCTCGCAATGTAACTACCACTTTAAGAATTTGTAGCTGAAGAGAGACTTAATAAGATTAGCCTTGCCACTTGACAGCCACAGCTTAAGAGGCACCTCTGCTGACCTGTGTGTCTCCATCCTGCAGAGTGTGTTTGTTTGTATGTAACTTCAAGAGTGTATTTGTGTGTGTTGATTTATGCCTGATTACTTGCCTTAATGCCTGATCTGTGTTGGATAATGTTTTTGTAACTATGTATGGCTCTCACACGGACATAACACAACAAACAGGACATGCCCGTGCAGCCCCAGTCTCTTTAAGTAAGAATGCAAGTAGCTTATTATGACATCTGACAACCCGTGCTCCAGACACTTTGTCTCTTTCACAGGGGATTTGTGCCATTGAGGAATTTAGAGCATCCTTTACCTCTCTGAAACCCGGTGTCCACCTTTTGTAACCCACATACTCTTCTGTCAGGAGGTGAGGATGAAACATGGTTAAAATTACAGGTGGGAACTGTCAGCCCAACAACAGAAAGGCCAGTGGGCTCACTTAGGAATTTCCCACTTGAATTTTTCCTTCCTTTGGCCTCGTCAAGGTTGCTGGAGTCACCAAAAGGCTGGTGTAACTGACCATGAGTGTAATCTAATGGTGACAGATGTTCTGCTGGTGGTAGCATGGTGTACCAGATGCCACACAGCTCCATTTTGGCAATCTGAGGGGGGGACTGTTTTTGGCCATCAGTGAGGAATATGCAGCTCTGTGTTCTTGTTCCTTCCAGAAACCTCTTTTTAGAAAACCAGGCATCTCACTGTGAAACATTAATGTTGGCATTAATATCACTATCACAGGTCTGTTTATTCTCAGGCAGACAGCAGGCAGTAAAACCCCTCCATATCCAACCTACCCCTCCGTACACCCTCCATCCTCTCCCGTCTGTTCACTCTTTTCAGCCCTCACCACCACTTTACATTCCCCACATATTCCACCGTATCAGCCCATCAACACCAGTACAGACTTGACTTCATCATATATCACTATGATGGTCAGTAAACACAACATTAGACCCATAGCCTGACTCTTATTCTACAGTCTGTGTCGATAAGAGATTATGAGCTGATGAGATTTATGCTCTTAAGTCTCCTCGCCTGTCTGGGGTGATGGGGACTACGAACGCAGATGGATGGCTCATAAATCTGATCCTATCTCATTCTGCTTTATGACCTTTTAACCTATTAAATGAGATTTGCATAACATTAGTGATATTTGCAAGAACTATTGATTACATAATACTCTCAGAATCATGGTCATATATATGTAATCCATATATGTTCGTTAAGTAAATGAAGTGCTCGCTCCTCAACGAAGACAGAAACTGCTTTGAAGAATGGATCAGTTGAATCAGCACAAATAAACTAGAAAATGTTGATAGGTTGAATCGTTTTACGACAGTCACACATTGATGGGAACCGATTGGCAACAGTAGACTACAAGAAAGTACCACAGTGAGGAAAATACGATAAATTTTAAATGTTCGATACGCCACCTGAAACAAATTCGTTTGTCATCATCTTGCTAACAAAAACCAAATCAGTCGTCTGAGTTTTTCTTATTTCTGATGTATTCTAGGAGCTAAAGCCCTGTCTTCATCATGGACAGAAAGGTTGTCGACTAACATGTTCTGTCATAATGTGTCACACGTGAATGAGAAGTGCTCTAAATTAAAGATGATGCCGTCAGTGGACACAGGCCCTTACTGTTGGCGTTGACTGAACTTGTGATCATTTTATGTAAAGGGCAAAACAAAAAAAAACCCTCCTGCTGTCTTGACTAGCGATTATCTTTTTAACTTTTAAAAACAGGGATCTGCATGTAAGCCAACCCGCTGAGCAATACATGTCTATTAGACGTTGAGTTTTTTTTTTTAGACTTTATTTAAACCATCAAGATTCTGTATATTTTTAGATGTCAAAATTAAGACGTTGCACTTTAACCCATTATTCGATAACTATTTATTTCAAAAGCAGCTGTGGGTTGCATAACTGATCTCCAATTACTTATTATGATAGCCATTGAGCAATATACAGTGTTGTAAAGATATAGACCAGATTTCGACTTGGTCTAAATTTTGACATCTAAAAAACTTTCATTATCTGACCTGTGGGAGCCTTATTTAAGACCAATCACCTAGGCTACATTTAGACGTCTATTAGACCTCTTTTAGACCAAAAAATGCTCACTGGGAGCTAACCGTGTGGTTGTTTAAGTCGGCTGCAAAACCAGCTATAATCAAGTCAAATATGAAGCTGTATGTTTTAAACCATTAAATGACACCAGAGAAGTGTACAATGCACAGTATGTGACATATGTATTGTACTTTTCTTGCTGTCACTCAAGCCATTGCACGTATAAAAAAGTTTTAGAGTCAGATCTTGTAGTTTCTTCCTCCAGTGTGGCGTTTGTGTCAAAACTGATGTGTCATCATTAGTGCGTAATGAGGCAACAACAGCTGGTCACGCACAAACATTTTTCCAACCAACCGGAGATGAGAAAAACTCCTGATAACTAAGCGAGTAAACAATACCTCAGACCGCTCTCTTGTCCTCGCTCTCTCTCTGTACTCTTTCTCAGGCCCTATCTACTGCTGAATGTTTTTCACTTTAAACTCACACTCTGATAACATGCACATTACCCAACGCCAAATAAGCCGGCTGTTACAAAACACACTTTAGTTCATGCCAGGGTGCCGGCTCTGGCAACACATCGTCTCTGCCACTTGGAAATGTCAGAGAGAAGAGAGATAGATAAAAAAAACAGCGAGAGATTAAGAGTGGGAGGGACAAGAGATTGACACAGATGTATGCTTTTCTGTGCATTTGTAAGTTTGTCACTGCAGGAATGCTACTTTCCCACAAGCTCATTTTACAGCAGTCTTAATTTCTCCTGTTTTTATCCATCTTTGACCTCTGCCCTTTGCATTTTCTCCCAGAAGAGATGTTTAAATTCCTGTCTTGGTCCAGCTTTTCTTGCCCCTCTGCAAAACAAAATTGTTTTCCAAAATTCTTTCAGAAAACAAACAAGCTGATGATTTCAGACATGTTGTATGTAATGACTGCGGGTGTGTGTGTTGTATGCATGTGGGCCTGAAGGTAGAATTTTGATACTGCTATCAGCTCCATGAGGCTGGAGGACTGTTTAGAAGACCCACTGCAGCTCTGACCTACTTGTGGCAATGCACGGGGCTGAGTGTGTGTGCATATGTGTTTGAGTCTGTGTGTTTAGAGGCACTTGGGATGGTGTGTGTTTGAGGCAATCTCTCTGCGGACAAGGGGAGTGTGAGAAGCTGGGTGTTTTGACAGCTTTAGAGCAGTTTCAGTACAGTGCTGGGGCAGGGGGTGTGCAGGCCTGCTGGACACTCAGGGTGAGAGTGGGGTCAGCAGAGGAGTGGACAGGAGGAGGAGGATATGAGGGGAAGAGTTTGATTTCAAAACGCTGCACGGCCATTAAAATGATACTCGATACGTACGTTTTTTTGAAACTGAAAAAGGAATATTACGCAAACAAGAAGAGCAAACAGACATTTCAAGCACCTCAAGTTTAGGTGGTGAGAGAAATTATACACAAGGACGATGAAAACCAAAACGCAAGTGAATAAATCAGAAGTGGATTTTTAACAGGTTATTTCTTTTTTTGATGGAAAATTTAGTTCTGTTAGAAAAAGTAACCATTAGTTGTTGAGAAATTTCTTTTTGTAAATGAAAAACTTTTTGTGGGATTAACAGAACAGGTTTTCAGTATATTTTGGATTCTATAAGTAATAAATAACATTTCCAAATAGAAATACCTAACAAAGCTGGTGTTAACATGTGCGTGTGATGAGACCCTGGAACTATTTTAAACTTTTGTGGATATCTAAAACGACAGATTAATCAAAATACAGGTGACACCTTTCTTCTCCACTTTTTTTGTTTTGTGCAAAGGGTTGGAATACAAATAGTGGATATCAAAATGAGCGATTTCCAAGTCAGCATGTTAGATTTTTATTTTAAAAAGACATTTCTTGATTTCTTGTTTGTATTTGTATAAGGCAAGAGCCAAAACCCCAAATCCAAAGTTACACCAATACGTCTGGTCAGCTTTTGTAAGCCAACTGGAGATCCTTACACACTGGGAATGACGCAAATATACGACGCAGAATTACGAAAAAAGACACGTCCCAGGTGGAAGCGAGAAGACTGACACAACAGCAGACTGACTGTTTTTCAGTTCTGATTAGACACTAGTGTTGAGATGGCTGTCTGTCATGATAGCATGTACTGAGTCGGGGCCAGTACCAGATAAGCACATTAAACTATAATCCATTAATGTAAGGTAACAACCGAGACCTAATGGTGCTGTGACAGCAACGCGATTGAGTTTGAGACAGTGAAAATACATATGGTATGTTGTATCTGAACAGGTTAGCTTACGAGCTAAAGTTACTTAGCACAGATGAAAGTCAAAACAAAGACGTTTAGCAAACTGTTAAAGCACACAAACCATCGTCATATGAGAAATCCGACGCTTTGACTCTCCACAAGTTGTCCTTCAGGTCGTTATCTTTGTAATATTTGTGTTTTTTATCAAAAAGCACTCTGTTCTCCGACACGTAAACAATCAGTCGGTCAGCCATGTTGGATATACCGGTGAATCTGACGTCGCAACAACACACAATCTGATTGGTCAGAAGTGGACACAGTATGTGAAACTTTAGAAAATTCGACTGTGATACGAAAAAATAAATGCCGCAATATCGCAGGACGGGAAAACGTCGCTGATGTGAACGCTTGCATTGACAGGATATGGGTTTGAAAAAAAAATATTTACGTCCGAAATAATCGCACTATAAAAACGATCCTGGTGTAAAAGGACCATAACAGTAAAGGACAAGTGAAACTGAGAAAATAGGAAAGGGAATCCTCATCCTCTGCTGCATTTGATCAACCCACATCTGATTATAACTCGTTGCTATAGTTACTTGGACATTGTTTTTCTCAACTTGATTCAAATATTCCAATTTAAGCTAGACCAGGTCTTTCAGTAACGCCAGAGGAAAAGATTGGATGGCGGTGAATACCACAGCAGACTAAACCAAGTATTTGTCCAAGCAGCAGGACACTCCTTGTTGCAGTAGTCATGCCAAAGAGTGATCTCAGCTCTTTCTCCAAACTTTAATCTCACCAAAGTGTTAAAGCCATGGGAGTAGACTTCCCACACAGTTAATAAAAGAGCGATAAAGCTCATAAACAAAGCAGCACAGTCCTTGATCGTACTACTGTAGCTGAAAAGGCCAGACATCACCTCAGACTGTGCTGCTTGAGAGTTCTCTCACAAGTACAGCTCTCCTAAAAAGGGGCTGCCTCTCTACTTTCTAAGCCCCCTCTCAGTGCCACTGCTGTTGAAGCCCTGCTTTCTTCTGCCCATCTTTCATGCCGGTCCATTCTGACCATGCCAGCTGGGTCAGGGGGCACTGTTTTCTCAGGCTTCAAGACCACTCTGGACAAAAAGATATAACAGAGAAATCTCCCTTGGCTGCACAGTGAGTGTCTGTTCATTTGATTTTGATGCTGGAGTGAGGTCGTGAAGAAAAACACTCATTTTGGTTCTCAGGGATATGAAATGGAGCACAAATTCAAACTTCTCTATCATTATTCTGCTTTAAGGCATGGTCTGATAGACACTGCTGACCTGAACAAGGATCTGTCACAGATGTAATCTCTCCGTGTGCTGGCAGGCAGTGACAGCGCTTACATAATCTAACAGAGTTTATATCTGACTTTTATGTTCCAGAGAGCTCAGTACCATTTTTCACCAGTAGAGGTCTGTCTTTAGTCTTCCACAGCCATGGCAGAAAGTTGGTTGATCTCTCAATCTTGGGTTCAAATGCGGACAAATACAACAACATGTTCAGTTTGCATCCGTTGACTAAATGAAACCTAAAACATGTTCCTGTTTCCGGTCTTTTTATTGGATTGCCTGCATGGTTACAAGAGAGGCAGATGGACAAAAAAGATCCACTCTGAGTGACATGTCCAGGCAAAGTCATCAGCTGGAAAACATCCAATTTATGAAGCAATTTAGGTTTTAGGTTTAAACTATAAATAGTCCCTCTGGCTGAATAGTGAGGTATTTTTGCCTCATGGCGTGTTGGCAGCTTTTTTTCCCCTCCCTGGTGCAGATTAACATTCCAGAAATGAATCCCAAAGGACTGAAATCTTGGAAAAGTTATGAGGGCAAAAGGTTGCTGATTTGTTTTTTTTCCCTCAGCAATTCCTAGTCTGTCTGTTTTCTTAGCGCCTGTATTGCCTTTTGTAGAAATACATAAGTGTTGCTATGTGGAAGCTAGTTGCTATGCCTGAAAACCCAGAATAACCATAGTGGAAAAAAAAATCTCTACATCCATTTAGTAACAGTATTACATCATTTGTATGGGTTTTAGCTTCATGGGTGATGATTTTTTGTGAGTTTTAATATGAATTATGAGTAAAATCTTTTGAAATTAGATTTATAATTTTATATTTTTTGTCAATTGGTAATAACTGTCGAGCTTTTACCAAATTCTGTGCTTATTTCTCAGCTCAGAGCTAAAATAGAGGTGCAGACAGGTGTGTAAAAGCAGCTCAGTGGTGGTAAATGTGTCTGCTCCTCCAACAAAAGGCAGCATGTTGGGCGGCATGTTTCGAGTTAACAGGATGGAGATAGCACAGTTTCTGGGCGGGGCCACGACAAGCTCGGCGGAATCTGATTGGCTCCTGTGTTCTTATCGCTGGTGTCCCCTTTAAATGCTGCTCGTTATATCCAATATCTGAGCTACTAAGTGTTAAATAGACTTGTCTGCCATGTGCTGTTGAGTTTTATTCATGATGAGGGAGTTAATTCCTTTATTCCTTATTTAGTGTAAATATTGTCATAGTATTTGTATTCATAGAATGTGTGCTGTGTTTCACTGGTGCTGCCTCTGGTTTTTTTAATTTCCCTCTGGGATTAATAAATTATCTATCTATCTATCTATCTATCTATCTATCTATCTATCTATCTATCTATTTAAGTGCTTTGACAAATAGTCGTACAGCATCAGCACATAGACATAAAAACAAATAAAAAACAAAAGCTTACTTAAAAACAAAGTCTCCGAATTGTAAGCCAATTTCATTTGTCATAAGAAACCCAGACAGTACAAGAACCCTACAGCGTAAAATGAGACCATGAGGATCACAATAAAACATCAAATTAGATTAGATTAGATTAGATTCAACTTTATTGTCATTGAACCCAGTACAAGTACAGAAACAACAAAATGCAGTTTAGCATTTAACCAGAAATGCAAGGTAGTTAAGTGCAAGGTATGTACATATGGGCAGTACAGGTATGAACTGAATATACTATATATATGTGTGTGTGTGTGTGTGTGTGTGTGTGTGCAATGAATATGCTAAAAACATATACACGGTGTTGGTTACTGCAGGTATGAATAGGCTATACAACAAAAAATAATACCTAAGTAAAACACAAGTTTAAATAAGATGGAGGTAAAAGAGATAAAAGATAAAATACAAAAGATATGAGTCTGAGGAGTTGTTTTTGTGTGTAGGCTTTGACACTTTAAAATATCCGATTCCCTGACTGCACCTGAACGCAGCACAGGATGTGTTGGCGCCTTGTGTCGTGACGTGCAGCCGTGGAGGCGTGCCTCCGATGAAATCAGCTGGGGAAACAACAACACACAAAAGGGGGTGGCTCAGACTAGAACAATCTTTATGCCAGATATGTGTGGATTTCACGCTAAAACGCGACAGTGCAGAATCGATAGAGAATCACCTCAGGTGTGCAGCAGCAGCGAGTCGGGACTTGTTGAAGACTGAGACGCTGGATTAAAGGAGGCGTTGAGGGGAAGTAAGAGGAGGATGATGTGACAGGGGCAGAGGTCCTGCGCGACGCCCGCTGTTATATGTGCTCTTCAACAAACAACGGGACCACCGCCAATATCGATTTGTTCCGCGCGCGTCTTTGTCCGGTTTGAGAGACCGGCTCGACCACCAGCAGAGTGGCATGTGGGTCAATACAGGAACCGTCGGAAGGTAGGGACCCCTCCTGCAGCAATACTGGGTCACATGCTCTCAATGCACAAAGCAATCCACACACACCACTGCTTGTAAAATCCTTTTACTCCACAGATTATGAAAGCAGCAGCTGTGTTTTATTCTTACTATGTGACCATATTGCAGGCACTTAATGGGTTTTAATCTCCTTTTATATTCACACAATGTCCCTGTAATACTCACAAAGGCTCTTATATTTCAGGAGTGTCTTATAATTTTTAGCAGGAGATGTTGCAATAGCGGATTAATCTTGTTTTTAATCCTACACGTGCTACATAGGCTGCTGGTATTGAAGCATTTGGGTTTTAGTGATAGTGGAGTGCTGCGGATGGGCTTGGCACATTACGCAAGACATATCAGCGCATCATTTGGGATGTAGGCTGAGAGATCCACCTGCCTTTTATAACATCGGTGTGGAAAAATACACCCTATCATCCAACTGAGTGAAGTGGGTGACCTGCGTTTGGATGACAACACAATAGATTGCCCGTTTTTGTTGAATGCCTCCCCTCCAACCCCCCCTCCACCCAAAAAAATGAATGAGCCAGGTGGTTATGAATGGCTGCGGGGAGAGGGAGCGATCACGAGGTGCTTTCATTGATGAGTGGAGAAGAGATGCTCCACCACATCATTTAGTGGGTACTGCATGTGGATAAAAAAAAACTGTAGACAATAGATGACAATAGATGCACAATCTCAGTTTGTAAAAATGGCACTCACGGAAACATGCACACAATTAGAAACACTCATCCAGTCACACAATGACACACACACACACACACACACACACACACACACACACTGTAATGCTGATACTCTGTCCCTGACGTCATGAGAGGGATTTTGTTACGCAGACAGGTAGCAGGATGGCTGGAGAAGAAGCCTCTCAGATAAAAAGGAAGGAGATGCTTCATGCCAGGTTTTTACCTGACTTTGTCTCTATGTTCAGTCATCAGCAGTTAATCATGCAGGGTGTAGTTGCACAAGCAATTTGGCACACTTTGATATTGTGCAATCTTTGTCTTTCTGCCAGTTAATTTGCATCCAACAGAGAAGCTATAAAGCTACGGTGGCCGTGAACTGCCATTGCTGCAAATAAAAAAGAATGCAAAAAAAAAAACACACAATGGCAGTTAATGATACAAAAAAAAGTGGAAATGCAAAAAAAAAAAAAGGTTACTTACTGCGAAAATAAAAGGATGCAAATAAAAAAAGTCACAACAGAAGTGAGCTGTTGATCTGGAGGATGCCGGTGTAGTGTTAGCTTCAGTTCAACTTCATATCGACTCAGGCGCAACATGGCCTAACCAAATGACACATCGAAAAGTTTACGAAGCGGAATTAAACATTAACCTTTCCACTAACTTCTTTGCTAGTCTTCTCGCCATCATCTTCTGTGCCTAGGTTGTAAAACACCGGTGCATCATCATTATTGGTCCCCGGCAGCTCACTTCCATTGTGGCTTTTTTTACTTGAATCCTTTTATTTTTGCAGTAAGTAACATTTTTTTGTCCATCGCCACTTTTTTTCTGCGTTGTAAACTTCCGTTATGTCTTTTTTATCTGCACCGTTTTTTTTTATTTTTTATTTGCAGCGGGCTTTGGTTTCTTTTTTTTTGCATCAATAAGTTCCGTTGTGGCTTCTTTTTTTGCATTCTTTTTTTAATTGCAGCAGTGGTGGTTCTCGGCCACCGTATAAATCACCTCCCTGTGAGCATGGCTCATCATCTGTGGAAACACCCACTCTCGTTTATGTGAACTATAATTGCGGTCTCGGTTCTGTCAGAAATATTTATTTATCGTTTTGGATCTTTTCTCGCCACCGCTGCTAATGAATAACTGATCACTGTTGTCATTATGCGTACTGTCAGATGGATCTGTAACAGAGCTACTTATTGTCCTGGGTAGGCAGTGCGCCCGGCGCTTTGGCTGTGTCAACAGCTCTGAGATAACATGCAGTGCAGCAGTGACAGACCCACATGGAAGAGTCAGCCTGCATCAAAAGGCTTACATGACTGTCCTGACCCTCTTATCAGGCTTTATTGGAAGGTACACAAATGTAAATGAGCCTGCAATTGTGTCTATGTATTATGCATTATCTGTGTCAGGGTGGACCGCAGTACTCTTAAGCTCTGTTGGCGGCATGTGTTACTGGGACTCAGGCTACTTTGGAGTCATTAAGATCTGGTTTTATGGTCCATTTTTTAAGTTATTTAACATTATGTTTACATCCCCTAGTACTTTGTTCAAGGAGGTATGTGGCCGAGGACATTGTCTCTCAAACAAATCTATCAACCTTAACATCTCCAAAGTTGTTGTTTAAAGCTCCTATCAGGAACTTTCTGTTTTGGGTCAGTTTTGGCGCCCCCTGTGGACAAAACAGTCTTTGCACGTCTTGTCCCACACAGACTTGAGAAGTGATTTTTGACAAATAAAATCTCATCCTGCTGAGTGCGCGGAGGATTATCTACAAAAACGCATGTGCAAGATACAAATAAAACGCATGTACAAGATTCGTACAAAACGCATGTTCAAGATACTAAATCGCACATGCAAAATATTAAATGCTCGTGTGATATAGCAAAATGCAAATGCGAGATACTAAATCACATGTGCAAATTAAAAAAATATAAATAAAAGTTCATGTCACCTCCTGCGCTCCGTAACAATCAGTAGTATCAATTTTGTAGATGTTTTATATGGAAATTATAAAAACAGGGCTGTTTCTTTAGCTGTTCTGCTGATACCTACCCTCCCACACCAGCTTCAGGCATAAGAAATAATATAAAAATCCTAAATCTTGTCACATATGGTTTTGTTTGTTTATAGATATTATAAAAAGACACCAACGTTAACTCCTAACTTTGGATGCTGTCGAAAAAATTTGAGTTGAATGATCAGAAGGATCTTTTCAATTGTGAGGCTGTTTCTGCATAGGAGACACGTTTTGACACAGCATATTTTATCTTAACATCCATATTTTACTCTTAATTTTGCTCTTTTCTTTCTCTTACTTAACAGAGTCAAGGCAAAAGAAATGATGGTAATGGAAAAGGCACCATAAGCCCATCGGTTTGATTCACCACAAAAAGCTAGAAAAGTTCTCGGAGATATTAAGAAGGATATTATGTGCTGGAAACAATACGATTAATTATAGTACAAAGAGAGAGAGGAACAAGTTTAGACACCAAGAGGGATGGAGGGTAAGAGTCAGTGGAAAATCTGGACCGTGGAGAGGGAGGAGGAGGAGGAGGTAGATGGGAGGGGATGAAGGAAATGAGGGCATCAAGAGGAGCCTTCCTGTGTTTACAAAGCATTACTGCTGCAGGAGAACAGAGGAGGAAGCTCAAAGCAGGAGGACACGCTGCTCCTCCTCAACGCTCTCATTCATTAGGCTAGATGGGCACGTATCAGCGCCCGCCACTGGCCGTGCCGTCACACCAGCACCATCTGCAGTGGGCGAGGCGAGTACGTGTTGGCATGCGTGTGAGTGTGCATGTCTGATCTAGTGTCTATGTGAGTCGGAGGTCTACTGTCAGCCATCCAGAGAGCCAAGCAGAGGCTACAGACCGGGTTATGTAACCAGTCTGTGCCAGCTGCGCCTGTGGCAGCCACTGTCTCAAACACCCCCATGACACACACTCACAGCAAATACACCTGAGACACTTTCGGTCATGAGTTCGGACAAAAATAGAGGTAGAAGAATGAGGTTGCATACATGACTTCACTTAATTCCTTCCAACAATTACACATGGACACTTTGAAGTCAAGCCTCTGTCAGCGTAAACCCCACAGCTCTGTGTGAGTGTCGGCCCGTGTAGACAGCGGACGGTCACTGGGGTCATATTTTCACAGGGCTGGATGTAGGGAGAGAGGAGGAGATTCAGGCGCTCTCGTCATAGTGTTTGGGGTGAACTTGAGGAAGAAGAGAAAGGAAAACGAGGCGGATGGGGGCGAGGGAGGATTTTTGGGACGAGCGGCTACTGCCAGTGGATCACTGAAGGTGTTACGCAACAGAGCGAGGGAGACAGAGGGAGAGGAGGGGAGGAAAAGGGGTGTGGGAGGGCTGTCTGCTTAATACCTCTTTTTGACTCCTATCCAGAAAATTGTGAGGTCATTGATAGATGGATAAATGGAAAGGTTGGAGGGGGCATGATAGTGGATTGGAGAGGAAATGGAAACAGGGCGGCGGAGAGAGGTTACTCAAAGACACCGAGCGAAGTGAAGGATGGAATAGCTGTTAGCTGGAGCGTTACATTCGGAGGATAAATACAGGATGGGAGGGAGAGTGAGGGGGTCAGAAGGTGGGGTTGAGTGGGCACAGCTGCGAACAAACCAGACAGACAGAAGGATAAATGAAAGGATTTTCGAAAAGGAAGCAACGGATGTGTGCATAGAAAGGCGAGGCAAATATTGCCAGGAAGTCTGGATGGAGATTGAGCTGTAATCCATCTCCTTATGAAACCCCTTCAAGCCTTAAAGCAAAGCCATACTGAGACGCATGCTGTCCAAATTATGCATGAGCTTCTTTGTCTGTCTGGTCCTCCCTGCATGCACACACACACACACACACACACACACGTACACACACACTGACTAAATCTGTGACATTCCAGAGTGAACCAGAAGGTCGCTGTTGGTGTGTGTAGTGGGCGTCTGAGCTCCCGTCACAGTGTCCCTATCACTGTAGTCCTGTCTACACCCATCAATGTGTCACAATAAAAGCCAGACGTACATATATAGACATGCATGAAAACTGGGTCAAACATATTTGATATGATACATCCCAATATTTCTGTCTCTTCCTGCAGCCTTGTTTGGAAAGCCGACACTAACCTAGAAATGAGGTCTAGATGTCTGTGCACAGTTCACTATAGGTCATTTGCTAAAAATGAAACTTGAGCTCTGCAGCTTGTCTTTCCGCTCCTCTGAGCCGCTCTGCTCTCCCAGTCTCCGGCCTTTGCTCATCCCTCAGTCATGCAAGTAAAAGTAATTGTGGACGCTTGTTTATATTTAAACCCCCTGAGCAGGTGCGTGCTTTTGTACCGCTTTCATACGTGTAAATAATTCTGCCGTTTGTATGTTTACCGATGCATGACCGGATTCTCATACCGAGCCTCAGATGGAGGATGAAATCTGGAAGCTGGGTCCTCTTGATCCCCCTGAGAAACTCTCCACACCATCACCAACAAACAACTCCTCCTCCTGGTGTTACATCACTGCTCACATCATTCGCTGCCTCGCAGACCGGCCCTAAGCTCATTACCGCGCGCACACTCCCGCAGGCACGCTGACACACACACACGCACCGACTCCCTGACTCCTCTGGGTCAGTAGTTGAAGCTCTTTCGCTGCGCCCACCCTCCTCTGTCTGCGTCTGTGTTTTTCCCCCCAGAGAGCTTCACATTTGACAGTAGAGGAGGGAAGCGTCAGCAGGGAAAAGCTGTGATTTGTTCTCCTGAGCAACCTTGGTTATTGTTGCGTTTTGCCCTTTTGATCCATGTGGCATGTCTGACTGGATCTAATGCTGATCTGACAGTCCATCTCTTCAATAATCCTCTTCCTTCTGCTCTTGCAATCCCTTTTTTTTCCTACATTGTTGCATTAAAACACGGGGAATGTCTCTCCTTCCCCCTCTTTCACCCTATGCTGATTAAATTTTTCTTACATTTCCTCTCGCCACGATCAAGAGCGACGTGCACACTATGTCACACTTGGCACTTCATCCCTCTGTCCCTAATTCAGCTTTAAGAGGACTTCCGCTCTGGAGGCTGCCCTCACCATTTGACAGATAGCCGTTAGATAAGTGCAAGGCAGTGGCAACTTTTTATTGCTTCTTTTATCTCCTCTCCTCTACCTGTAGTACGTGTTTCGAAAGGTGTCGCAGGCAGACAGGTGGCAAGGGAGGAGAGGGTATTTATAACTCTGAAAAGCACAGTTTTTTATCTGCTCCATATGGACCGTTCAAGAAGAAGAAGAAGAAGTTTCTTTGACAGACATTTCCCTGCAGCTTCAGATAGACAAAGGTACGGTCTGCGGCGGGGATAATTGGTTCACAGGAGAAGTCGGTGTGTGTGAGCTCTTTAGGGAGAAAGGAATAAGTTTTATTTTGCGGCTGTAGTGTCATGAGCAAGTTGGAGATGTGTGAAGACTGAGAAAAGAGGTCATGGCTGAGAGGCAGCGTGCACACATGGCTCAAGTGTCCGATGAATGGGTGCCATTTTTAGCTGCTGGTGTCTGACGGTGCTGGACTGAAGTGTTGCATTGGCATCCACGTCAATGGCATAACAAGTGAGGGCCTTTATGAATGTTTCAGATGCTCTATTTATGGGGCCTTGGGGTGGGTCTTTGAACTCGTTGCAGGGACGGATGGACTGATTAGTTGACTAAGTGTGTGTGTAAAGGAGGGGGGGGCGGGGTTATGTAATAGAGCCGATTCTTCCAAGAATGTTTTTTTTCTTCTGAAAGTTGGTTTTAACAAGTGCTTTGACATGTCAGAAATGTTTGTAAGCAGTTTATGGAAAGGGGATTTTAATAAGCTTTTCACAGCTATGTGTGCTCTACTGAACTGAGTACCTTCCCACTTTATCTTGTGTGGAGGTTAAGTGCACAATTATAAGTGGTCAAACATGCTAACACTCAAGTTAAATCTATTTCCCTCTGTGGACGCCATTAGTAAATTTATTTGACCCCAAAAAGAAGATGCACAGCTCCTCCTGGGCTTTCGGTTGACCTAAAAAGTTAATGCAAAATACACGAATCCCTACTAAAGGCTTTTGTAATTGACATTTGACCCTCGTTTGCTGCAGAGTTGGATGTCTTATCACTGTTGTTTTCTGTGAAGTGAGGATATTGTCTCTGAATCAAAAGGGGAACGAATAGAAAGAAGACAGACAAGAGGAGAAAAGGTTGTCTTTCTCTTTTTGTCTCCCTGTCTTTCTCTTTCTCTCTGTGCTGGTACAGAAATAGCTCTGCTGTCCCTCTATTCCTCAGCCTGCGAACCATGTGTTCAGTTTGGGAGTTTGGCAGAAGCCTCTGTTCGCTGGTCAGCGCAGCTATGGGGGCTCAGAGCCTTAACAAAGCTCCCTTAGCCTCCCGACATTTAGTGGCTACCGCTCTCAATGTTAGCTGCTTTCCTTGTCATTCCTCCTGGGAATCATAATCGATGTGATTTTTAATTTTCCATTAATATTAAATTAACCCGTCTCTCTGTTTTCTCCTTTCTACGATCCTCCAGGGCCCTCTCCATGGATATAGACACAGACTATGAGCGGCCCAATGTGGAAACCATTAAATGTGTGGTGGTTGGGGATAATGCAGTAGGCAAGACAAGGCTAATCTGTGCCCGGGCCTGCAACGCCACCCTCACACAGTATCAGCTGCTTGCCACCCACGTGCCAACCGTCTGGGCCATCGACCAGTACCGAGTATGCCAGGAGGTGGGCAAACACACTCACACGTTGGAAAAAGCAACATATAGACAAACTTTGGTGCACTTTTTGACACGCTCTTGAGTGGAATAATTGTTGCATATGTATCTGAACCACATCCTCTATCAGCCCAGGGAAATACAACCATATCTAGAAAAAAAAGACCATGCAGTGGACATTGTGCAATCTTAATCCCAGTGATTGCGTAATACCTCAATCCCTCTGGAAACTGAAAAAATCACTCTGAAGTAAAGACCTTTTGACCTGATCACAAGGATATGTGCGTGCTTGTGTGTGTTCCTGTGTGTGTGTATGTGTGTGTGTGTTGCAGGTGTTAGAGAGATCTCGTGATGTTGTGGATGAGGTCAGCGTGTCCCTGAGGTTATGGGACACATTCGGGGATCATCACAAAGACAGACGATTTGCGTATGGCAGGTGAGCAGAAACCTACAGAAATATGAACACACACACACACTTACTGTATTTATGTGTCTGAAGCCTACTTATTGACCCAATAACACAATTTCTGGTTCACTACTATGTCAACCACCATGCAGTGTGTCCTATTATCCTTTTCAGTGCTGCCAAGAGATGAGGTTATCTCAGCTGTAGGATTTATGAGGCATTGGCTCAGCTTCTTTACAAACCAAATTCATCATTTATCCCGGTGAATAAAACTTACAGCAAAGACTGAAGCTAATCCATCGCACCTACGTCATTATGTAACAGTTGGCAAACAAAAAAGTAGTTTTTTGGTGTAATCCTGCTGCCACAGTTTCTAAAGTTGAGCTCTGCCCCCAGCTGTTGCACCCGTTTTCCAGCTGACATGATTGGATCGTCGCTCTATCCTCTTATTCTCCATCCCTCTACTGAAGCTGCTTTATCGGCATGAAATGCACACAAAATCAGTTCAATTCAAACGATATTAACAGGGAAAGTTGACAATATCCATGATGAAATGAGTGCTGCACAAGGCTCATTAGTTTTTTGTTCTGACACATGCATGAATTTTGTGCTGACAGTTGCTTTTGGTTTCAGAGTTCATTAAATTTAGTCTCAGTTAGGTGTAGAGTAAATTAAAACTGCAGCTGTTTGCTGTCTTTGTCTATTTATGTTGCAATCCTACCACTTTTATCTGTATTAGTCATAACTTTATTGGTCTTTTACATAGTCCTAAACCATAACCAAGACCTCACAGAAACCACCACATGTCTATTTTTCCCACTCTGACATGCTGTGTGAACTTTGTGACACTCAACAGCTTGTGCATTATTGGGTTGCTTGTGGTTCAGTTTGTAGATCACATTTCCTGCCCTCTGTCTGTTACACTCTCTCTCTCTCTCTCTCTCTCTCTCTCTTTCTGTCTCTCTGAGCGTTGGTACATTTACACAGTGATCTGCTTCTGTTTGTTTATGTGTGTGATGTGTGTGCGTGTCTGTCCACATGTCCTGTATGCTTTGTCAGCCTGCAGTCAGCTGATAAAGACGCAGTGCCAGCTCAGCTGTTTTCTGCCTGCTTGGCTGCCTGGCGTCTGCAGCTCCAGGCAACATCCTCCTCCTCTTCATCTTCCTCCTCTCTTCTCACTTCCCTCTCTTCTAGCTACATTTGTTCTTCTGGCCCATCTCCTCCCCTCCAACCTTCCCTCAGACTCTTTTTTTTTTTCACCTCACCTAACACTTCACCTCCTTTTCCCCTCATTTCCCTGAATCACCTTGTTACTTAACTCCCGCAGTCTTTACCCTTGAGTCTCACCTGCTCTACCCTCGCGACACCCTTCTTCATTCTGTTGTTTATGTCAAAACTCAAAACATCACATTGTCAGACATCAGCCAGACTGTCACATGCTTCATTAGGCTCGGGACATTCGGGGTTGGCAAACAGTGTAAGCCTGAAAATAGGCCAAACCAAACTTAATGGAGCCATCCTCGATGTTTTTCTGTTTGCTGCATTCATACAAAAACAAAAAAGAAGAAGAAGAAGGAGGAAAAAAAACAAACATGTTGAACCTGAGGCGTTCTTTCCAAATCTGTTTAAGTAGCATGTTATCTACCTTTATGGCACTGTTGTGACGGACCTAATGGCAAATAAGAGGAGTCGTGCCAGGTTGTGTGATTGCAGTGTCACAAATAAGTCTACATGAGATCCATCTTCATTGTAATAGAAAATCTGATTATTGAGAACATCTCGGCTGTGTGTGCGCGTGCGTGTGTGTGTGTGTGAGTCCCTGTGCGCATATGTGTGTCTCCCCTTACATAATCTGGCAACGGATGACCTTTGTAGTTTGGATCCAATACAAACACACACTGGCACACACACACACTGACACAGAGAGAGAGAAAACACTAGACGACCAGCGACTGGTGGAGCTATCTTTTATAAATTATTGCTTGTGGTTAATTATTAGTGAGCAACACCGCAGAATTGCTCGCCTGATACTGCATGACTTTGCATTATGTACAGACCCTTTTAAATGTTGTAAATAAAACATAAACATGAAAACAACATGTGGATCAATTAGACTGACCCTGGAGTTGAACCTGGTAAAAATGCAGCACTAATCGATTCTTGAAATACCGATTTTCATTTTGAAGATTTTATCACGACTGCTTGAGAGACACGTGAAGATCAGACAGATTAAAAAGCCCACCGAGGATCTGTGCGCTGTTTTACGTAATTGCACCCTCTTAGTTTTTGCAATTATAGTCTTATTACAGCAGTTGACTTACAGCAGGTTGATGAAAAAAAATTATCCTTTAACCACGAGCACAAAGGCACGTACACATGACATGGCCTGAAACACACTAAGCCGTGGTAATGATCTCTTGACAAAGTGCTAATGGGAGTTCCTGTGAGTGTGTGTGTGAGCGAGAGAGAGAGAGAGTTATGATGTAATGCATTGACTGTATTTTATGTGGGAGGACGCTTTCTGAGATTGCAGTCAGTTGGTCTATGAACCTGATTTTACTCAGCAAAAAATGATCAGTTTTATTTAGTGCATCGCTCAATAAGTAATCTAGCTTTTAGGGTGTTTGTATTGAGTTTGGAGCAGGTGGAATTTTTTGATTCGAGTCCAGTAAAGGCAGACTTGAGGGTTAAATTTAAGATGAAACAAGTGTATAGGACAGTGTCTTTTCTTTTTTTATATTGCAGCCTTTGTTGGCTCGGTAAATAGGCCGCGTTCGCTGCAGCACAGGTAGTTTACCCCAGGGAAATAAGAGAAGTGGTTAAGTGGTGTGTAATGCTGCTCTCAAGTTCAGGATGCGGTCTAACAGCTCGCATCTTCTGGTGACTTCTGTGTGCCCTTTGCAAATGTCAAGAATATATTTCATTATCTGCGGTGCGGGCTATCAGCGGAGGTTAATGTAGCATGCAAGTAAGAACAACAAGTTTGGCTGCTTTAAAGCAGTCCCGGTCGTTTTCAAAGGCAAAGTGTTAATGTGTTGTTTTTAAAGAAATAAGTTATCGAGAGATTTGAGATTCTTGCCTGGTCAGCAAGTTCTGATACTTAATGATCCATCTCACTGACACACAGCTCCATTTATCTTAACTCAGAAAACAGACCTACATGTACAAACATGCCGTAGAAATATTCACACCGGCGCAGCTGTGAGAGCCGCCGTCTGCTAGCTAAAACACATCAGTAAAGAAACTACATTTGTGTGTGTTTTTGTATATGTGTATATGTGTATTTGTGTGTGTGTGTGTGTGTGTGTGTGTGTGTGTATCGTGATCTATTCTTAGCCTCCGCGTTGTGGTCCATGTAGCCTTGGAGGGCTTAGAGAGATTTACGTAAGAGAACGAGAGAGATGGGCTACACAGATCACCAGCCCAGAGGCCGACACACACACACACACACTCACACACAGAAATACACACACACACACACACACACACACACAGAGCTTGTGACTCTGGCTTTCTCAATGGCACCGTCCATGCTCCCATAATGCCTTGCAGCAGCTGAACAAGCTTTGTCCATACACACATCACACATGTTTTAACATAATCTGACAAGATGTTCGGTGACTCAGTCCTGTTCCCTTTTCTTTCTCTTTTCTGTCCCCTTCACTCCATCAAACCGCGCGCGTCGTCTCTGATGACGTCTCTCTACGTCGTCTTTTTCCTCTTGTCTATCATCTCTGTCGTGTAGTTTGAACATCAAATGATGACCTTTTTTCCTCTCTCTCTCTCTCCTCTCTTTATAGGTCTGATGTGGTGGTGCTTTGCTTTTCTCTGGCTAATCCCAATTCCCTGCGCCATGTCCGCACCATGTGGTTCCCAGAGATCAAGCATTTCTGTCCCCGAACACCCATCATTCTGGTTGGCTGCCAGCTGGATCTGCGCTACGCCGACCTGGATGCGGTAAACCGTGCAAGGCGACCCCTAGCCAAGTGAGACACCTTTCCCCTCGGTCATTTATAGAGAGATCGCAATAAAACATGTACTGTTTTAGCTAGGATTGCTCCTGTTCATCAGTCATCGGTACAGAAATGTAACGGTAATCGCTGTAAATAGGGCTTTGACATTTCCTCTTCCTATCTTTGATTAATTTGATTAATGTTAAAGAAAACCCTGTCAGGTTTTAAGAGGAACTTTGGGCTCTGAGAGACAGTGATGTCTTAAACTGAGAGCTTCTTTTAACAGCATTGACCTATAATTTATTTAAGGGATGGAACAACAGAGATTACGGTCAATAGATAAATAGTATTAGCGTCTTAAGTACAGAGTTTTGGCAAAGTTCCTAAATTATCCTCTTTCCTGTCTCTTACTTAGACCCATCAAACCCACAGACATCCTCCCCCCAGAGAGAGGCCATGAGGTCGCAAAGGAGCTTGGGATTCCCTACTATGAGACCAGCATTGTCGCCCAGTTTGGAGTCAAAGATGTTTTTGACAACGCCATCCGAGCTGCCCTCATCTCCCGTCGTCACCTGCAGTTCTGGAAGTCTCACCTGAAGAAGGTCCAGAGGCCCCTCCTCCAGGCGCCTTTCCTTCCTCCTCGCCCGCCACGCCCCATCGTGGGGATCCCAGACCCCCCTCCTGCAGATGGCGAGGGTCCCGACTCCCTTTTCTGCCTGCCTCTGTGCGCAGATGTTCTTTTCCTCCTGCAGGGTGGCGCCACTCGCGTCTTTGCACACAAAGTCTACCTGGCCACCTCCTGCTCCAAGTTCTACGACCTCTTCACGCTGGATCTTGGCGGTTCAAGTAAAACCCCGCAAGGAGAGGAACAGGAGAACAAAGAAAACCTGGATATCGCGGAAGAAGATGAGCAGAGCAGGAGAGGAGCCAAGGAGCAGGCCGGGCGCACTAAGAGTCTTGACATCGATAAAGACGGGGTGGATGGAGGAGTGCGAGGCCTGAATCGACCCCAGCTGCTCCAGCAGGGCTCTTTGAGGACTTCTCAGAGTGATAATGCACTCCCATCTCGAGCTCTGTACTCCCTAGGAGCACTAGGGACTGGGCGAGCTCTTTCAGGGTGGGGGAGGGGCTTCTTGAGTGTTTGTCTGGAGCATGTTGATGATCCCATGACCGGACGACCCCGACTCATGACTGTTGTAGCCATGGATGCACTTATACAGGAGGAACCATTCAAGGTGCGCCTCAGAATTGTCGTATTTTCTTCTTAAACACGAGTTTGTTTGTATTTAAACTGCATATTTAACTTCCTCTGTTTTCAGGCGGTGCTTCAGTACCTCTACACTGGCAGTTTGGATGAGGGCCGAGGAGATCTAATGCAGGTGGCGACCATCGCTGAGCTACTCGAGGTGTTTGACCTGCGGATGATGGTGGCAAACGTCCTCAACAGGGAGAGCTTCATGAACCAGGAGATCACCAAGGCTTTCCACGTCCGCAGAGCCAACCGCATCAAGGAGTGTCTCAACAAAGGGACCTTTGCTGGTAAAACACACTGCAAACCACCAGCACCTCGATGATTTCCGAGCATCGGTGTCATTGTTAATGTTTTTCATGTATAGTATGCATCAGTAAGTTTGTTTGGAAGTGTGTGCATGCTTGTGTGTGTGTGTATAAGAGAGTGGGAGTGGTAGAGATGGACAGAAAAGATGTTGCTAATCTCCAGCATTCTCTTTCAGTCTCTGGAAATGTACCTTGTTTACATTTCCTCTGGTATTTTCCATCGAACGTTTGCTGAAAAATGTGCATTTTTACACGTTGTGGTTTATCTGTCTTCTGTTGAAGTCATCAAGTCGTTTGATGACAGTGGTGTCAGTCTGCCTGGTTGTCTTGTGTTCACTCTTGTGTGCTTCCTGTGTCTCGTGTCTGTGTGGTGTTGTCAGTCCACCCCCTCTAACCGTTCTGTGTGCATGTTATCATTTGCAGCCAGTGCCTGACATCTGTCTCTGAACACAGCCTGTCTCTCATTCATATCTTTCTACACTTTCTCCTTTGTTTCGTGGTCTTAGAAATGATAATTTAAAATGTCTATAAGAAATTCCATGAATACAAAAAGCTCTTCAATTGTAAAACAGATGTTTACTCTCGCTTATTCTTTTAGAATGAATAAAAGATAAGCGTAAACCTTACTTTTAATACATATTTTCTGTTTAGGAAGGTAGTATTGTTTGATATCAATAATTATTATTATTGAATTTCCCTTCGGGGATCAATAAAGTACTTCTTCTTCTTCTTCTTCTTCTTCTTCTTCTTCTTCTTCTTCTTCTTCTTCTTCTATTATTATTAAAGCTCCTTTGGGGAGTTTTTGATGTGTATAAAATAGACTTAAATTTCTGCTGATGTCTTTTAATAGGGTGACCATACGTCCTCTTTTATCCAGAAATGTCCTCTGGGGGCTGTCCGGCCTTGTTGGGCTTTGTCCAGGGAAGTTTAGAAAATCCTTTAATTGTCCGGGGTTTTGTTCGGAAGTTTCGAGTTTATGTCTTGTGGACTTAGAAGCATGTAAAAGACACTCGATCCAACCCCAAAAAACTGTCAAAATTTACTTCGTGCGACTCTGTGACTCCGCCCCTCGCGTAGTCGTGTCCTCTTTTTGGGATGTCAGAGTATGGTCACCCTACTTTTCATGATGTCTAAAAACAAACAAGACCATCAGCAACAACATAAACATATTGTATATTCTGATTATATTGCCTAAAACCAGTCGAAAGGGAATAGGTGTCAACCATGAAGCTTAAGAAATAGTCCCGTTTTTACAATTTCCACCAAAAAATGAAAAATCTGATGATCAAAAGTCAGCAGGATGAGGTTTATTGTCAAAAATTTGCACTCAAGTTTGTAGAAGAAAAGATAAACAGACTCCTTTGTCCACAGGGGGGAGCCAAAATCAACACAAACCCAAAGTCCCCCACAGGAACTTTAAAAAATAGTATCTAAAATTATTAGGAGAGTATGTGTAAGGAAATTAGTATGAGAACAGGTAGCACTTACAGACTGCAGACTTTTTTTTTAATCCAAAGCTGGTCGAAATAGCAGCAGTTACTGTCAGGAGTGTAAGGAAGCGGGAATTTCACGTGTTAAATATAAAGCAGATACAGAAGTGCAGAAAAAGGCAGTTCCTCTTATGCCAGCTTGAGCCCAAGACACACCAGAATTAATCATATTTGGAACAGAAACCAGGTTTGGCCTGAATAGCTGTTTTCTTTATTTGTGCACACTGCACAGGGGTGACTGTTTGTATAATTTGTATCAGTCATATATATGTAAATAAATACAGAAGATACTAATCTCTCCATAATCCCCCTCCTCGCGTCTGCTCTCCTTCCCTTACTCTTTGTCAAAAGCTGTTCTGTCCCCCTGTCAATTTATCTCTCTGTCTGTCTATCTGTGTCTACGTCTCTGTGTGTGTCTCCTGTCTTTCTTTCTTTCTGTGTGTGTGTGTATGTGTGTGTGGACGTCTACCTTGTCTGTCTTTCCCCCCTCTGTAGCTTGGGCTTCTGTGGCACTCCACGAGATGAACACTCTTTTCCCACCCCGGTTTTAGATGTGGTGTTCCGGCTGGACGATGGCTGCCTCCCGGCCCACAAACCCCTGCTCATCTCCAGCTGCAGTTGGATGGCGGCCATGTTTCGCGGCTCCTTCATGGAAAGCTACACCGAGGAGGTGAGTGAAGCCGTACTCTGACAGGAAAGCTTAAGAGTGGGGTTACTTTTTGATGAATCTTGTTGGTTTACAACGTTTAACTCTTAAACTCAGAGAAAACCTTATCAAACAGCCGTACTCAGCATGTGCAGACAAGAGCGGTTACATCTGATAAAAGTAACGAGGTCAAGGTTAAGAGGTTACTGGGATAAGTTACACTCTCAGTCAGTACGCAAAGTGAGCCCAGAGAAATCGGTCTTTCCAGGTCAGCATTCCACATGTGGTGTGTCGGGTTACTTCAGGTGTGCTCTCACCTGAGGTTCAGCTTCTGGTCGCTGAGTGCTCCCTCTGGGACAGGGACCTGACCCATCTAGACAGGAAGTTCAAGTCTTAAGCTGTCTTAAAATCGACTCTCCTCGTACTATGTTGCAGAAACAGATCCCTTGGGTTTGGTTACTTTCAAGGCCGGCGGGCTTGAGTTACAAAGATTCAGACCTCTAGAAGGATTATGAGAAACTCGTACAAAGATGAATAAAAATGTTGCATACCCAGTTCGTGAGATCAGTAAAGTTATGAAAGCTCTAGTAGACCGTTTTATTTCTACATTGATATCCTGGATTTATTCTGTATCACTCCATGTGAGTGGGTGTGGAAAAAAAGCCATTGAAGCTATTGTGGACATCAGCCTTACTGAGAGAAACTGTGGGCTGCCGGTGTCTATGGTTACTCTGAACGCTTCATCTCAGGGACTTGTGTGGCATTATTTGTGGCATGAAACTGGCACAGAGTAGAGGGCAGGTGCCCCGTAGACAAAGACTCAAAGAGTGATCGCACAATAGAGCAGGGAACATTTATTGTTTATGAGCAGGAGTGATTTTTTTGTTTTAGTCTGTGAATGAGAATATTTTGTTGAAAAGCTTTGCAGTGAAAATCGACATGAATTAGATTTTTATCAGCTGCACCTTTTTGGATAAGTAAATATGTATACCGCAAAGTGTTATAAGTGTTCAGTTTACAGTATATCTTATTTACTAATGAATTTGTTTTAGTAGCGATGCCAGAAATGTTGCTAAAACACCTATAAGATGCAGAGCTCTTAAAGCATCACACACTTGTGCAACCCTGACACAGCAGATGGTCTAGTTCTGCTCAGTTACACTGGAAAACTATTTAGAGATTCTGATATACAGGATTTATAAAAAACAAAGTGTAGATAAAGACAAGTTGAGAAAAACAAGAAATTATTTCAATCGAGATCGACACAGAAAGATAAATAAATCATTATAATATCATATTTTAAATGTTTTCTGGCTGAAAGGAGCACTAAACAGTAAATATACTTTGTAAAAATTTGTATTTGAACCTGCAACTTTATCTATCGAAGAAGCATGTGATCAGCTAATGCCTCTCTGTTTCACTCTCATGTCACACTGCCTTCACATTCCTCTTAGGCTTATACAGTGTTCACCCTGTTAAACCATATTATGACTGTTCAAGTTTAGTGAGGAATAACTCTAATTTAGCAGTTATCATTATTGTTTTTGGTTTTATAACTGCTCAAAGCTGCTGTGAGGAGTTTTAAGCTGCGATTGAAATGAACACCACTATCTCTTTTTGGCCTTAAAAAACAAACAAGACCAACAACAGAAAGAGTTACCATTTCTATACTGCTGTTTTTCATGTCTAAAGCCTCTGGTGGAGGAAAAGAGTCACACCAAGAGTTCACTCGAAAGCTGCTGATAGTCTTTTATCCACATGTTACAAAGCCAAGACTCTCATTAATGTCATATTTAAAGAAAGCAGGATAAGTTTTTTACGTACATGAACCAGACAAAATCAGTAAAACAAAACAAACTTTGTCCCCTGTGGACAATGTTGTACTGTACATGTGTAGTAGGGCTGTCACTATATCATATTTTCACTGCAATATATGATATATCACGATGAAGATATTGTGACATTCACGCTAAAGCTGAAAATAAACCATCAGCCAAATTGAGGAAATGTAAGACAAGGGTGAATTAACATGTTATTTTATAAACTTGATAAGTAGACTACACACAGTTACCTTACATGTCATGATCCATTTCTAGTTATATTTAAATTTAACCACATCACCAACTCTATGACTGAAACTTCCATAGAGCAGACACTGCCCCATAAATGATTATCATGCTTTTATTTTGATTTTTTTCTGTCATGTTTAGATTGCTTTATATCATGCATGTTCAAATTATGCTTTTTTTTTGAAGTATACAACTTCCCGTAGACTGTAAGTGAAGAAACTGAAAGAAAACACTTAAATATTCAATACCCACAATCATACCCAGTATCATACCCACATGTTGTTTTCAGTTTTGACAATCTACATTTTTACAGTGCATCTTAAATTTCCACTCCCCTGATGAATTTAATTTCTATCAAATCTTATTCACAACCTTAAATTGTTTCAGCTGTTTGTATTTTCCATCAGATTTTCCAAACAAAATTGTTCGACTTTGTTGGTTTTCCAGTTAGATTAACAAATAATTGACCACCAGGACAGCAGTGAGCACTGGCCACTTAACACGCGTCAGTCCAGCCGGTCTAATCCACGAACGACCGCCCTCTGTGTATGTGTCCACCTATTAATGCTTCCTGGTTCCAGCTGGGGCTTTCAGCACCAGAGACCACCCTCGTGTCCGTGTTGTGACTTTATAGTCATAATGAGAGGTTGCGTCAAGCTGACATTCTCTTAATTGGAGGCTGAAGAGCGCCTCAGTGGGGACACTCAAAGCTCCTGGAGGGGTCAGGTCGTCACTCCCGTCATCATCTACTCTCCTTCAGTCCTTTCAGAGCTGGAGCTCCACCTCTAGCTAAATTGCTGTTCGTCTGCCTGACAGCAATTAGGCTCATAAAAAGGTCTCGCTCATTAGTATGCATTTATTTATTTAACTATCCAAAAGGGCTCGCTGACAAGGACTGGTGTGCTTTTGGGGTAGTGTGCTGCCAAATGATGATTTGGCGACATCTAGGGGTCATCTAGGGGTATCAAATGTACAGTACTTGAAGTGTACTCAAGTTTGGCAGTGATGGTTAAGTTTTCCAATACATGTTTGAACTTGGGAAGACAGAGCTTGGGGGGACAGAGCCTTCTCCGCTGCCACCCCTACCCTCTGGAATTCACTCCCTAAACCCATCCGAGACTGCACAGACCCCCACACTTTTAAATCACTCCTAAAAACACCTTTTAAAATTAGCTTTTAACCCATGAACTCTTCTTTTATTGCCTTCTCATATTGTGTCTTTTTTAACCTTTTACATCGTTGGTTTTATTTCTCAAAATTTTCTGTATTTTAAATTGTGTTTTTTCATTTTATTGTCTTCTTTTTCTTTGTAAGGCATCTTTGAGCACCTGTAAAAGCGCGTTATAAATAAGATTTATTATTATTATTTATTATTAAAATTTATTATTTTGTTTGTGTCATTTGTGGAAAGAGTTTAGATCTGCATACAGCTTTGATACACTTTAGGCTGGGTCTGTGCTCAGCCTTTAGCATTAACTTTAGCCAACATGCTTACATAACCAGTCCACCTGAGCAGATATGAGCAGAGCATCAAGTGTTTTCCCCATAACTCTGAACTCTCATTAATTTCATTTTTATCATTAACGCCTTTTGGGCTAGCATTGGATTACTCTAAATGTAACATAGGAGCAACATGTTATTTATTGTGGGTGCAATCAAACTCTTGGGCTTTCACTGAGCTGTTGAAACTATTAAAGAAGTAATGGCTTCATGGTCATCTCTTTACGTGGTCTCGTTCAGGTCCCCATCCCTAACACCAGCACAGCCTGTATGCGCGGTGTGTTGGAGTTCCTGTACTGCGGTCTGCTGACACCATCTCCCGGTCTGGAGGCCATGGAGCTAATCATTTTGGCCAACCGCCTCTGTTTGCCACGCCTTGTTGCCCTCACAGGTAAAGACTCTCCATATACGGCGACACTCACTTGAATGTGTTGTCCTGATTTATACGGCAGAATTTGCTCTGTGCACAGACTGTCATTAATGAATGACAGGGGAATTTATTGCACTCACAGTGAGTTATGTTGCTAGACAGACCAAGAATTTACGGCTGGGAGATAAAAAATGAAGGTCCTGTAAATATTGAAATCACTCTGTGTACTTTTTGGCATCTTCAGAACAGCATGCTGTGGATGAGCTGCTCCAGCTGGCAGTGAAAGGAGGTGACATTGATGGGCAGGTGTTGGCTTATCTCGAGGTTGCACAGGTGTGTTTGTAGTCTTCAAACACCTTGGACTGATCATAAGTTGTTTTTTTATGTTGAATAGCAACTGTGGGCAGATTCAATGGAAAAAATGTAACCTAAGATTGGCTAGAGCTGGTGGCATGTCTCAAATCTCCTGTTTTTTATTTTGTTTTCACAGTTCCACAATGCCAAGCAGCTATCAGCTTGGTGTCTCCATCACATCTGCACTAATTACAACAGCATCTGCCGCAAATTTCCCAAAGACATGAAGGCCATGTCTCCAGGTAAGAGCTGCCTCTCCTCAGCCAGTGTGTCGTAAAGCTATAAACATATTTACTTGGCAACAGCAAATATTAGTTCCATTTGGAGTCATTTGATACAAAGAAAAAATTAGGAAAAATGTTAAAAAATATTTAAGTGTGAGGGTAAAGTTGGGGTAATGTTGGGGTATTGTGGTTAGGGTTATTGGGTTAGGGTTAAAATCACTGTCTAGGACCTTTATAGGAGCAAGTTTTAGACCATTTGGAGTCAATTGCTACAAAAAAAATTAGGAAAAATGTCCAAAAAAAATTTAAGTGTTGGGGTTACGTTGGGGGAATGTTGGGGTATTAAGGCTAGGGTAAGGGTTAGGATTAGGGTTATGGGGTTAGGTTTAAAATCACCGTTCAGAACCTTTTTAGGAGCACGTTTCAGACCATCTGAAGTCAATTGGTACAAAAATAATTGGGAAGAATGTCAAAGAAAAAATTTAAGTATAGGGGTTACGTTGAGGTGACGTTGGGGTTAGGGTTAGGGTTATTGGGTTAGGGTTGAAATAACTGTCCAGGACCTTTTTAGGAGCAAGTTTTAGACCATTTGGAGTCAATTGCTACAAAAAAAATTAGGAAAAATGTCAATTCTTTTTAAGTGTTAGGGTTACGTTGGGGGAATGTTGGGGTATTGAGGTTAGGGTAAGTGTTAGGATTAGGGTTATGGGGTTAGGATTAAAATCACTGTCTAGGATGTTTTAAGGAGCACATTTCAGACCATTTGGTGTCAAATGGTACAAAAATAATTGGGAAAATGTAAAAAAAAAAAATTAAGTATAAGGGTTGTTTTGAGGTGACGTTGGGGTTATGGGGTTAGGGTTGGGGTTAAAATCACTGTTCAGGAGCGTTTTAAAACAAGGACATGAAGGCCATGTCTCCAGGTAAGAGCTGCCTCTCCTGGGCCAGTGTGTCGTAAAGCTATAAATACATTTAAATAAAATACATTTACACTTGTCAACAGCAAATATTATTTCTCCCTAAGCTGTAGGGAGGATATCTTAGCAGCTTATGGATCTATTTTGATGTAAAAAGATGAAACAAAAACAGAGATGTCTTATATTCATCACGGTGTCTGTTCATGTAAGCGTTTTCCTCCTGTCTGCAGAGAACCAGAGGCACTTTGAGAAGCAGCGGTGGCCGCCCGTCTGGTTCCTGAAGGAGGAAGATCGCTACTTGCGCTCTCAGAAGGAGCGCGAGCGAGAGGAGGAGATCTTGCGCAAACAACACACCAAACGGGGCTGGTGTTTCTGGAGACACCCGTCCTCCTCTCCACACGTCTCCTAAAGGGTTTCTTCCACTGACTTCGTCATCCTGACCTGGGTTGTCCCATCCAGGATAACAACCCCCACCCCCCGTAACGCTTCTAGAGGAGGAGGTCGACTTTGAACCGTCAATCAGAGGAGAATGACTCTCAGTGCGATTCTGCCTGAATGTCAACTTGTTTGGGGGAATGTATGTGCCTCTTTATAACTGTGGGTGACTTCATGAGTGCATTTTCTTGTATGACAAGTGTAGACTTAACTAAAGGGTATGTGCGTTGGTGTGTGAGCGTATGTTTGCAGTTTTGATGATAGGGTGATGCTTCCGAGTTGTCTGCTTCCCTGACGCCCTGATCGGTAAGGGCCTGCAGCATTGCAGTGCAGCCCCCCTCGTCCCCTCCACCAGAGCTCCATCCCTCCACCAGCACTCACAGCGTCCCAGCCTTTGAGTGATTGGACTGGGAGCAAGGGCTCTCTATCTCTCTCAGTCTCCATCCTTCACATTGACCTTAATGACTATGACACATTGAACACCACCGCTCCTCTCAGGGAGCTTACCTCTGCCTTCACTTCTTCGCAGACTGTTAGCTTGCACATGCAGACCCGTGCAAAAGATCCGCCCCTCTGAAACCAGCACTGGAATCCCAGGAATAGACGATTACATGAATTTACTATTAATTTGATATAATTGGAACTTTTTATAAGCACTTTTTTGATGAGGTTCGCTAACCCAAGGAAGTGTTGAGGACTTTGATTGCTGCAACCACAATGATGGGACTATTATTGTAGAGCACAGTTTTGAGTGGAAGAGCAACCTTACAACCATGAGCAAGTAAGGACGCTCCATCGGGAGGCCTAATAATAGCTGTTAGCCTCCTATTAAGTATTGATGTGGTATTTGGTGTCCGTCACACACCCCTGCACCTCCCACTTTCTCGTCATACAACCTACACGAGCAAACAAAGCAAAACAAAAGCTCTCCTTGACGAGCCGGATTCACCAAACTGCACTTCAGAGACATTCAAAGTGACCACTCTGTGACAGGGGCAACGAGGGCTAGCCTTACATTGATACCTCTGCCACGGAGGATTGATGGGTACAGTATTATCTAACGTGCTTGTAAACGTCCATGACCACTAGGCTGGCTCTGAAGCACCTCAGCCGGCCTGCCTTTACACCCCTAAACCACTAGGGGCAGCACTGCTCAGGGCCCCAGCACTAACCTTCACTCTAACAAAGAGTTTTTATGTCTAAGATGTCCTCGCTCTTGTTTCAGTTATTAAGAACATCAGTATAACTTCAATTCTTGCAAAGTTTAGAGCACAAGCGCAGTGTTTTTAGTGCATTTTGAAAACTAAACCTGTTGATTTTTGATCTGTTTCTGAAAACCAAAGCTGTGATTCTTTTGAGCTCTTTCTTCCTCACTTGCTCCCTGCTTCCTCTCTGGAAGGAAGAGGAGGAGAAAGTAGGCAGTGGGTGAAGAAAGCAGTATGACGTGGTGATTAAATCCCTCCGTGTGGTGGTGTTTTTCGGTGAATAGTGTCAGGAGAAAAGTGTCTCAGCTGGACATTGCCTTCCATTCCTCTCGCTGGAATTGAAAAAAATGGTGCTTACGACGCAGTAAGACAGTGTCCACACGAACACGCAGCAAACACCGCCGCTGAATTGTCTGTCTTGTTTAGTGTTAATCTGCAGTGATGTGCAGAAATATATTGATGGTATTGCAGTTTTTGACACATGAGCAATTTTAAAAGCATTAATTTTTCTTCTTCATTTGCTAACAGTCTGTAGGAGGTCATGAGAGGTCACCGCTTTTTCAGAATGTGTAGATCTCTCACAAACAGTGGTTACATCCTTATAATGTCTTTTTGCTGCTTTTGTATTCAGTGTGATCCGTTTTTGCTTCCTTGTTGATATTAATACTTTAATTGAATTTGCAGCCGCGCGTGTTGTCCCAGCTGACAAACAGTGTGATGAAGTATACCTGCGGATGAGAGCAAATCAGATTTTTCTTGTCAGGGGTGCTAATTTCTTTGGGCTTTGGAGCCGAATGTGACAACAAGACGGCGTGGTGATGAGTTTCTATTAGCACTTTGTTCTATTTGTGGGTTTGCGCCCCTCAGCTTTTACCCAGGGCACTGTAGGACACAGAGAGATGGTGTGAGACATGTGGTGTGCTCTGCCTTTGTCCACGAGTGGTGAGCTAAAATCACTGTCGAAAAAAGAAAAAAAAAACAGAAGAAGTTGGATCTTATCTCATGAGACCCAAGTGAGAATTGAGCTGATCTGTCTCTGAAAAAGCGTGAGAGTGAACAAGTCTCGGCTAGCGTAACATGCAACCTACACAGTTTGGAGCAAATCCGTCAACATTTAAACAAAGAGAAGAAAAGTGGGCGATTGATTTCTTGGCCTCTTTTTAGTCCCACATAGATGGATTAGCGATTAGATTGGTCATGTCTATTGTCTGTACGACCTGATAAGCCTCTTCTTTCAGTCCAAGTGCCTTATAGTTGGACATAGTTAAAAATAGTTTGGGAATTTAGCCAGACCTAGGTTTAAACATGCAGACGGGTTCTGCAGTGGTGGATAACATTAACAATGGCCATGATGTTAAAAATTAAAAAAAAAAAAAGAAAAAAAAAAAGGTGTTGCTAGACTCTCATTCTCCTGTCGTCCTTCTTAGGAGATTTTTGAGCCTCCCTGAAAATAAATTGTAGGCCTCTTGCTTGTTTTTATGCAGAAACAAGGTCTCGAGTTAATCTTTCCATATATTGTGTTGCAGTAGGTGGTCTAATCATACAGCTTTGGATAAGCGTCTCTTTTATAGATTGTGAATTATTTGGATGTAAAACTCTGATCGTGGTCCGATCCGGAGCTAAAACAGGTTGATTCCTGTGTTGAACTTTTAAAAAAACCACTGACTCTGATCTAACAAAGCTTTTTAAGGAGCACTGGCTGGCCTGTGTGCTGGGAGGGTGCGACCACTTTTGGAACACGGTTCATTTACATGGTGGCCTATTTTAGTCCTCATAATGACACTTGGTGTAAGAATGCACTTCTTCCTTTCCTTTATTTTGTCTATGACTTTACCTTTCTGCGCTTAGCATGAATTGTTCCTTATATGTGAGATTGTTTTTAAACTTGATGATTGTAGCACGGTCTTTTTCACTTGTCTTGCATATTTTCCCCGCCACTTGCTCAGTGAGGGGCTGAATAACACAGCGTATCCAGCTTTGTTTTTAAGGTCTATAATTAGCACTGAACCCCACAGTAGCTTTTTTTCTCGCTATGTGGCTTTATGCACAACTCAGTTTCACAATATTAGATAAGCACAGCATACAGTAGCATCACTAAATGTACCACTTTGAATAATATGCTACCACCTTCTGCAGATATTTGCTGCTGCTGTGCACTGTTACAGCTTCCCCTTTTATGCTGTTACTGTAGTCAAAACAATCAAACAAGCTTAGTCTTGTGATTTCAATATTTTTTTGGGGGGGACGGCATAAAAATGAGAAGCATAATAAGCAGAAATTTCAACTTGAATCAAGTGTGGTAATTCACGTATTTTGAGAATGTCCTCAAGAACAGAAAGCCAAGTGCAATGTTTGATTTTAATATGCATGTAAAGAAAAAGGAAATGGGCGAAGCATGATGCATGTTTCTTGGGTTACACACAGGCTTCTTTTTATATGTAAGGGTGTGGACCTCATTTGGGGACACTTGGTTTGTATTTAAGGTCATGGGAAATTTCTAAAACTTTAACATGGAATAAATTAAGTATCTGGATTTCTTAGGATTTGGTGAAGCCACAGGTCAGCCAGGAACACAGAGAGGAGAAACATTTAAACAGCTAGCTTTATTCAGTTCATTATATTTGCTCTGCACTGACCCCTGCAGACTAAATATGTGGAACAAGGAAGTGGTTTCCACTTGAACTGTCTTTCTCTATCTAAGCACTTCCTTCCCTCTGTTAAACTCTCCTCATTTATTCCTGTGAAGCTTTTTCCTTCCTAGCAGGCCTGACCCTCTTTTTTTAACGTGAGAGAACACCTTGTTTTTAGTCGTTGGTGTCTCCTCTCCTGTGCCTTCAGTGAAGTCTCACTCTTCTGCTCCGACGGCACCGCAGCTGCAGTCTTCTGGGCTCAAAACGAAGTTCATTACGCCAAGAAATACATACAAACACACACACACATATACACACATTTGAGCACAGAAGTAAAAGTAGGCAGCTTTTCTTTAATGTTAGCATAGTAACTGGCTCGAGGGGTGACTTTGACTACTTCCAATGATAACCTATATAAAGCTTTAAGTTTAGCATGAAATCTCATCTACGCTAAAGCTGCGCAACAAAAAAAAAAAAAAATGAAATGACCAAGAAACCCAGCAAACCAGCAATTTAACATGATTTTTTCGCACTCTGTCAGTGCCTGCACTTTCTATTATGTAGCCTAATACGACTTTTTGATAAGTGGGATACGTCTTTATAGCTGACAGTGTTCTTGAAAGTTAAAATAACTCATTACCTTTTGACTTTTTCATGATTTGTCTCTGAAATTCAGTTGTATGCCTTTTTGCTTCCACTATTTAGGTGCAAAGTACTCTTATGCAATTCTGCATAAAGTCGATGTATTCAATGTTTTGGGAACAGAATCTGTGAACTGAAGGCAGATTTTAGCTGTGACAACTATATATAACATGATGCTTTAATGATTATAGTTGTTATCCAAAGTGCAGTGCAGTGTTGTAAATTTGATATGAGTCCCAGCTCATAATAACCTCTCACTTTATTACATCTTACCACACTGTATCCATAGATGAAGCTGGTGCATACAGAGGCTGTGTGCGCAGAGAGGCCCAGTATGGGGAGAGTATCTGCTCTACACAGACATGGTGTTATTAACCCGTGGTCTATACTGTCATTTTAAAGTGGATCGTATAAACTGTACAGTATTGTTATGCACTTTTGTTTCCATTGACTCATCTGAGTTTAGTTAACATTATTACCGCTCATGATACTATGTGTATTACAATAAAGGCAAAAGAAAAGAGCACACCACACTCACAAACTATTAAGGGCTTTCAAGACAAATATACAACAATCAGAATGTTTTGCTGCTGTTGCAAAAAAAAAAAAAAAGTTTTGAAACTAAAAAATTTGTAATATTTTTGAACCACTGTGATTTGTACAAAACTTAAACAAAAACAAAAGTAGAAAAATGTGTTTTTTTTCCTTTTTTTTGCCATTTCAGTATTTTGATGTTTGACATGGATTTTATTAAAACTGTTAATCTTTTGAACTTGTCTCACTGTTTTTCTTTTTTCTTGTCAGTAGACTTTACTGATAATTCAATCTGTTCCTGTTGGTGCTGGTGAATTTAAAATCACAAAGCCAAAATGTGTAAATTTTCCAAAGATAGAAAAGGATAGCCACATCCTTGAGCAAAGGGTTAAGTCAAAAGAATAAAACAGATTTTAAGAATAAGATGAACTGGTAATATAAATGCAGATAAGCACACACAAAAAACACAGTTACATCACAGCTAAAAAAAATGTTCCACATAAAGACAATCACAACAAAACAGACAATGATGATCAGAGATTAAGGTTTGAATTATATGATGGCTTAAAATACACATTTTGTCTTCACATGCACGTTGTATTAAGTTTTTAAAATCTTGTTAAAATTATCATTTTCATTGAGGCTCACCTCAAAATCCTCACAGCGTTAGTGTGGCTGATCATTTACCATAAATTCAACATCACTCAAATTGGACTCTCTGTACTCCCTTTAAAATGCAGTTGAAAAAAATCTGAAATCATTAAAGATTAAAAAGTTCTCATTTCACATTAAAACTCCTGTGAGGAACTTTTTGTGTTGTGTCACTTTTGGTTGCACCTTTGCTTTCCTCCTCTACATGCATAAGTAGTGATTCTAGTCAAAAATCTCAGTTTTTAGTCAGATTTATCTCAAAATGGGAATATTTGATACGAAAATCGTAACAGCAGGTAATTTGTCAGTGGCTCAGCTGACACTTACCACCTCACACTGATTTCAGACACCAAAAATTAGGATATTAAAATCGTCAATCTTGTCCCTGATAGTCTTGTTTGCTTTTCCGTGGGTACGTGTCGTTTGAAAATGAAAGTTTGATCCATTGCTGCCACCTAGTGGTAAAAAAGAGCAATGTAGCCTTAGTGTGCACACCCTATGTGTTGAGGATTTTTTGTCATGATCTTACACTTCATGCACCTTTCTGGACGTTGTGTATAAAGTACAACAAAATATGTATTGAGCAAAGCTAAAGAAAAACATTAAATCCTTGGGTATGGCACAGACTATACTTAATAAATGTAATATTTTATATACAGTAAATAAAATTGACATGAAAGCTAAGGATTGTGGGCAGGCTTTTCTTCAATGACTAAAAAAAAAAAGATGGTTGATATTTGCTGTTTTTGAGCTATAGTGAGGAGACCCTTTCTCTACCTTAAGCTCAACAGAGCATTAAAATTTGCAGATGGTACACCTGGACTACCCAACAAACTTTTTAAACATTACAATGAAAAAAAAAAGTCAAAGAAAAACCTAGATTTTAATTTAGTTGATCAAATGTTCAGCTGTGTCAAAAAGAAAACACACTGAAACAGTAAACATCATTAGATGACTGTTGTTCTGGTTCTAGTTTACCTTTATTTAGCATACATTAATTTGAGAGTTTTTAAGCTTTAAATAGAGGAGAGGCTTAGTCAGCTTCTCCTGCCAGTGTCTCTGTCCCACATTCATCATCACGATCAACATGCTGTGCGCTGAGACTTTTAATAGAGTTAGTCTGGTGAGAGATCAGAGGAAGCCACAGAAACATGGGGGACAGTTGCCATGGTGATGTTAAGTGATGTGGCTGGTGATGCGAAACTTTAGACGAGAGCTGAGGGAAGGTGGCTGTTGTGGTTTTTGTCCATATGGTGTAATAATGTGTGTACATTTGTGTGTCATGTAACCCTCTTATAGGGTCCACAGCAGCCAGACTGTGACTGTGTGCCCACAAACTCCTTACATTCAGTGACGTACACCAGTTTTCCCTTAACTCCCCTGTAAATCAAGAACTTTATTACCTTGTGTTTCTGCAGCGTCATTCACAGTCTCCAGCATCCCTGATTACAGACCTTTCTGCTGTGTCAGCTCCTCCCTCTGTAGGCTGTGTGCAAATCTCCCTCCAACCTTACCTCAGCTCTCGCACAACACATCTGTGGAGTCGGAGACAAGCACTGACATCACCACATCTGGCTCTCATTTTCCAGGGTTCCCTCTGGAGCAAATAAGGAAATCTGAATGTAAAAGAAAAAAAAAAAAGGATTTTGTCATGGGTTAAGGTTGCACTTGTGACACACTTTTCATGAGCCATACCATACAGGTGACTGAATGACTGAAAAGTGAACCAGAAACTTAAATCTTTGTGTTGAAAGTCAAAAGGAAGACAAAAAGGAAGTTTGTTTTTGTAGAGTTTTAAGGTAACAGCAGATATTATGTGAAATGTTTTGCTCAAATATGAAAGTAAGTGGTAAGAACCGACCATAATATTAGGAAAGGTGGCATCACAGATGACAGTGTGGGTAAACAAAACAAAACAAAACAAAATAATAGTAAATATATATTTTTTACTACAGACCATGAACAGCCTGACTGTTTCTGCTATTTCTGCCGTAATAAATTGGCCTCTTATTGTAACACGGTTGCAACAGATTTCTAAAGGAGCAGCAGATTTCTTGCACTTTTGCATTTAGCTTCATTTTCCTGCAGTAAATATTGTCTTTACTCTTCCCTATAGTGGCAAACTTTGAAAGCAGACTTTATAGGGCCCTAAACTAATACAGAGTCTGCTGAAACCTAGACCATATCCCTCAAAAGGTTGACTTCTCCAGCAGGCTAAATCCAGCAAAATCACACCACACCCTCCAATTTGTACTGACTCATTCGCTTTACTTAAAGCCAGTTCAGTTACAAATGATTTCAAACAGATCACAACAGGTTACAAGAAAAAAAAATAACTTAAGTAAACTCTTTTGAAAAGAAAACACCCTCCACTTGGTACGACCCTGTGATGACATCATGTACATGTCATAAAAATCAGGAAATGCAGGAACAGGCCTTTTTTAGCATGTTGGGTCCAAACAAAGCAACACATGAAGGTAAGCAAGAAACAAGAGACAAATATGAATTTATAATACTAGTTACATCTGCAGTTTAATGTAGGCAAATGAAGCTTAGTTCAAAGTTAGTTTAATCGCCTCTTAAAAACACAACAAAGAGTAGTAAATGCTTAAACATTGTGCAGAGAAGAGTGGAAACCCCAAAACTAGACTTACAAAGATGCCTTTAGACAAAAACAAGCAGCAGTATGGATCAGTTAGAAAGAAAAATGATTTAGTTATATGTTTACAAGACAAGAGGTACTGCAACGCTTTGTTATTTGAGTAAACTTCTCAAATGCTTCTTGAAAGATGATAATAAAGTTGCTCATTGTGGAGATATGGGTACATTTTAAGAGATGGTCCTCTGTATTTCAGAGTGGATCGATTAAGAGAAGTCTGAGAAAGCTCTTAGGGTGTCTTGTCTTATATGAATGAATGTTTGATGAAGACTTGAAGAAATTGTGAAAAGTACCGAGCAGGTTTTGTGTATAAATATAAACAAACAGGCTGATAAATGTCCATATTATCACATTAATTATTGGCTTCATGATCTTTTGCTAACAAATTCAATTTGAGTTTTCCGTGTTAGTTTTTCATCCACCATAACGCCTAAGAACGTGATATAGTGGACTGAAATACTTCTATACTGTCTGTGAATATTTTGACTTCATCTTTTGCATATTTTAGTTTTTGTATCAGGATATCATGGAATCAGATTTATCCAAGTTTGTCCCTCTGAAACAAAGACAAGTGTAATCAGGGAGTAATAAAAGCGATGCATACTTGTGTAGATTTTTTACTGTATATCAGAAACAAAAAGATTGAACCCTGGGGTATCCCATGTATTAGTTCTCATTGATTTCTGTCCATTTACAGATTCATATTGATCTTAAGTGATTACAAAAACAGAGGTTACGAATAGCAAAAGGAAGACGTGGAAAATAAAGGGATTTGGCATGTAAAGTAAGTGTATAGGGAAGATAAAAAGGGCTCAAAGTAAGAGGTCTTACCCTCTTTGTCACTTGTTAACAAACATTTGGCACCCACACTTTACGGCTCTTTTATTTTAAAGTGGGCTGAATGGTGAAACCAAAAGCACAAAGAGGGCCCGTAGTCGAGGAGGGACGGCACATTCCTCTGTAAATTTCATCCTCCTCTGAGTGTGTGTGTGTGTGTGTGTGTGTGTGTCTACTCCATGTTGTTGGTCCAGACCTCCCTAATGTCTGCTCCATAAAGAAAACTGTCAACACACACTTGTACAGACACACATAAATCAGATCAGAGTTAACGGATCCTGACACCACGCTCTAATTCAAGGGTTATTTTGTATTTGACAGAACAGACACGGATATTTGTGGTTTCTTTTGATTTCTAATACTCTCTTCATTTGCTTGTGTTTGTCAGATTTCACCAAAGTACAAAGCTTCATCACTGTTGTGACGCAGAAAAGAGATGAGCTGCGTTTTTGTTTGTATCTAAAGGTAAGAAAACAATTTAAGATTACACAAAACACACGTGAATGCAAACAGTCATGCACACGCTGAGGCTCAGGGGGGAGATAACTCAGGGTTGTTGTGCAGGCGCATAGCTGAGCAGTGACCTCACCTGGAGGACCACTGAGAATACACCCAGATCTGCAGAGCAGGCAGACCTCTTTTCTTCTCTCTCTTTCACACACACACATTCAAAAAAGTTTGTTTTAACTTTTAAAGGATGTATTCACTGTATTTGTCTTTCATCTGGTGCCTCTTGTGGTGCAGCTTTGCATCATATCTGATAACTCTCTTTCTTATCGTGCCTGTCTTGCACCTGAATCGACCTCATTTGTCTTTTTTCAGTCAAAGCGGTCAAAAAGCAGCTGCCGATATGTTTGTGTGTTCAGATAAATGTGTGTACACACTGCCTGTATATCACTTGTGACTGACTTCCACTCAGCTGTGTCATCTCTGTGAGCCTCTCCCACACACGCTTCATTATCCACCTCCGGGACAGCAATAACAAGACTCCTCCACCGAGCTCAGCATTACCACAACAGGAGGTGAAGATAGGACACCCACATGTGCTCAGTCTGTTGAAGTAAAAACATGTCATGAAGAGTTTGTAGCAGCTTCATAAAACGCAAGACTATCACTTCACTGTCACGATATACAGACACTAACCATTTTTATTAGATATATATTATTGGAATCATGCAGAAAAAAAACAAATGGTAATACTGTGAGTAAACAGCTAAGATCACCACAAAACGGTGGAGAGATGAGGCAGCTCTTTGAGAGATGATACAGCACTTTTAAAAACCTATTCCAAATCTAAATGCAATGTTACACTTGTATGACAGAGTATTAAGGCCACATGAAGAGCAAAAAATAATTACAGGAAGGAGATTAAAGTCAAAATTTTGAGATTGAAGTCAAAATTAGCACAACCTTGCTCTTTAAGCACACAAACACAGTGTGGTCTTAAGTATTCAGAGTCTGAAAAGACTGTCAAAGATTACAGCTCTACTGAAGAAAATACCAGACAAACTTGGAGGACTTTAATCTGGAAATTTAGATTTTTTTCATTTCAACTTTTTAAAATTTCGACTTTAATCTTGAAATTTCGACTTTAATCTTGAAACGGAAATTAAAAAAATCTCCCACCTGTAATTATTTTCTTTTTCTCTTCTTGTGGCCCTAATCCTCTTTCGTACACTTGTGCCTCTTTGGGTTACTAATTAATTGGACATTTATACTTTCAATATATATTTTTTAATGTTTAAATTCAGTTCTGTAAAGTATGATCAACCGGAAGTGGCTAATACTTAAAATAAAAGCAGAGTTTTACAATGTAGGAAATAAAGCAACGTAAACAAAAGACAGACAAAAGGGGTGGGGGTGTCCTGGAACAGCTGATTAGCTCTGTTTCTGCAGAGATTTTACGAAGGGGCTGGCAGAAAAAAGTAGGAGTAAAATAATTTAGCCACCTGTGTTTACTTGTGTAAATTTTCACCAGTGTAGTGCATGTGCAAAAAGGCTGTCCATATTAAGTTGTATGGTAACTGATTGTAGGGCTGGGCGATAAACCGAGAATTTACAGATACTGAAATTTACGACAATAACTGACGTCATTTTGCCCATGTCAATTTGGTGTCAAAAAAATAAAATAAAAGTTGGTTTTGAATGTGTGTAGGTAGGCAAAGAGGATGCTTTTAAACATCATAATAAACCTGAATCTAACTTTGCACAAAGAGATCTTTGACTTCTTCTTATATTTCATAATTCCAATAGATTGTTATTTCCTGCTGCTGGTTTACAAAGAGTACAATGCGTGATTATTTCCAGAAGAAAAATACTACCGTGTAGTCTGAGTCTGAGAAATGGGAAGTAAAAGGTTGGGTACATTCCAGCTGTTCATTCTGTAAACCTGTCAACTCACAGGACAATGAGATGATGTCACGGTAAAACAGATATTTATAGCAACCTGAGCACAAGATTACAAGCACCGCAGCTTGTCAAACACATGCAAGGAAGACAACACGTGTTCACACACAAGAAGGAGCTATGCAGGTCTGTCTTTTCACAGCGTGGGGAATGGTAAACACATTGGTTGTAATGTGTAGGACAACAGCAGGATAGAATTCAAACTGTGACCCGTGAACCTAAACCCATCTCTGACCTTTGACCCCACCCATCAGGTCTGAGCACATATAAACCTGCCATGCAGGCCTCGAAACACCCCATGCAGGGAAACAGGGCTTTGGCTAATCCGTGCCTACAAGGAAGCGGTTTGTTTGGTTGCAAAAGTTTATTTTGTCTATTCAGAGGGAGATTATGATTTGTATGTTGTGCAATCCCACACACTATCCCAAGGAACAGTCCCATACACAAGGATTGAAAATCTGAGGGACTTGTTCTTAAGTGAATCCAGAATTAAAAGGGGGCTCCGGGGTGACTTTTAGAGGACGTGTCTTGTGGCTGGACCACTCAACACTCTGTCACCCACACTCTGTTAGTTTAGGCTTTGCCAGGAAGGCAGGAAGCTGCACAAGAAGCCGGTGACAATTAGAGAAGGAGTTTCAGTAAATGAGCTGAAACTCCCCCATTAACAAAGACACACACACAAACACACACACACACAAGTGAGTACAAATCCTCACTGGACATACAATCATTCCCACATTTAGACCCCATCTCTAACAACAGCTGCCACCGCACCCCAGCAGAGGAAATGCCAAAGTCCTCTGAAGTGGAGCATAACAGCTTTGCTGTTCACATCCACAGAGAAGGATGGAGGGGCTGAGAGGGCAGGAGAGCCTCAGCCTCTAATAGCAGGAAGTTGTAAGAATAATAGCGACGTGGGGATGTCATGCCCCCTGTCCTTCTGGCATGCAAGTTTTGGCCAAGATAGCAGAGTCTGTTTGTGCTGCATGCTTACTTATACAACTAATGCAACAATTTTCACACAAGTTACAGTAAGAGTCCACCAGATGTGGCCTCCTGGGGGGGACATGTAATCCTTTTCAAACATAGTCATACAGTGAAGACTAATAGTTACAGAGTGCCATGCCCGATTTGTCACTGTGTGTCTGTTTTTTCCAGGCTTTAGTCATCGTTCCACATGTACTTGCTCCCCTTTTACCCGAATACGTTTGAAATGACCAAAAAAAGCTGCTCTTTATCTGTCATATGGAACTTTTACATCGATACCTTAAACTATAGCAGAGCTGACAGTTAAACAGTACTAAAGAAAAGAGGAACACACTGATAAAAATAAAACCTCTTGCCTCATGGGGAAGTGATTTCTTCAGAGTATTGTTTCAGTCTGTTTTTTAAAGATCAGATCTTTGCTCTGAAATGTCTGCTTCTGTGTTTGTCATGATGTGGAATCAAATGTCACCAGGTTAAGTCCGATCTGAGCCTGACACATCAGAAAATAAAAACCTGTGACTTTTATCCCCCTATATCTGCCCTGGATGATCTAAGAATGGCTGCTAAGTAAATTACTGAGCTCAGAAATATACCCATAATCCCATGTCTTTAACCCCCATGCTGCTGACCTACAGGTGAACACAAGTGCGTAGGCGTGTGTGTGTGTGTGTTTGTATGACTAGAGGGAATATATTGGCAAGAGTTCACAGACAGTGTATGTGTAGGTCATTGCATTGGTGCATGGCAGTGCTTGTGTGCCATGATTCTCTGTTGTGTGTGTGTGTGAATTGGATAGACCCCCAGCTGCTCTTAAACACAGAGACAGCCTCCCCTGCCAGTCCCCATTTTAATGCGCTGCCTGCTTCAGACTCAGTTCCCATGAAATTGGCCCTCCTTTGACTCGTTATGAGATTGTTTGCACTACATGGCTTTTCTGGAGTCTGTCAGGGGCCAGTGGGGGCCAATTCAAAGACAGAAAAAGACTGACAGATCCAAAAGTGCCTCACAGCCGCTGTAAGATCCATTTCCAATAGGGATGCACCGATCCGATATTTGGATTGGATCGGCTCCGATATTGACAAATTAACTGGATCAGATATCAGCAATTCTTTTCGCTCTATATTCTATGTCTGTCTATCCTTTTGCACTAAATGTTTACATGGAAGTCTTACTTCTTTTTACTGTGTGCTAATGTGCAATTTGTTATTTGTTAATAAATAATATCAAGTAAATGTATATCTGTATTAATTTGCTAAACAAGGCTAATGTCAAGCCCGATACCTTCACTCACAAGGAAAAGTATACAGTTCATTCATTCAACAGTAGTATTGGATAGGTATCGGATATCAGCCGATACGCTCAGCCCAGGTATCGGAATGGATCGGAAAAAAACGGATCGGTGCATCTCTTATTTCCAATGTAGAAAACTTGATCATCTCAATTATCTGAGAAAACAACTATCTTTTTACTGAGCTTGCTCCATGCAAACTCCACAACAGCGGTGGTGGTGGTCCTTGGAAACTAACTGGTAACCTAAACAACAGAAAAGACGCTGCTTACAAGCCCATATCGGTGAATAATAGAACTCTCATTTATTATCTATACGTGTAGCGGACTCGCTGTGTTTCTCCAGGGCGACCCAGTCAGTGCAGTCATTATGCTCTCTACTCTCTCAACGGGAGGTGGGGCTTTTTAGTGCAAACTTCTTCTGCCCCGCTGCACAAAGACCAGTGTTCAGTTGCAGTCTCCTCCACGCTGTGAGTGCGCAGCACCTTCACAGATCTGTCCCACTCGGATCTTAAAATCCCACTGTGCATGAACCTGCAAACCTCTGCTGCTGCTGCTTCTTCCTCGCCTCAGTTTTCCCACTGTGGCTGTTTTCCAGCTGATAGTCCGACCCGCGGGAAAGCGTCGGGACCATTGAAGAGAGAAGAAGTTGCGGGAGTGGTCGGGAAACTTTTGCCATCATGAGCACGCGAGGGGTCGACCTTGATACCTACAGTTTGTCGCTGCTCACGGCCAAAGAGGACATAATCAACCCTCGGTCTTCCACCAACTGGTAACTTAAAATGCATTTAAACAGAATTGCATCTCTTTTCCAGATTTGTATTGAATGATTTGCTCACAATCCTTCGTCTTTATAAGATTAAATCAGAAGAAATCTGCAAAACCAGCACTGGAAAACTTTCTCTTTTACGGTCTTTAATGAGTCGTAGCAGTTTACGCACAACCAAGTGGGCTGTTGCGTAAGGCTTGATTTTATTAATCCACTGAGGCAATCTAAGGTGCCAACAGTCGGACAGCACGTAGCCTCAGTTGTACTATATTAACGTCTAGCAGGAGACCAGCTTATGCACCCTGACTGCTTTCATAGCACTTTGAATGTGTGTAACTACGATTAGCCGTCCATTACGCACGCCAAACGGCTGGTGTGGTTCAGAGCGCAGCACCTGGCCGGCGGCCTCGCTCGCCCCTGCGTTGCATGACTCTTCTTTTCTCCCTCAGGAGCAGCAGTGAGGCTTCATTCTCTCTTTGCTGCAGGATCACGTTTCTGCTGATGAGCTGATCTTTGACTGGGGTTGTCAGTCAGGAAAGAGGCTTTGAAATATGAAAGAAAGCTTGCACGCATGAGACCTCATCGACATAACCAATCATTAACAGTGATTAAAACGTCAAGCAATAGCTGGGATATGTTGTAATAGTGCAGAGTGATCCGTGCTCAGATACACCACTATCCTGAGGGCGATGCAAGAATAAGCAAACTGACAAAATGAAGCTTCGGTTTTGGATCCAGTCTTGTAAAAATAACACCAAATGTTGACACAATTTTGTGTTTGACTCTGCTCTGGCATGTTTTGAGACCATATCATGCTGTAACCTGACCACCTGATACCTGCCTCGTTCTGTTTTCCTGCCTAAGGGTCTGTAACTATGGCAACCCATCCATCTTTCCCAAACAACAACAATCTCAACTTCTCCTTTCTTTCAGAGAGTGTGTGGTATTGTCATCTCCACCTGCAGACATGTTGTCACTGACTATACTCAGCTAGTCAAGGAGAATTAGATATACTCCACCATGATGCTGCTTTTTCCACATCTACACTCACTTTGATGAAGTTCTACCTTGAGGAAGTAGGCCAGGGCCTGCACATGTCCTCTCATGTGGAAGTGGAGGACTGATTCTGTCATCTCTGTTTCAGTCTTCCTCTTACTAGAACTTCCATGAGAACTTCTACCGTGAGTAAATGAGATGTGGCACTCTAAGGGTTAACTTTGACAAACCTAAATCTGACATCTTCATGAATTGAATGGAAAGAAATCCCCCATCCAAGGCAGGGCATTCCCAGTTTCCACTCTTTCTCGCATTTGGGAAATCTCAATGTTTCCATGTTCGGTATTATTACAGAGTTTTTGTCCCCTAGCAACACCTCCACATTGATACACCATCTTCTCAGAATACGTGCACGTGTTTGGTTGTGCTTGTAAGAGAATATAGAATAAAGAAGACAGAAAAAGGGAGGCAGAAATCCCCCAATGTTCTCTGAACCCACTTAAGAGGCTAAATAACTCTGCTGCGACTGAATAGAGAGGTGGGAGGGGGACGGGATGATGTCATGATTCCCTCTGTCAAACCACAGACTAGCCAGCTCGTGTGTGTGTGTGTGTGTCTGTATGCGTTGAAGAGGTTTATGAGCGTGCATGCTAGTTTGCATGTGAGTGTTTGTTTCAGGGTGTGCATATGAATCCTGCAGACTATTAAAGTAAGTCAGAGGCGTTGAGAAGTTTGCACGGAGAGAAGGGGTAGGAGGCTGGTTTCTGCAGAGCAATCCTGCCCCCACTGTGTGGCCTTGAGGTCCCTGCGTGTATTATCTAATGACCTTGTGTGTCTTGAATGGGAAACAGACCCTTTTGTGGCTGAGACTGTGAAGAAAAGAGGAGCACTTTCAATGCATCTTTCGTTCAGACCTCTCGGTTCAACGTTGCTGCCTTGGAGGTCTCCCCTTGGTCTCCAAGACCACTAAGGACCACAAAGTGTCTTACTCGTGAGCTTGAAAACACAGAGCCCTGCATGTGTTTTGTGTTTGTGTGTGCTTGTGGAGACAGGAAAGAAGACCAACTGTAAAAATGCATGTTCCCAAGGACATTATCTAATCCTCCAAACAGGAAATTCTTCCAATTCCTCGCAGCAGACACCCTATTTTACGTCCACTCTACCTCAAAATAATTGATTGAAGTAGACTCTCCATGTAAGGTCACTTCTGTAATCCTGAATGTTTTTCTGTTTCAGTTTTTGCTACCAAAAATTCTCCTATTTTGTCGTTTTCTACCGCTTCATAAAACACCTCTTGGAGTGCCTCATTTTACAAATTTTACACCTCTCAAATCAGCCAATAACAAAGTGTAAATAAAAGCAATTTTCCAAAGATACATGCGTCACCAGGGGTGTCACTTTTGCCAATAATCCAGTAATTTCCAGATCCAGTTTGCAGGATTGCTTCAGCTTTCTTAAGCATGATATCAGATGGGAATGCTTATTGAGCTGTGGAGCAGTTTGAACTCTTTTTTTATCAGATTGGGGCGTAGGCTGAATCCAGACATCTGTGAGCCCCGGTGACTTTTTTTAAGCACACTTTCATGAAGACATCTAGGTTCCAGCTCACACTCTGATACTGTGTGCTGTGCTGGTTGTAAGTGTTTCACCATGTTCTCTCGCAGGGATTAGTGCGGGCAATGACGCATAAAATAAATACCTGATTCATTGTAGTAACAGTGATTCAGTTTTCAGAGTATTAAGAGACCAGTTAAACTTGTCTCCATTCATGATGTGTCAATAGTCCAGTTTTAGAAGAGGTTCACATGCTTTATATGCTTATATAAATTAACCAAACACTAAAGCCATCTGTCTTAAAGGAAAGGAAGTTGCCTAGGAAGAGATTGGTGTGGTGTTTTAGACGGCTAAAGGAGACATGCAAAGTTCATGAATATGTATAAGGATGTTTTTTTTTGCTCTGACCCATAACCAGGTCAGAGTAGTTCCTTATTTATGTATGAGTGTCAGATTGTCCAGCATCGAAAAGAAGAACTTACCTCAAGAACAAACTTTAAAAAGTTCTCTGTTTTTTTATTTTTAGCAGAGCTACAGCTGCAACCTAATTTGGCACAAAATAAGAAAGCCACACATTTGCATATGCTATGTTTATCTTTTAGAATCATCTTTTCAAAGACACGTCTTGTTGCATTATTGCAGCTTTCAAAAACCCTCAGTAGTGTTTCTTGTACAAACTGTAGGTTCACCTCTTATATTAAGAAATTCTCTGAACACAAATCACTTTTAACTTTAAATTCTCTTTTTTTCTGACTCTGACACTCGGTGTGAAACTTCATGCATCAATCTTTCTCATTTTCACATAGAGACAACACACTATCCTCCTCCTAAAGGTCTCTCCTATTGGTGATAAATGCAGCAGCCTGTATTCCAGCACCGGCCCCGGGTGTTTGTGTTGCTGCTACTTGCCAGAATTTCCATAGGCTCATGCATGATTGACTGTGACCTGACGAGCTCCTGTGTCTTAAGTTTCACTGCATGGACAACACCTGTGGGTGCGGGGAGAGGATGTTGAATTGTACAGCTGCTGTTGTGCATGAATACCCAAACTGAAAAGCTCCTGCTTACAGCTCCTGACTGCAAAGAAAGATTACAAGTGGAAGTGTGCGAGTCAGTTATCTCTGCAAAGATAAATAACCTTATAATCGTGCTTTAATTGAGAAGTTACTGCCTGAACTTCCTAGCAGAGGTTCTGCTTTTTGCTCGGTTAATATAAGATCGGATAAGAAAAGATTGAGCAGCATATTAACACCACTTGTCAATGCATCAGCTTGTATTTAATCCTAATCCAGTTTAGTTGAGGTTGGCATTGCTGTCTGTGTTGAAACAAATCCCCACGATCAACTGACTGTGGAGGGAAACAGTCTGGTTTGTTTCCTCTGAATAATCAGGATAAGAGTTCAAAGCTTGTACACAGAATTGTTATCAGGCTGCATGAAAACAGGACGTGTTTCATGAATAAATCAATAACACTATATTGTCAATGGTTAGTCACAGGATGGTTACACTGGACCAATGCCCAGTCCACTCTCTGTGTGTCGGTCTGTGGACCTGCCTTTGTCTCTATCTCTGCTTCCTAAACCTCAGATATGAAGTAGATCCCCGAGAGACCCCACTTTTTATGTATTTGAGTTAACAAAAACAACACATGTTTGTAAAAGTTTACCTGCTGCTCTGTGCGTCTTTGGTTGGAGTGGTTCATAGGGAAGCTGTATGCATTAAAGGGATATTCTGGTGTAAAATTAATTTAGGGTAAAACACACCGGAACACCGAGCTAGACACCCCCTCGAGAGATGAATGTTGCCGACCGCTTTCTTCTGTAGTGATACCAACTTTAGTAATGATGGCACGATAGCAATACACAGTGGTCTGAGGAGCCATAAACAAACCTCAACCAAAAAGCCACTCTATAGCCTCAAATAACTCACCTACTCTCTTCTAGCAGTCGCTTGTTTGTAGCGAAACCTCAGGCCAGTCCATTACGGACTGCTGCGGGGTGACGCAGCTCAAGGAAGAACATTGATGATCATTTCTTTATCATTTCCTTCAAGTAATAATCATAATAATAATTATGCACTTCAGCCTTAGCGTCTTGGTCTGATTGCATTTCCATGAAGAAATGATCAGAAATGTTCTTCCTTTAGCTGTGTCACCCCGCGGCTGTCCATAAATGTAGCTGCTGCTGCAGCATGACAGACTTACCCTGGTTGAGCAAAAGGTTTCAATAGTTCCTATTTTATACAAAGTTTTGGCACAGGATTTAGCCAGGTTGTGAAATTTTCCAGAGAATACACTCAGTTACTTGTGTAAGCATGTCTGTGACTGTGTGGCATGGAGGAAGATGATGACATTGATGGCTGAGATTTGGCTCTGTATTTGGATGAATTTAGAAACGATTCAAACAGCCGTCACTAAATAACTGCTTACTCTCCAGCTAAACATTGTTTAGATTCATCTGGAGCTTCTCAGATGAAGCTCCACAGTAATAGCAGGTATCAGGCATGATGAGACATGACTGCAGGGTGTTATAATGTATGTGTGTAATGTTTATGTGTGTCTCTGTATATTTGGGTTCCTTAGGATGTAGACTGCTGGGCGTGTGTGATCACAGATAGACACATCAACTGGTGGCACTGCAGTAGTTTTGCTTATTTTTACACCTGACCTTTCTATCAAAATCTTCCTTTTGTTCATATGAGTGCCTCACAGCACTTGACCTCGGTCCAGATGCCTCCTGCACACTGTTTCCACTCAAAAGTCTTTATGCCCACAGCCTTGAACACAACAAAAACATTGTTTTCCTTTGCAGTTCAAGATCCAGACTGGGACACTGGGCTGGAACATATTGTCTGTATCTTTGAGGAAGTATGTGGAGATTTTTTTTCACATAAATGCAAAGAAAAAGTGAAGTTGGATTGATGTGAACTGTTTGTTTAATGTAACTAATGGGCCGTGAGTGTTGCAGTCAGAGTGGGATTTCATGGGTGTGTCAGATAGCTGTTGAAGAACATCTGTATTTAAGTGCTTCTGCAAACATTGGCAAAAGGGTGAACACAGAGCGTGGTGTGCGTGTCTTTTTTGTCAGAGCGTGCCTGAAGTCTAGCTGAGGCACTTCTAGGGGATGTCTGAGTAACAATATGAAATTGAGGGAATAAATACATCTGCTGGTGTTTACTTGTGTTTTCTTCAAATCCAGACTCTGGTTCAGCAAATATGAGGACAAGGAGTATGTTCACTCTTTTTTATTTTCTCAAGTGTTTCATTTGGAGATGGTTAGACACCATACTTTGAGGTTGCTTTGTCTTGGTCTAAATAAGATCTGCGACAGCTGTTACATGTGGCAAGAATCTTCTACATGCATAAATGCATATAAATGATTTTTAAAACTGTATCTACTTCATTTATCATATAAGCATGCACTCTTTGTTTACGGCGTTAAGTGTGGTCAGCTTGCTAGCTTTAGCTCATGTAAACCTTTGCCAACACACAATGAACGCGCAGTCTGTGTTAGGGCAGGTAAATATGTATAGATGTCCTGATTAGTCCTCCAATTCACAATCATTATATTTTCAGGAATAAATAATCAGATTTTTTTCTGGCCTGACACTCTGCACCTTGTGTTTTATATCTTTTAAAGTTACTGTGAAGAACTTTCAGTCTCTGGTGACTTTGGCGCCCCCTGTGGACAAAATGGTAACTTCTATTATTGATGATTTTGTGTGAAAGTGTTTCTAACTGACAAAAAAAAAAATCCTTTTATTGTCTTTTAAAAATGAAATGTAGGACCCACCATGAATATTTTGCTTCAGATTAAGTAACTGAAGCTATTTTTTTAAAGCGTACATACTCCCTCACGGCACTTTTAGTCATTAAAAAAACAATATTGTCATCTTTGGTCTCATTAGCTTTTAGATAAAGAAAGGGTTAATCACTTCATGTATTAATTGGAGCCAAGATAAATAAAAATTAAAAACGAAGAATATAATGAAAAATATTTTTCTTCCCTGTCTTAAACTGCAAACCTCAACCAGAATGACTGTAATTGCCAATGTAGAAAATATTTAAAAAGTAAGGATATGTTCAGTGGTCTGTCTCTGTTTCGGTAGCGTCTTTTAAGCTGAATCTCTCCTTTGCCTAGGTTTTTGCATCCTTTGGAAGCATAAACTTTTATTTTTTGTCATGTCTGCCTGTTTAGATTCAATTTCTACTACCTGTTAACCTGAACCGTATAAAAAATAGGGCTGACATCAGCATTAGTGTATCGCTAGCTCAGTCTTGGGACATGACATCCACTACAGCCAATGTATCTTTACTTCAGATTAAAAATGTCAGAAATAATTATGAAATTATACAGTTTCATAACAAAGCAGAATCTCAATAACGAATCTGTTTGTATTCTTCCATTCAGTCTGTTTAGCCAAGTCGGGCGTGCCCAGTCTTTTTGTACCAAAAACCAGTTTTACAGTCACCACTCTGCTGGGAATCTACCAGTGTACTTTCTGTATTTCAAACAAACACTTTTGCACACACAGACTTACACACAGTTATCAGTCTGCATTTTGGACCAAAACCATAACTACTGGCCTACTAACAGACAATTGTTATTTGACATTTAAGTTTGTCTGTGTGAACATTTTTCTATAGTGTGAAAACATCAGAACACGTTTATTTCTCCGCTTTGCACAGACTTATCAGTGTTTTTCCTGATGGTCCAGTTTGCTTTTGTATATCATATCGAAGTATCCATACTGATTTCAGCCTGTTTCACAGTAAGTTAGAAACTGTAGGTATCCAGAGCCTCAGTGAATGTCACTAAAAGAGTAACCGAGCACACACTGAAGAGTCTTGTCATGTTTTGTGTTGCCTGGGCTCGCCTTTATGTGACCATGCCAAATACAACAACAGTGATGTCTGACAGGCACTAATCCTCTACCAGATCAAAGAGACTTTGTTGTTTCTGTGCTTTAAATTACACTCTCAAGATATTGAATCAACACTTACTGTCACTTACATGCACATTTCAAACAAGTGTGTAACATTCAAACACATATACACCCACACACAGAAGCAAACTGGGTCATTTTAATGAAGGGTGTGAGAGAACACACCCCTCATTCCCAGAGTCATCCTGATTGTGAGGTATCATCAGCTGTGTTTGCATCCTCGTCACCATGGTTACAAAGGGGCTTCACGGTCATAAACATGACAGGCTGGGGGGTTAACTATTAGCATCTTACAGGGCCTTGACTGGGAACTCCACTTTTCCTTTCTCTGTCTTGTTTGTTCACTGGCTGCCGCCTGGATTGGGGCTGTGGGTGGGTGAGGCAAGTCTGGGGGCTCCGTTGTCTTGACTACATTGGTGGGAAAGCTAGGTTGTTTGTCGAGGGAGGCTGAATGAAGCGGGGGAGATGAGTGGAGAGGGGCTCGGGGAGGCTGGGAAAGGGGTACGAGTGAATGAGCAGAGGCATTAGGTAAGAAATGTGGAGGAATGATGAGAGGAGAAAGCAGAAAAAGAGCGAGGGGACAGAAAAGATTTGCAGTAATGAAGAGGGGGTGAGCAGGGTGGTCTTGACAAGAGGTTGTTAAAAAAGTGGAATTAGAGAGGAGATGAAGCTGTGGGAGTGACAGAGCAAAGAAGAAGGGAGGATGAGAAGAGGACAGGTGGAGGAAGATGAAGAGGAGTGAGGGGAAGATCAAAGCGTGAAAAGGAGGCAGCGAAATGAGGTCTAAGTGGACATGTGATACTTGAGAGTCTGCTTTGTTTAACTGAAGGAAACGGATGAAGATAAGATGCCATCAAGTTTTAATGGTCCCATTATAACTTTGATATAGAGTGTGTGTGTGTCTGTGAGGAACAGTGTGGGACTGCATTCACAGGAAATGCCAGAGAAATCCCTGTGGACCATAATTTTGGAGGGTCTACAGTATGTCTCCTCTCCTCTCCCCTCTCCTTCTCCTCTTGCTTCCTTCCTCTCCTTAGGTGTAAGGAAATAAATTTTCTTCCTATAGGTCTACGTCTTTACAAGAATCATAACAATTTACCCCTTAAGGAGCCTTTCTGTGAGACACTTGCCCCCAATAACCACATACTCCTTTGCCCCCTTGGAAACCTCCCATGCACTCAGGCAGTTCTCCTTTGTGAGCTATTGTTAAAAGTGCCCCTCTTAGCCTGCCCATTTATACCTACCCACTCCCCCTGCTGCTTTTCATCTTTTCCCCCAGTGTGAGCCTCATCTTTGAGTGTCTTCTCACCATCCTGAATATATATATCACTCCCTCTCTCTCACACTGTCTCGTCGCTCTCAAACACCCACCTGGCATGACACTGAACATTGTGTACCTATCTTTAACCAAACCCAGATCACTGTCCAACCCCAGGCATTACTTTCTCTTCTAAAAGGTCAGATTTATGCAAGACCAGATATGTTTGAGTCATAATCGGCCTGTTGTAGTGTTTAAAAAGTGAGTATTTCCATCATAATAACAGTCAATTACTCACTTTGATTATTTGCAGTGATAAACGTGAATCCTGCGATTTTCCTTCTATGATCAATAAGATAACCTCTTGTCTCCTCATATCACTGCTTTAAAAACTATGTATGACTAGTTGCTGCCAATGTCATTCTGCACTGATTTTATTGTTAATACTTCACAATCTAGAAGTCTTGTCAATACAATTCACCTGCTGGGATGAAGAAATATTAAGTGAAAGCAACTTTTTTACCCTAACCCTATTATTTAGTGGGGGTAATCAGATCTGAAAATATAAGTTAAAGCTCCTGTAAGGAATTTTTTTAAAGCATATTTAAAACAGACTGTAATTCAAATTGACGGTTTGTTATGATACACAATTGCAAAAAAAAGAGTATTAGTGACAAGATTTAAGCATAGACTCTATATACTATGGACAACTTGGTTCCACCTTCCGCCAGTATACGGTTTTGAAGCCAAAAATCTCTTGGTAATTCGGCGTTTTCTCTCCATTTCCTGAAACCAACATTGCACAGTAGGATTGTACACACCCCAGCACTTGCGCAGTAGCATTGTGGGCATTCGGTGGGAGAGTCGCCGGCTGAAACAGCGTATCCCCCGGTTGAGTTACGCAATCTTGGTACGCCCATAGGCTGTAAGTGGTGTCAATCATAGAAAATATGACTCCTCTCATAACTTTTAAAAACAGTTAAAACAAGCCAGTCTTACAATAACTACATGTCAACATTGCAAGCAGGGGGAGACAAATGTGTGTTCTGTGTAATAAACTTCTAAAGTTTGTCCACAGCTCGATAAGCTTTGCTGGCGGAGGCAGGATTTATGACCTATACTGCAGCCCGTCACCAGAGGGTGCTGTTCTCATGGTGGCTTCACCCAGCGGGGAGGCAGACGCTGTCCATTCTAGATACAGTCTATGGATTTAAGATTTTAAAATGATCATTTTTCATTTCTGAAACTGGTGTGAGGGGGTAGGTTTCAGCTGAGCAGTTAAAGAAAAGACCTTGTTTGACGTTTAGCACTTAAAATTCTCACAGTGAGTAAGACATTTGACTACCAAAACTCAATAGAAGGCATTTTTTTTTCTTTCTGGCAAAAGATCCAACTTGAAGCAAGCAGAAGACACAATTAACGAAGACCGCTGTGTCCACAAGGGGTGCCAAAATTGATATAAGTAAAGGCTTCTCACAGGACCTTTAAGCAGATTAAATTCATCAGTAAACACCCTCTTTAGAGAACAAGGCACAGTGAAAACATAAAAAAACTGATTTAATAGGTAGATAACAGACTGTAGGTAGGTGAGATAGCTTTGAAATAATTGCACCAGCATCCTTTCTTATCAGATCATACACATCCTATCACACAACAGGTGAGGTCTAAGCTGTTTCCACATGCCGCTACACATCATATTACTTTGAGAAGAGAGATTAATATTGAAGACTCTCTCCAAACCAGTGCGACCGAGTCTCTGAAGCTTTAATCAGTTAAAAGTTAAAAAGATTGTCTGACATGTCATATCAGGGTTATGAATATTGCTCTCATGTTTTAGCTTGGGAGAAGATCTACTGAAACCATCTGACAACCAGACACACACACACACTCATACACTTGCGTGCCCTTACAGTACAGATCATATTACACAGAGAGAAATGTGGTAGTCAGTTAATTACCATGTGTGCATCTCTGTTTACACACTGACAGGCTAATGTTATCTGTGGATTAACTCCGCGGTTGTAACAGGAGACTGAATGTTGTCCGTGTGATCTAGCACCACACACTTCCTCACACTTCATCACCATACAAACACAACATTTACTTCTGTTCCACATCCCGGTCGGAGCGTCAATAATGGCTTTTGTTTCTCTTTGTTGCACACTTGTTGTCGCGACGCTGCTGCAGCATGTTGTTTTGATTCTCTACCTCTCTTTGTCCATCCCCCCACTCTTTTCCACCCGCCCCAGCACACGGAGGCTGTTTCCTCTCGCTGGTCGTTGGCAGAGATTTAATTACTTATTTGTTTAGTTTGTCAAATTCTAAACTTCTCTGGCGCTGTGTTTTGCTGAGAACAGAGATTTTTCCTCCCTCCTTCCTCTCCTCCTCCTGTCAGCATTCCTTCCAGTTTCTCCCTCCTCTCTCCCCCCACTGCCTGATATCATATGCTCTCTATCTTTCCCCCAAATTCTACATATAAATTAGCTATACTTTCTGACCCTTCTTATAATTTTGTCCTCCATCGCCTCTGTCATTTAATCTCTTATTTACTCTTTCCTCCAGGCCAAATAGCTGCAGTGGTCTGTAATAGTCTCCAGGGTAGTCTGATGTGTCCTCCACCCAGTCAAATCCTTTAGATCACTCAGTGTTACTCAGAGGGAGGATCTGAGCAGCGTTTCATTTAGGTCAAATGTGAGGCCAACTTTAACTTCACACTGATTAGCCTCGTTGTTGATTAATGAGTCGTCAAACATGATTAATTATACATTTGAGTAGTACCTCACCCTTTATGCTAAATAAAACCCCTACAGGACAGCGATAAGATGTGCCGCTCAAACATGCAAGTGAAGGCAAATCGTTTTAGAACTTACGTGTTATTAGTTTTGCCTGGAAAAAGACACCTAAAACAAACAAACCGTTTGAACACAGTCAAATTTTCATGCCAACATGTCTCGACACTCTGTCCTCTAACCGACAGAAGCTTTCTGAAGTATTTGAAGCATGCAAAGCAGGCAGTGATTTTCATATTACTCTGTGAGCTCTGTAGTCAATGAGCTCTGTGTGCTCGCTTTACTTTATTGACATTTTTCTGCGGATACTTATAAACTCCTTAAACTATGTTGAAAGTCAAACTGATGCCAGAGTAACATATAGGAATGATTTCTGTGGAAACATTTAAGGCTCAGGCTTTGACATGCTATGATCTGAGGGTATGTTCTTCAAAGGGACGTCCATTTGTTTTCTTTCAGCTTCCTTGATTAAAAAGAGCTGAAATATTTTATTATGGGAGTTACGTTTGATCTGAGCTCCGAGGAGCACGCTCTGGAGCTCTATGATATCTTCTGATGATGATTTAGGTTGGTATTGCCGTCATTTGAAGGTGGTGGGTGTTGCCAGCACATATCCAGATAGACTCCTGGTGGTCATTGTTTATGATCCGATGAGCAACTTATTTTCATTTGTTCATAATTGGTGGATTCTGAGACTGCAATTTAGTCTGTTCAATCTAAAATCCTGTAAAATCCTAGTCGACTGGTCGACTTACTGGTTGATAGGTGCTGGGTCAACTTGATTTTTCCCGCATCAATTTAACGCTGATGGTTAATTTCATCAGGAGGAACATACCATGTGCTAATGGGGGTGTTTTCAGAGCACTCCCGTTTCACAGGTAACAGTCTGTCTCAGAACTACCCGCTTTTTTTTCACCATTTTGGATTCACCCAACCCATTGGAGACAGGAAGATTCAGGAGCTTCCACATTAATCAACGTCCGGTGGGTGATTTTTTTCTTTTTTTTTTTTTTGGAGGATGGTAGGGGAAGGTCCCGCCCTCCTTTACCTCTGATTGACTAGAGGTGCTGGGCTCCAATTGGTTATTCCTCATGACTGTGAAACGTTACCGTCTGTCGGGTAAGGGTAAGGGTTAGGGTTAGGAGATTCAGAAGTGTGATAATGTTCTGTCCACATTTGGCTTGAGCGTGCGATGACGTTTCCATCTTTTTCTAGCCAATCATAGGCGAAGGAGGCGGGACTTATCCCTACCATCCTACAAAATAAAATATCATGTCCGGTGGTATGCTGAAAATTTATATTTTAGCCTTTTGTGTTTAATTGCCTTCTTGTGCTGATCTCAGTATATTTTCACCCCACCGAGGTGAAATTATACAAGCTCCGTCAAGCTGCGTCATCCCCTGCCGCAGGAGGATTTGTCGTCAGAGTCGGATCCCCACCCCCTTCAGTTAATTTTTGGTAGAAAACTTCAGTGTTTTAGTCAATCAAAAATTTCTTTGGTCGATTACAACCCTAGTACAATCCATATCTTTTGCTGTCTACACACACTGTTTACCTGCATATCTCCTCAAATGTGATTGGTCAATGTTAGAGGAGGTGTGATTTCTACAAGCAGCAGCCAAACATGTAATGAGGGATTTTCTGTTATTAATTTCAAAGAGTTTTCCTTATTTCACTGTTTTCACGATCAAAGGGGGAAATTCTTAAGAAAGTATGTTGTTTCATTTATAATCTTACTGCTGTAATGAACTGAACCCACTTTAAGACTTCACTGAGTACAAGAGTGGCTGTATCAAAATGTGTGTGTGTGGGTGTGTAGAAGAGGAAAATCCTCACAGTCCAACAAGCCTGTGTTAATGGCATTGATTGGGGCTTGGCATGGTTTAGTAATTGGATCAAGGTTTCTGTGCTAGGCACCAACATCACATCATAACCCTAACCTAGAGTCTCTGCCAGGTTTATGTAAGATCTTTTCCCACAGCCAGCTTTACTCCTGGCACTGTAACAGGGGGGAGACCAGACACAGCAATGTGGACTAGAGCTTGACATTTTCTGTTTCTGTAAATTTGTTTCACATCTCCTGTTTAAATGGGGAAGGATTCATTTATAAACTGTATACTGCTTGACAAAGTTCAGCCAACGTCGTAGTGGCGTACTCAAAACTTCCCTGGTGACTGTTTATGCTCACCAATGACTTTTTGAGCAAAACATGACAAGAAATGAAAACAAGTTTTCTCTTTTAACTTGCTAACAAATTGTTTTGTTTTGTTAGCATTGCTCGTCTTATGTCATGTAAAGTTTTCCTGAGTCTTTTGACCTGTTTCTATCCCCTCCTGCTCAGCAGAGCTTATTAAGGGGCCCCTGTAGCACTCTTGGGATTACAGGTTGCAGCTCACTCTCTGCAGGGCACCTGACTGAATTCTGCAACAATACAAACAGCCACAAGTGTGTGGACCCAGACTATCTCCTATTAGTACTCTTTTCCAGCCTCTTTAAATCCTTCCACACTTATTTTCCTGCTGTTCTCGAGAGATTGTCCTTCCCTTTCTCCACCCCCTCTTCTTCCTGATTCTGTCTCTGTTTGGTTTTCTTGGCTGACTTTGTCTGAGTAACACGGGTTATTTTGGGATATTTGGTGAGTACAGCAACAGTCTGCAACATTTTGACACATGTGCTTCATCACTTAAAGAAGACGAGAGATTGAAAATAAAGTTTAACATTCAGGGGGATTGATCAGTAGTAGGGCTGGGCGATAAACCGAAAATTTACAGCAATAACCAACATATTCAACATATTGGGTGTCGAAAAAATAAATAAATAAAAGTTGGTTTTTGATGTGTGTAGGTAGGCTATAGTGTCATGTCCTACGTCGGAGACATGACTCCACCCCATCCAGTCCATAACAAAGAGGAAGACAGGTGAGGAGATGGAGGACGGTTCAAAAGTTGTAGCGGTTGGAGCAGTGGCTGTTATTGTGGGAGGGGGTGAGCAGCTTGTGGAGTAGTTAGCGATTGTTTATCGTTATCTGGAAGACTCCAAAAACATGCAACTGGACTGTAGAGTTGAGAAGACGTTTCGCCTCTTATCCAAGAAGCTTCTTCCGTTCCAAAATTGGAAATGTCTTCTCATCTTTACACAGTCAAGTTGCCTGTTTTTGGAGTCCTCAAGATAACCATGACCTGGATGAATGAGAATCCGTTTATCGTTATCGAGTTGAACTGCTCGATGTATCGTGATATTGACTTGAGGCCATACCGCCCGACCCAAATCAGTAGTCTTCATGGTTTTCTCGTGGAGATTATTTTTACATCTGACTGGATCTCCACATTCAAGATATCGTGATTCGTCTGCGTATTACCATGACACAAACTTCGATCATGATGTTTGACCAGACGCATCACTTATGCACACACTGAACCAATCTGTAGGCCAGACTAAAGTTGTCTCAGTCTTCGTCCTGTCCTATCCTTCTCTCTCCTCTTTCTTTGGTTCTCCATCACTCCGATTCCATCACTTCCTCTTACTCACATTTCTCAACCTCTACCCATAAACCTCCACATGTTTCTGCAGTCCAGACAGATGGAGGAATGTGTGTGCTGCTGGGGTCGCTGCATGGACTCTACATGAGTAACATGCCAGACTTAAAGGGGTGGGGGGGGCAACTTTTTCAGAAGTGGAGTCTGGACTTTTTTTTGCCCATGTTTGGGGAGAGGAAATGAGCCCTGTGTGCTGTGGGGATGTCTCTGAGTTCCCCCCTCTTGCTCTCAACACAGATGGAGAGGTAGACAGGCTAAAAATAGCACTGAGAGCCCAGGTCAGCTTTGAGCTGGGAGTAAGAAGTTGGGGGTCTGAGGAGGGGGAGGGTAGAAAAACATATGATGTAAAATGGAATGAACAGAAAAAAGAAGCTGGTGGGGAGATGAAATGAAAATCGGAAAGACCATGAAATATGCATTTAAAAGACTGCGATTTTAATATCGCAAACCTTGACAAATGTCTTACATGAGAGTCGGCGGGACCACTGGGGATATTTGTGCAATATGTGAAAGGGGAAAAAGAGAAGAGAAAAAAAGCAGCCCGAGAATGATCTGATGGAGAGCTTAATCTGGGCAGTGAATTCTGGCAGGAGCTCCCAACCTCTCATCCATTTTCTCATATCTTTCCCTTCATGCGCCGTTTATCATATCTCCACCGCGTACATAACCACAAATCTCTCATATCTCCCCCGCTGGCAAAGATGAAATGAATAAACGACCTATGAGCCCTCGAGATCCTCCCGTCAGAGAGACACAGAGAGAAGGGAAGTGTGGAGACGAGGGAGAAAAGATGAGGCTGAGATATTGCTTTAGTTTGCGAAAGAGGGATGGCTCACTACAAGATTTAAAGTACAAGGAGGAGAAATATGTGTTGTAAAAGATGGAGGTCAGAATAATGAATTTGGGGTGGTAATGATGGTAAGATATCAACAGAATATATTGAGAGCGTAAAGACGGTGATGTGAACAAAGAATATGAGAAATGGTTATTGGTTCAGGGGCCAAAACGCGTCCTTATTTGTTCTTTTTTATTGTGCAATATGTACAACTGCGAAGGAATGCTTTCTCCTTAGAGTGCCGATGTGAAATTACAAGAAAACAAGGGCTGGAAATCTTCTTAGATGTGTGAATTGTGGACCTCGTGTTCAAATATTTCCTGCGTTAATGCAACACTGAAGTTGCGGTGTGGTTAAAAGTCTGCATGAGTGAAAACAAGACCCGCTCCTGCTCCTACTCCGGCACTGCAAAGCATCTGCTCCTGTTATGTTCGTCTCCAAATGGCAGAGCATGTAATGTTTGGAGGTATTACTCTGGTTGTCCAAAATAAGCGTGTCTTATTGTTTCTGGCTCAAGTCTCGGTAAACTCTGTGTGTGTGTTTGTGTCGGTGTGAACACTATGCGCTGAATGAATTGTGGTTTATTTGATTTTATCAGTAAAAGTCGTTTCTTTTCATACCCCTCTCTCCCCTCAATGATGGCCTCTTTCCCTTCATTTATAATGCCTCTCCTCTTTTCTTCTTTCTCTTCTCCACCCTCTGTTCCTCCCTCTCTCAGAGCTGAGGTCATAGCTGGCTGGGTTTGGAGGTGGGATAGCGTACAGACATAAGAGACTCTGTTTTTCTCATCAGCCAGTTTGGCTCTTAAGAAGCCTACATGTGTGAAGGAATGAAGGTTCATCTTCTCTCTTAGTTAGCAGAGATGGTTTTACTACGAAAGCTGCTGCTACAAATGCATCTCTGTGATAAAGATAATCAAGCGCATGGAAAAAGAAGAATAAAAGCAACAAATCTGCCTTTTTTTAGCAGCATGAAATCAATAAATGATCTTCAAATCAGTATTTTTCATTAGATTGTTTAGCTTTTTTTATCGTCAGGATAAATCAGTGTTAGTTTTCTGCTTCTACACTTTCTTCTCCTTCTTGTGTAGCTGTCCTGCTCACCCTGTCGAGATTTTAATCTGCACAACCATGTGTGATCTTTACATTACCTCTTTTTAAAAAGTTTGTTTGCACAGTCAGTCTTATTCTTTATGGTCAAAACTTCTCTAACGTGTGATATAGTGGTATCACTATAACACAGTACAGCTATAACTTGGTCAGAAGGATGGTGGTTCGTTTCAACCACCTATTCACTATATATTCCCCCTTACACACTTGATAAAGAATTGATTTGACTGGTTTTTATTGGCTTTTATTGTAAGATCAACAAAGATTAATTATCCAAATGCTTTGGCATGCTGAAGTTTACTAAAGGGATCAACTCTTTTGGCTCATAGATATACTCAAGTTCTAGATCTTGATTTGTTTGGAGGACTCTGCATTCATAGAGTCTCCGCCTTGTTAGAATCTGTGGCAGAAGTTTGGATCCGATGAAATAAATGTCGAAAGATCAGATTTTTCAAACTCCACGTTAGGTGAAAGCTCAGCAGAGGAACAAAGGCTCTCTCTCATCGCAGAGTTTCCTCATGTGCCAGCCTGTTCTTCGTGGGCTGAGAATTTGCACATGCAATCAGGAGTCCTTCAGAGGCTGGGTGACCTTTGACTTTGACTTGCTTGCGAATACTGACCTTAGGGGATGTCATGAGGATCAGGGATCACTAAAAGTGGACTGGTGTATTAGTTCTGGATGCTGGTGAGGGTAATTGAGGAGTAGAGTCTTTTGTTTCTGTCCCAAGACTAATCCATGCAAAGACGTGTGGACTCAAGGGTAGAAAACCCCTCAGGATTTTACTGATAGTCTGGTAATCTGGTTTAAAAGTTTTCTTTTCTTGGTGACAAAATAGATAAATCACTTGTCATAGAAGAATCTAAGGAAATAAGAGAACAGCACTAGCTTTGCTTCTTACATGTGGCTTGCTCAATAGGGCATACAATATAGTTATTGTGTCCCTAACTTACGCACACTCACACACCCTGATTGACTTTTGTAGCTCTTTGTTCCTCAGACAGAGACGTGTTGTTTCAGGGTGAAATAACAGAGTGATTCAGAGATCCTAACTGTGTAAGCTGGTCTTTTTTTGTGTGTATGTGTGTGCCAAACTTGTTGTTTTTAACATTGCTTTTGTATGAAAGGTCAAACCTTTAACCCTTTGACTTTCTCCCTCTCTCTCTCTCGGTCCCGACACACACTCCCTCCTCCTTTCACGTATCCACACAGACCGTTCACCTTTGGCCCATTGTAATAGCTGCGCATAGCCTTACACTCCTGCTAGCCAGCTCCAGATGTTATTGACACACCCCTCAGGAGACACACGGTCAGACACGCACTCATCATGAACGTACGCAGACACACACATGCTTCTACAAATCTTCTCTCTGTAGGTAGCCTCGCACGCGCATGAATTCAAACACAAACATGAATCAGGATTATGGCAGAGGCATGTCATGTCCATTAGCATCCGTCATGTTCCACATGTTACATGCTGTGTGATGAGCATGTGTGTTTTGCAGGTTTTGCTTCAAAGGAAACGTGTGAAATTTTTCTCACTTTAATCTGCGTGGCTAAATTTAAACAAACTCTGCACTTGGTTTGGATAGCAGCAGCGGAGTTGTATCTCAGCGATCTCTTGGAAACACCTGAGGAGTTGTCAAGTTGCCAAGGTGACATGCAGTTTGACTGACTGAAGGGTGGGGTAGGGACAGGTTTTCGCCTGCAAAATGTCAAAAAGCCTGTAGCTGTGAAAGGCTTTTAATTCACATTCAGGAGCCATCCATCCATGAGGCGAACTCCAAGTATGAAGGTTTTGTGCTGCTGAGCACCTTCCTGTTTTACACATGCTCTGAAAAGGCCTCTGGGGAAAAGATTAGAAGGTTCAAAAGTGAGAAGAACATGTCACGGCTAAAGATTATTCTCTTTTTTTTTGGTGAATTGTGGGGATGCTTTGCACAGCAGGGAAGCTTTTTGTAGTATGTGTGGTTAAACATCTGGCTATACATGTGTGTGAGCCTTTGTGTGCGTCTCTGAAAACATTGTGTACCCAGCTGTCCACATGCGGATATGAATTTATATGAGACCGTACCATCAGGCAGACAGAAATCAACTATTGTGCACTTTGGTCTAGATGATCAGACTTTTGTTTTGTGTGTTTTCATGTCTCCATCGCTAACATGTTTCATATGTTGTGTTGTATTACAGGGCGATATTCACATATGATGGATTCACCAACAAGCTCAAACTGGCGGACTCAGGAGGTAAGACAGACATTCATAATAGGCTTTATGTGGGATGTTTGAATGTGAATTTTTAAGCTTTAGAAAGAATTAAAGTAGATTTATTTGTGAACTTCTGACATCTTGGTTTTTAAGGAGGAAAAAATATGCGATTTGTTTCCCTTTGTTTCGTCTAACTTATCTCTATCTGTGTCACTCTGACAGCAGGCGGTGTGGCAGAGCTGGCAGAGAAGTTTCACATCTCGAAGCCTCAATATGGATTGTGCAAAGTGGGAAGCGTGGAGACAGGAGGTCCCCGGATCGCTCTGATCAGCTGGGTGAGTGGCAGACAGGCTCACGGGGCTTAGCTCATGTAAGCGTTATTAAAGACATACCAGCACAAACGATGGAAACACACACATGCTTAGCACATACATAAGACATTAGAGGGCACACACACACACACACGAGCGCGCACACAGAAACCTACAGACTTACATTCTTTAGCCACAGTCAAGTCATTTAGCAGTCCAAAGATAATGGGTTTAACATCTTAAGTGGTCACATACTGGAATATCTATGCTCTTTTTAAGCTGTAAAATGCTCTGGAGAAAATCCTATTCTACTCGGCTTATTCACATTGCACAGGCCTGTTTTGACGTCGGTGCATCTTAAATCCGACATTTGGGAAAACGGTGTGAACTCGGCAATCACAGGTCAAGCAAAACTATTGAAAAGCTCATATGCTCAGATATTTTATTTTTTGAGACAAAATGTTTTGTACAAGTTTTACAAAAAAAAAAAAATCACACTGCTTCTAACTGGTTAAAATCAACTTATCAATAGTAGAAATTTGAGGTTTTTATCTTATCATGGAAAGCTGTGTATAGTAAAACATTTAGGTCTAACATTACTCTGAGGAAGGTGCTGGAAATAGATATAAAATGCTGTTTAACCATTTGATTTTTAATAGGTTAAAGGGATATTCCGGCGTAAAATTAATTTAGGGTCAAACACACCATTACTCTGAGTTAGACACCCCCTCGAGAGATGAATGTTGCCATAAAATGTTATATAATAGCCACAAATAATGCTCAGAACAATACCTAACTTCATCAACAGTACATATAGGGTCCCAGCCATAGTACTAGCCAACAAACTTCTTTTTAGCTTCAGCAAAGAGACTAAACACAACTCACCTAATCTCTTCCAGCAGCCGCTTGTTTGTAGCGAGACCTCAGGCCACTCCATTATGGACTACAGTGGAGTGACGCAGCTCAAGGAAGAAGATTTATGATCATTTCTTCATGGAAATGCAATCAGACGGCGACGCTAAGGCAGAAGAACTACCGCATCTGCAGTGCAAAATGATTAATATGGTGATTTTTACCTCAAGGAAATGTTAGGAAATGAGCATTATTTGTGACTATAGAGTGGCGTTTTGGTTGAGGTTTGTTTATGGCTCCTCAGACCTCTGTGTATTGCTATCTTGGGGTCATCACAAAAGTTGGTATAACTAGAGAAGCAAGCAACGGCAACATTCATCTCTCGAGGGGGTGTCTGACTTGGTGTTACAGTGTGTTTGACCCTAAATTAATTTTACGCCGGAATATCCCTTTAACAGAGAGAACACATCAGGTTAACATAAACGAGAGCTAGAGCTGCGTAATTGATAGAGCATTGTGAATCCTATTGTTCCACCGTCTGTCTTCTTCCTCTTCTTTATGTTTCCTCAGAGGGAGGTTGGACGTGAATGTAAGTGTTTACATCCTGTGTTTGTCCTCAGGTCGGCCCAAATGTGGAGGAATACAGAAAGACCGAGTGTGCCGGCCACATTCCAGCCATCAAACACTTCTTCAAGGTGCAGTACATCACAAGTCATCTTCCTTTGAAACTGACATGTGCTGATGTAGTTTGTTTGTACCGTTCCTCCTCTACCGTTCGCTTACAAAAGACCATTATTCTGCTTATGACATTTTTAGCACCGAGGATGGCTAAAAAGACAGTTGAGTACTTGCAAACATCGTCCACATACCTGGAGCTCTTTGTTTCCCCCCCTGCTACAGAGAAAATATGTTTGTTCTGCTGAGCTCTATCCCTGGACTCCAGACTTTGTACTGACAAACTCTATATTTACACACAGGAGTTTACTTTGTATTGTTTTGAGAGTTTCCTGTCCTCAGTCTACTTCCTGTTCTACTGCAGTGTTGGTCTGTCTGCCCTGTCAGTACAAAGAGGGGGGGCAGCTGAGATTTTGGGTTGAGAGCTCCATTGTTTGTGGAGAAACTTTCGGTTGCGTCATTAACTCAAGTGTTGAGAGAAGAGTGAGTAAAGGTGAAGGGACCTTCTGTATGTTTTTATCCTTCAACAGAGAAGAGACTCTTTATCTGCAGCTTCTTGTCCCCATGTCTGGTCCTCGGACATGTATTTCTTAAGTATTTCAATCTAACAGGGGGGGAGTTTCAGCTGACCTCCAGATTTACTGGCTTCCATATAAAGGCATCACTGAGGCTGCTGCAGAAGCATCCGAGGAATGTTTGTTGTTGTTTTTTTTCATCTTTTTTTGAACAGTTAATGTTGATTTTGTAGACCACTGTATGAGACCCTTACATCTAACTGCATGTGTGTGTGTTTGTGTGTGTTAGCGCACATATCAGTAAGCGTACCCCAGGGCTAGTGCTGGACGATAATTCGATAACAATATATATCGATCGATAGACGTGTGGTGCGATAGAAAAAAAACGGGTCGATAAAAAGTTCGATAGAAAAACACAGTTTCCCTTTCTTTTTCATCATAGCCTATCATGTAGCTTTTACTACAGTCATTACTCCCTCCCAACCAATCACAAACGCAGACCCAGGTACGCTACGGCACCAAGCCCAGCCCCTATCAAACCACAACAGACAGCACGTGTATTAGAAAAAATGACACAGCAAGGAGAAGCGGAGGACATTGTCCCGAAAAAAGGTTTCAGTAGTTCACCAGCATGGCAATGTTTTGGTTTTTAGAAGTCTGACAAAAAGCGAACAGCGGTCGTTTGCAAAATTTGCAGCGAATTAGTAAAAACGAAGTCTGGTAACACAACCAACTTGTTTTACCATCTAAACCGATCGCACCCGCAGGAGTACGAGCTGTGTCGGCCGCGCCGCGGCTCCACGTCATCGTCGGAGGAATCCTCTGGAACCGCTGCCAGCAGCAGCACAAAGCATGTGAAGCAGACCAAACTGGACTTCGTTTCTTGCCAAAATACGACAAAGCGTCCGAGCGGCATAAGGACATCACCTATGCAGTAACATGCTCCATAGCGAGGGACATACTACCAATAACTACCGTTGAAAAGCCTGGCTTCGACTAGCTTCTAGCCACTCTCGACCCGCGATATGAAGTGTCCGGCCGCAAGTATTTCTCAAACACAGCGCTTCAGGCATGAAAATGGGTCAGGGGTTGAAAAGGTGAGAAGGGTGCGGAGGAAATACGTTCCGGTGTAGCTTCTTAAAGTGGAAGAAAATTAGCTCATATTTTACAAAGACGCGAGTATTTGGATCATGGCTACTAGCAGGGGGTGCATTCGGCAGGGGTGCATTCTACGACACAACACGGCGTGGATAAGTCCTGCTTCTCGTGCTTAGTTTGTGTATTAAGTCAATCACATGATAATTAAAAAAAAAAAAATCTCCCGACCCCGGGAGAAATATTTCAGTGTTCAGACACCAGGCTGTGGGCAGTTTCCCACACAGTTAAAACTGGTAGTATACTATTCCCACCTAAAGCTATTCTGTTTATTTATATATTTGTTTATTTTCATCAAAAGACTATTTAAATATTTATTTATCAGATTTTCTGGTCACTTTAGTCTTTATGTATTTACTGACGTCACTCAGGCCACTTAAGTTGATTTCTTTTTTTTTTTTTAGTTCTTTTTTAAAAAACTTTCAGTTGTGGTAAAATAAAAAAGGTGGTTGAATAAAGGTTTGAATTTGAATTCAGTGCTTGTGTGTTCTTTATTAAAAGTAGGTCATTAAGCAATAGCATAAAACATCCAGGGCTGCAATTAAAGTATATGTTAAATAATTATAACAATTATATCGATAATTATCGATATCGATCAATATGATTTATTTTTTATCGATATGCTTTTTTTCTATATCGTCCAGGCCTACCCAGGGCCTCTGTACATTTCATAACTGAGGCAAAAGGATTACATGGTCAATGTGGCATGGGGTTGCTAGAATCGGATCACCATAGGGGAGTAGTTGGAAAATTGTGACCTCTGACCTTCAGATCTGTGTCACGACAATGAAATTAACCTGCTGTTAGCTAACCCAACTTTCTGGTAATACAAACCAAAAAGGCACAGAGGGGATTTACATAAGATCAAATCAAAACCAAATTGCTTTCAGCTTAAACTAGAAGACTTCCACTGAATCGTTGTAGAGATGATAAACAACTGTTCTGTCCTGTTTTCTAACCTTTTTAATACTGTGGTACACGGTACTTTTTCACAGAGACACAAGAGAAGTTTACACAGATAGAATTTAATATTTAAAGATGAATTTATACATTTTTTAAAAATACTTCTATAAAAGGTCATATGCTTTTTGTCAGTCTGGCTATTAAATAGCCGTTCAGTAGAAAATTCAAAAATATATGATGAATCAAGATCAATCACATTTTTAATTACATGTTTGCATTTCAAAACAGAGTTAGGCGCTGTGTCCTAGAGGTGCAGCTTCAGAGTGTTGAAACCACAGCTCAGTTTTCACAATCTCTCAAATCATGCTCATCTGGCTTTTGTGATTTGGTTGCCCACTGACACTAGTCTGGTTAGCTGCGCCTGTATATTTTGATATTTTAATTCTGTTTAAGATAATGTGCTTATTATCTTTGGACTTGACTACTTACTACTTGTCTACCTTATTCACATTGCGAGATACTCACAGCCCTAAATATGTTTTTTATTCTATGTATATACGTGAACCTTTTCTCATGTTTTTTATTCTATTAGATTGGAAGAAATCAAACTGAGTTGTTACGGGATATTGCAGATTTTACCAGATTGAAGCATATGAAACCCCACGATTAAGTTTCTCTCGAACAACTTTGATTTTGCATAAAAAATTACTACTTGACTTTGAGATGACCGCAAAACAACTCTACAGAGAAAACCTTAATTCACAGACGATGTTAACTTGGGGCTCAATTTGCTTGTTCTCCTTTATTCTCCGCTTTCATTGCCCTAGTTTACATTTCCCTTGGCACTCTGTAAGTTTATTTGCCTCTACTTCTGTCTTCTCTCTGTGTTTTTTTTTCTTTAACTCCGTCTTTCTGGCCTGCTATGCTGCATGTCCCAGCTGGCAGTGAGGGGGTTTTGTTAAAGCGAATCTGCAGCAGCGAGTCGGTTGTGTTGCACTGTGTACTCCACTGTGGCTTTGTGTTATGAAAACCAAAATATGGATAGGGTGCAGATGTCTCAACTGTTCTGAATTTCCACAATAATGAAGGCAGGAATAAGTTGGAACAGAAGAGCTGTGTGAATGTGTGTGGTTGTTACTGTTTGTGGAGTTCTATGATAGCACTGAAAGCCATACATTAAGATATTAAAGGGCTGCTAACATGAATTCAAGAGGTTAAACGTTGTCTGAGGTTGATGCATCTCTAAGTATTATCTGTACAACCAAATTTGGCCTCATGACAGGTTGGCACGGAGCCAAACGTCTCTCAAGGTTGAGCTTAAGATTTGTGCTGCAACAGAGAACAGAAGTCGAATTGTAAATATGGAATAAAACAACATGTCCGGGTCAAGGCTCTGAAATCCTGTAGCGCTGTAGATCAAGTCTGTCATCCTGTCCTGACACACTCTTAAAAAAAATGAGGCTTTAGTTTCACCTCAACCAATCTAGCCTCTCGCTGCTCTTTCTGTAAGATATCGACTGTGGAACTCTGGTTACAGCTGAAAATGACTTCACTGTGAAGTAGAAAACCTGGTTAAATGTAACAAGGATCTCATATTACTGAGCATGAATCAACTTTTATTTTCTTCAGTCAAAGGAAAGTGAAGTATATGTTTTTAAGCAGTAATAATTCAAGTAGGAGGGATAAATGATTATTTACCAAAAATAAAAACATTTATTCTAATTTAGGTCAGGCATCCACTGCTACCTGTAGCTTAAACAGCACCTGAGCAGAGGCCGTGTGTTATTGCTGTTATTTAGATGTGCCTAAAACAGAGGTCGTACGGGCTTATGTCAGACACCAGAGTCGTTTCCTGTTTTACACAGAGGACATGTGGAGAGCTCTCGTAACCTTTGACTGTCTCGTAGTCAGGTAGAGCTACGACTATGGGAGCTTTTGGTGAGCCTAATACTTGTGACCTGCTATGCCCTGCCGGTGCAAATAGCCATCACACAGCAGGGGTCCATTACAAGCAGGTTGGAGCTTACCACGAGATTTTGGAGTGGAAACTCTGCCTCTCTCTCTAGACAACTGAATAACTAAAAAAACTGATATCAAAGAGTAAAAAACACCAAACATAGGATTAAAAAATGTTTGCATCATTTTAATTTGTTCATCCTCTATGTTTGCTCTTGTAGTTGTTGCAGATCCTGTTAGATATGAATAAACTTTGTAAGGTGAATATTTCATTTTGCTGCAACAGCTTGATTTTTGCTGCCCCCATGTGGTCAAATAATGACGTTTTCAGAGGTTTTGATCCTGTTAGCGTACCACCCTGTTGCATGTACTTAAGCACTATCATTATGAATTTTGTTTCATTGGAAATTGTTGTAAAAAAATGGTCTTTTATTTAACATCATGACCACAATGTCCAATGCGTAACAAGTGTTAACATCATTTAATACAGAGTTGTAACTCAGCAGAATTGTCCGCTGCGCATCGTCAACATGAGTATTTCCCTTTTACTGAGTTTTGGCTGGAGTTATTTTTCCGTGATTTTCCCAGCATCCCTGGCAGCGCTGTGGACAGCCTGTCTGGCCTCTGTGTGTGTGTGTGTGCACTTGGCAGTGACAGCTAGAGTGATATGGATTATACACTGTACTGACATGTATTACAGGGCACACTGGATGCTCTGTTCAGTGTCCGTGTCAGTGTTGTCACTCAGATAAAGCTGTGGTTTCCTGTTGGAGGCTGACAGACCTGGCGCTGCATCAACAAGCCCGGACTGGCTCTCTTTAGGAAAGTATTCAGATGTCCAAGCCGCATGTAAACAGAAATACAAGCAGTGGATGCATGCATGAGTTCAGGCTAATCTGGACACTTTGGAACAGGAATAGCAGCAGTGGAAACCCAGTTTTTTGATATTTGAGTTATTGAATCCAGAAATTTTCTGTCCCCTCGGCTTGTTTTTCAGAGATTGAGCAACTGTTGCATATTACGTCTCTCTTGTTCTGCCTTTTGCAAAGCCACAATGCTCCCTTCCTTCTCCTCCTCACTCTCTCAGCCCCGACCCCTGTTGTTTGCTCTTTCCTATCTCCCCCTCTTTGTGTATAACCATCCAAACCAATGCATTCCTTTCCCCGTACCGAAGCCAAGGAGTATTTTTTTGTTCTCTCACTTTCGCTACAACTGAAGCAGTTGCACAACTTTTTGGCTCCAAGTTTGCATAACTCCAAGTCAGACCAAGAGAAAATCACCACAGGGACTGTGTGTTCTTGTATATGGATTTCTGGGCTTTGTGTGTGGTAGTGTGTGTGGCTACAGTACAGCATGTAATGGTGGATTAAATTCACATCTGTCTTGCTCTCTTTGCCATCTCCTTATTATGCCGTCTTTCCATGTTTCAGGAGGCGCACGTATTCATCAGTGCAGAGAAGGCGGAGGATGTAAAAGAGGAGAGGATAAAAGAGGAGCTCGGCAAGACCCAGGCCCAAACCCCTGCACAATGGGTGAGGAGGAGCTCCAGGTCTGCGGACAAGGAGGAACTAGTGGTGAGTGCCTTGCAATACCAAATCTATCCACAAGATGGAGACAGAGACTTTCATGTGTGCATTTAAAATAATACAATTTATGGTGGTATCTTAGTTTTGCATGCAGTGTTGAAGTTTAGTCAATGGACTCAGAATCTGGGTTGAGTCTCAAGTCCTCAGTGTCGGGGAGGAATTTAGGTTTTGTCCTTTATTATCTGAGTCCAAGTCAAGTCGTCATTTTTAATTGTTTTAATTATTAGAAGTGAAAACTATTTAATGCTTGACCAAAAACCACAAGAGCCTGAGCACAAAGTGGAAGGAATGCTTCACTGTATTCTTTAGGATTGTTTTTTATTCTTCACAGCCTCGAATAATCACTAATTTGAAGGACTTAACAGACTTTGAATAGTATGGGGTTTTTGCAAGTTCATCAGGCCTGCTGAAAAATGTTTTATTTATAGGTTTTGAATATGGGCTGGGAAATCTGCTCAAAAGCATCCTCTAGTGGTTTCCAACAACATAGAGGTCAAGTTAAGGACATATATCCAATTCTGCAAGACTTACAAAGAAGTGCAGTGGTGACATGCCGACAGTGTTGTCCCAAAAATGTCTAATATCATGGGGTTCTGGGCTATTTCCAGGGGTCTGTTGAAAATATATCTGCTCCAAGGAGGTATGTGCAGTCCACCTGAAAACAAGGTTTTCCAGCCAGAGGAGACCTGAATGAAGAAAAGGAAGGAAGTAGTTTTATCATAGCCATGCAACCTCACCACCCACAATAGGGGCTAGCACATTCGAATTGTAATATTTGATCACAGTCATAGCGCCCCCTGATGGCTGCAGGAAACGTCATGCTGCCAGTATATGAGATGAAGTTCAGAAACAGTGTCATATGTAGTCAGGATACCACTGAGGTGTTGGGCTTGATATGTGCTCGAATATATCGTAACATAAAATTTCATGAGGGGCCCAGTCAGGGATGGTCTTTATGTTCCTGAGTCAAGGAAGTCTTTTGCACATATACTGTAAAATAATCTGGGATTATTAGAGCCTTTTTCTGGGGTCACACACATTTACTCTGCCTGTGGTGTCAATACAATTCACCTCAATTTTCTGTACTACAAGAAGCTGCTTTGGGGTTTTGATGATCTGCGGTTTATGTACTAAACTTTAAGGGTGTGGCTCATCAAAATTTGACATCTGAAAAACAGCCACTGTAAGTCCTGGAAGGTGCAGGCTACATCCTTACCTCTTAAGTGTCATACTTTTACCTGTGTTGTGTGAGGTGTGTCGGATTAGTTATGCTTATAAAATACTGCAGTGAAACGGTTTGAATCTTTAAACTTGACAGTTTTTATTTTACATTTCTATGATATGCGATAAAAGCTCCCTGACTGAATTATGGGAAAGTTTAAGACTTTAAGACTTTGTATTCTTCAATCTCATGTTTCCCACCCACCAGGGTACAAACTACAGAAAAACCAACGCAGCTATGGAGATGAGGCTAATAAACAGAGACTCTTTCTGGGCACGTGCAGAGGTGAGTCAAAGCTTCCTCTCTGAGAGGTGAAGATGAAGTTCACCTTGTTGTTATCAGCTCTCGACATGCGTTCTCTCACTGTTGTCTGTTGTGTGAATAAGCGCGAAGAGGAAGAGAGGAAAGAAGAGGAGCGGAGGCGAGCTGCAGATGAGAGACGCCGGCTTGAAAGAGAGAGAGTTTTAAAAGAAAAGAGGGATGCAGAAGAAAGAGACAGAAAGATGAACGAGAAGCTCCAGATGATTGAAGAGCAGAGGTTAGGACGATGGTGTCCTCCATGAGTGTTTTATTGTGTGGACATTACAAGGCAAAAGCGTGTTTATAACGACTTTAATGTTCTTTATTTTTACCCGGCAGGAGAAAACAGGCAGAGCAAGAGGAAGAACTGCGCAGGAAAGAGAAATTAAAATGGGTGAGTTTAAAGACGTGTGAAGTTTTCATGTTGCAGAATAAAATGAACAGCTGCTCTGCTGCCCTCTGGCTTTGACGGCTGGTCAAACAAGCCCGAACTCACTGACCTGGGGCTGTGTGAGGTCTGCTCTTCAGCTGTAATAGTTTCTAAGAATGACAAGACTGACTCTTTTAGTCCTGTAAGAGCTCAAATCCACTCATAATCTCAGACTAATAAATTCACAGTTTACGGCCAACAGAAAAATACGAAACTACATTGAAACTTTGGATCAGTTAGACTTTCATTTAACATTCGAGGCTCTTGACCTAAAGGCAAACAAATTAACCGATGTCTGAACCCTTGTCAAGCACCGTGAGTGGTAGCTTGTCATGTAAAGCACATAACAGACTTCTTAAAGACATTGTGACATACACTTATACTTTTTGTGTGTTTGTGTGTCTGCATAGGGTTCAGGGTTATTCCAGTTTGACAGTAGTTGTTTGGTGTTGGCAGTAGGCACTGATTTCTGTCTAAAAACAGAAAAATGTTTTTAACTCCTGATTGATTAACACCATCTAGACCAAATCGCCACAATCTGTGTGGTAAATTTGATATCTGATGTGTTTGTGTGCTTACAGGAGCTGCAGCAGAGGGAGCACGAGGACTTCATGAGAGCTCGTCTTAAAAGGAGTGAATCCATAGAGAAAGCAGCAGTAAGAACATCTTCGACATATAACAAGGACACATTCGTTGTTATATTACGAATATTTCTGTTGCATTATTTAAGCATGTTGCTAATACTTAACATGATCTGTAGGAAGCAGCTGCATTAGTGTCCCAACGCTCCATGAACCCCAGAGAGTTCTTCAGGCAACTCTCATCATCGTCTTCACAGAGTCCCACCAGCCCTGGATCTTCCCGCTCAGGTATGTACACTATGAGCAGAACTACTATGAGGGAAAGTCCAAAACAAGCAAAGATCAGTCCTGATTAAAGTGCATTAAGTTTCTGTCAGAGCAGTGTGTATATTTCTTGTTTACAACTCTCTCTCTCTCTCTCTCTAGGCAAACCATTCAGACGATACCAGCGCAGCCTGACAGACACAGCCTTCATCTTTGCTAAAGCTGAAGAAAGCGCAACATCATCACCTCAAAGTTCCCCCCTGGTCTCCCCCTTCTCTCGTACTTCTCCCTCCCCTTTCTTCCGAGCCACATCTCCCCCCACTAGCCCCACTTCCCGTCCTCTCTTCTCTCCACAAAGGCCAAAGGCCCCAGTGACACCGCCCACTTCACCTATACGCCCCGCCCCTCCAGTCTCGGCTTTGCCTAGCGTCCCGCAAACTAACGACCAAGTTCCTGCTGTTGTTGAGGACAAACCCAAATCACCCACACAACCCTCTGCACCTCCTGCCTCTCCGACTCTTTTTGCTTCCCTAAACAACCCTTCTCAGCCACATCCAGAGGACCTGACTGCTTCGCTCCATAACACCCAAACCCATCCTGAGGACTCGGCTTTCTGTTTCGAGCCGGCTGCAGCTCCACACGCTCCAACAGCTCCTCTCCCAGAGAGACCACAGACAAACACAGGTAGGCTGGAACCGAGCGCCGATAATTATATGGCTGTCTTCGTTAAAAGATCTGTAAGGGTGATGATGCAATATGATGAGGAGCATATGTCTTAGCTTTTTTCCTGCCAAAGTCGTTATTTTTTTGACATAAAATTTTGGTTTCTAAAAATATAGTCCAGGCTAAAGTGGTCTCAGATGCTTTTGCCAAAACCTGCTCCACAAACATAGGCCAGACACTATGAATAAGGGGACTGTTGTACAAAAATGACAGTCTAGTCACAATTAAATATTCCTAAAGTAACCACACTTACCCTCAGTCATGCCAAGCTTAACTTTAATGTGAGGACCTTGGGTTTTTTATGGCTGAGTTTTATAGCGCTGCCCTACAGAACAAAGCCATCTTTGTCATTTTTACCTCGTCTTTAAATAATACGATAATAATGATAATTTTCTAATCAACAGACCTCAACACAGCCACCCATAGACACACTGAGCTGGTCTCAGACTTCGGCTACAAAGTACAGGCTGTGCTGGTGGAGGAGGACGAGGAAGAGGAGGAGGATGAGAAAAAGCATGAAGAAGAAAGGCCTGAAACAGAACCGCAGCCTGGTGCTGTATCCACAGAACCGGTCCACACTGAACCAGAGGAGCAGGAGCCAGGGGAAGAGGGAGATAAGGAGGAACAGGAGAGGGGCCAGGAGGAAGAGGAGGGCAGAGCTGCACAAGAAGCTGAGCCTGCCTCACTGGAGGTGGAGGTAGCTCCAGTGGAGATGTCGCAAGAGGATGTGGAGGCAGAAGAAGATGGAGAGGAGAGTGAGCAGTCAGCTGACAACAAGGCCTCTGCTGAGCCTGCCCAGCTTTTCGATAAAGAGGAAGAGTCTGCAGTCGAAGGTATCCCTCTTCTCTCTCGTGATGTTTTATATCGCTGACTTTAACAGTTTGCATTCAAATGAGAGCTTTTAAGATAAGACAAACCTTTATTTACCCCACGGTGGGGAAATTTGCAATTTTTAACCATTTAAAATGTCATTTATTGATATGATACACAGTGACGAAAGGCAACAATAACATCTTTGTTTCAGATGCAGAGCAGATTTGTCAGGAGCTGAAACATGAGACCATTATCCTGTCGAGCAACGGGATTCCCAACGGAGACGCACAGCAACAGAATGGCATAGGTTTGTCATGAATCAGTTTAAACACTGTTGTTTTTCATAGGATTATTCCTCGTACATTAATGTATTATATTTTTAATGTTTTTACTCCATACTTTTTTTTTCAGAGCGATCTTTGAGTCCATCTGACACTGAACTCAGCTCACCAGAGTTGGCTGTGTGCTTTAAAGTGCACGTCACGGCAGAAGAAAACAATGTCGAAGAAGAAGAAGAAGAGGAGGAACATGAGATCTCAGAAAATGGCGAAGAGGTGATATTTCAATACAAAAAGACCAAAGACTACTTTCTTAGTCTGTGTGTGTCACTCAGCCTCAAGCCTTCATGAAGTGATAGAGCTAAAAATGGGAACGTGAACGTAAAGTTTCTATATTAACTATTTCATCGATAACCCTGCATCTACATCATAATCTTCGGCACAGTCTTTTCAAAGTCCGAATACTTATGACCACTGTGTTTGTGCGCTAAAAGAGCAAGAATTTCCTTCTAACTGATTCCAATTCTAAAGTAAAGCTTGTTGTTGTCAAGTGACGAGCGACAATGCTGTTGATTCATTATCATTAATCTCAACATTACGACTTTATTCATGAAATCTTGTCTTTATTTGCATCAACTTTAATCTCGTAATTTCGATTTAATTCACAAAATTTCAACTTTAATCTTGTTCCTGTAATTATTATTTTTTTTTCTGTTCATGTGGCCCTAATCCTCTTTTGTACTTTTGACGTTTGTGTGACTTTTTTCATAATAAGTTAATGAAATCTCAAGTTAGCTAGCAAACAATGTTAAATGTATTGTAAGAGTTTGAATAACAACTGAGCCTCCAGCTATAGATGTTGACCGTGCTCAGGCTTTAAAGTGCTGAATAATTTTTACAGATAAATCTGTTTTAACGTAGTTTCAGCAAATCTCCTCAAACATTTCATTTCATTTTCATTTTTATACTTTATTTCATTCAGTTAATATTTAAAATATTCAATACAAAGAAGGAAAAATCTCAAACATGTGAATGAAAAGGAGCAGAATGAAGAAAACTCTTAACAGAGTCTGCCTCACAAGGGTAACAAGTGCATTCATTGGGGACTATTTTCAGCAGAGGATTTATACACATTTGCAACAGGACGTCTTGTTGGATATAAAGTGAACAGAATATCACAAGTATTTTCTTTTACAGTCTGGGTTAAATGAAGAATTGTCTCATGATTACAGCCCTCCTCTGACTCCATTTTCTTCTCTGAATCAGGTTTTAGCAGAGCAACAAATTTGCGTCCGGGCTCTGTATGACTACCAAGCAGGTAAGCTGCCATTTACAGGATAATCACCACGCATGTGCACGTAAAGTGCCTCCGCTTACCGTAATTACACCGTGATTACTGGGTCTTCAACATGTTATCTTGCATTTCCCACAGAGGACGAATCCGAGATCTCTTTTGAACCCGGTGACATCATCAGGGACGTGGAAACGGTGGACAAAGCCTGGTGGAGAGGGTGGAGCAAAGATGGCCGTCAAGGCTTGTTCCCTGCCAATTATGTGGAGACCATATAGAAAGGCAGTATCACACAACAGACTTACACACACATACAAACACACACACACACACACACGCTCAGGGACACCATCTCCCCTCACTTTTTTCATGTTTTTACCTTAATCCTCCCACTGAAACTTTGTACGCTCTCTTCTGTGTGAAGGCAAAAAAAAAAAGTGACTCTCAGTTTTGTAGAAAGCATAAAGAACAAGTTTGACTCTGTATTTTGATATCTTTTTTTTTTTCATTTTTCAGAAAAACTAAATATCCTTACAAGTGTGCAGAAATTACCCAGCCTCATTTTCTTGGATAAAATAGCAGAGACCTTTTTTCCTGGACCAAAATAACTTATTACCTTTTGAGAGGGAGCAGGAGTGTCAGTGGGAGGGATCAGATCTCGGTGACAAATGATCACAAACTTGCTTCTGTTGTAGGGAACACAAACAGATTTTTATAGTGTATATTCCCCGTTTTGATCCACACACATAAAAACCATTCCAGTCTGCTCACCTTTTGCTTTTGTGAGCGTTACGATACTCAAAAAAAATAATGTACTGATCTTGACTGGTATATATAATCAAGATACATGTATGAGACATCATCTTTGTAATCATCATCCTGTGTTTCCTGAGTTTGTTTGGTAGCTCTGTTACTGACAGCACATTTTAATTACCTAAACCAGAAAAACAACATAAATAAGGATAAACAAGCGGAGGAAGAAGGCACTGTATTGACACATATATGTCTCTATCACTCTGAGATGGATGTAATATTTTTTCTATGTTGACATCTTACATACTTTTGTCTCATTATGTCTAATCATAATTTTTCCTAGATTTAAATAAATGTAAACACTATTTCTACACACAGATGATATAAAAACAAGAATCTTTCAACGTTAATCTTCTGTAATATCTGTATTTATGTATAAAAACACATCAAAGATCTTCTCTTTTTCTATTCCCGACTTGTATGTTTGTATGATGTATGTTCTTTGTATTTACCCCAATTTACAAATATATACCATCTACAAACTCAGACTTCATTTCGATTTGTGTCTGTATTTTATTCTCCACTTTAAAGGGAAAAGACTTGAAACAAACAGGATACTACTTTTGTATTATTTCAATACAAAAATCATGATTGAAGTTGTCAGTATTAACACATTAATCATTAATGTGATTAAAATTCTGTACTACTTTGTCCTTTCTGGTGCACCGTAGTTAAGCCACTGGGTGTCCTCTGTCTTTCTGCTGTGCATTTCGCTTTAAAAACTCTCCTATTGCAAAGTTGTCAAGTCAAAAGTAGTATCCTCTTTGTGTGATGTCAGCTTTTAGCCACATCACAAAAGCAAGATAAGTGCTATTTAGGAGTGTGTGGATTACCACAGACCTGTGAACAAAACTGAAATGACATCGCTCTTTTGACTGCATTCATCTGCTTCCAAAATAGACAATAGTAAGAATCACTGCATGCTTTTCATATGAATTTGAAAACTGTGGTGAATGCACAAAACATACTTGTTTGACAGCTTTAATGATAAAAGTATGTGCAACTCTAAAAGTTATAAAGCACGTGAAAAACATTAGTTAGTGCTGCAAAAGAGGCATTAACCAGAATAGCATATATTATGTATTTATTGGACTTATTTGGTTTGTTTTATTAATAGTACAAAGTCAAACCGCCTTTTAACAGATTATTAATTTTCTGATAAAATTAGAAAGTAATGATATTTTCAGCAAAACATTAAAAACTTGCTGTTTTTTTTTCCAATACGGACCTTAATTTTTGTTATTTATCTGAGCCCATGTACTGATGATAAAGTGCATAAGGTGAAAAAAAAAAGGAGTCGTGAGTTGCACTTCCTCACTTGCATCCATAGGTGGAGACATTGCCTTCTCCAGTTTGTCACTGACAACATTATTGAGGGAGCGCTCACTGAAATGAGCAGATTCCTCAGGACAAAAGACAAAATATTTTGACAAGCAGAGAGGAGGCTCATTGTTACCCACATTTTAGAAGTGGGATATCCAGACATTTCCAAACGCTAAAAATTGCTAATACTGCTACACCTCAAACAGGATTTTCCCCTGGAGTAATAATGATTGATTGCATATGACATTAATATTCCTTAACCATACACCTTTTAGTATTTATGGAGGGGTGGGGGGCTAGGTTACGCTCTGGTGGTGCCAGTTCAATAACGGTGTTTGGCAGATGTGCCTCTGTTCTGAAATAGAGAGGTAATGTTTGACATGGGTCTCATCCTGCATGAACTGATGCCTGTTGACAGAGTGACTAAATCCATCCAGCAGACTATTCTGCAGAGGTTATCCCAGAAGGCTAATCAGCAGTGATATGTGTGAAAAGGTGATGAGCCTCTTATGAAATACTAATTGGGATGCATGCAGAAGACCTTGGAAAGCAGGACTGTGAAAAAAACATACTTAGTTTGAGTTTTAAAGAGTTAAAAAAAGAAAACTTGAATTAATCTTTGAACAGCAGTGTAAATATAAGGGTGAAGAGCCAAAGAGTGAGGGATGTTCCGACAGGGAGAGGACATCTGTGCTTAGAGAATTTGAAGGCAAATTGATCTTGACACTCGTGTCCCCTGTATCTCCCTCGTGAGCCAAATCCCCGTTCACATGGTCATCCCTGCAACCCAAGACATCCCCTGTCTCTTTAGATTAAGCAACGTGATAGGGAGAGGCCAGATAATGCTCCAGTCAACTTTCCCTGCCCTTTCCCCTCTCTCTTCAGGCTTTTTATTCCTCTCTTGACCCTCATCAGTTACAAAATCCCTTCAACTAGGATGCTAAAGTAGCAGAAAATATCCCTGCTCCCTCTTGGTTTTCCTCTTTATCTCTTATTGAACTGACAGACTCTATCTGACCGAGAGGACTGACGTGTGTGGGACACTTTGAGGTGAAATGGCGGTGAGGAAGTGCAGCTCATACAGTCTTATCAGCACAAAGGCCATGAAACAACAGGCGCCTAATCTGACTCTGCTGCTGATGAATTGGCGAGATTTCTGCTTAGGAGTAAATTCTGACAAACCCTGAGATAAGTACGCACACACACACACACACACACACACACACACGCTGAGATCTACACACATGGGCAGGGACACACAAATAAACCCAGAGTCCCAGTTTTGGAGGCGTCCTCCCTCTCCTTGTCACTCTGCTCTGCCTGTCATCGTCTTTTACTTTGCTGCAACTTTTGTGATTAATTACATGTTTGGGAGAGGTGTAAGTTAACAGGAGACTCTTACCACAGCAGTCTTCTAACTCTGTGTTCAGCTGTCTTTCTTTACTCTACCTGCAAGCATCTGTGTTCAAGAGTGAGCTAGCAGGACAAGTTTTTGGCTCATCGCTCTCCAGGCCATTACAAGAATGCCGGTATCACCCTGTCTCCCGCTAAAGAGATAAGATTTATGCAATTTTGCCGAGGGGCTGCCTGGTTGGATCTTCTCCTCTCCAAAGTTCTGTGAGTACCCACAATGCTCTGCTTTCGTAAAGGTTTGGCAGCGCTCAGCCATGCCGTGTTATTCTTAAAATACTTAAGATGCTGCTGTTTTTCTCTTCCCTTGCTGAAGTACAGATCAGTGTTCGTAAGCACCTGAACGCAGGAGCACTGACTGAGAAAATGGATCTCATTTTCTCTTTCGGCTCTTTGTTCTGCAGGGGCAACAGTTACCACAGGCAACATTTCATCTGTTGGATCAAACATTACCCTGCCGGCGATAAAGACTCCATTGCAACCCTTGGTGGTGCATCAAAATGTGAATCCAGCGCTGATGCTGCTGTTTGCCTGTGAGATGATCTCAATGCTACGACTGTTATCTGGGAAGAATTTCTCTCAACTCTTCTGCCTCCTCAACATAAATCAGCTTTAGCCTGGTGATAATTCCATCTGCTATAAGTCTTTATTAAACCTTTGCTGTTAGACATTTCTCTTGTTCTTGACATTGTCATTTTCTGTTTTCTCTTTTAAGATAATCTTCAAAACCGCTGGAGAAGATAACGCCTCGCAAGCTCCTGATGGCTGAAGCCAAGATTTTACTGTCAGCATAGAAACCGGCCCATTAACTTCTGAAGCCCTCTTTGGCAAAGCTCCCTCTCCCCTCTATTGCCATCAAAAAGCTATTTCCCTTGGCCAGACCCACACAGCCCTAACAATGAACAGAGGATTAGAACATCTCTCTGTCTTGGAGGGAAAAAAAGCAAGAATGGATTTTAAAAAATCTCTTTTTATCAGTCATTGGTGGGGACAAAAGTTGGCAGCATTTCCTCTACAGGATTTTTCCCGATAGGATTTCCAAGAGGCGGTTTTGCTTTTACGACACCATTCCTGTGCTTGTAATCAGCCAACATGTGGCATTGTGATCCAATCACACAGATTTTCCCCCTTCAGTCACTAAATGGTTAAGTCTCTCAGTCTTTTGTTCAAGAATCTTCAAAATGGCAGGAAAACCACAAGGGAACATTGGTAGATGTTAATTAATTCAACAAACTCTATAAAAATGCTTTATTTCCTGATTCTTGAGATGAAAAATAAAAATCACTCTTTGAATCCAGCAACAGGCGCGTCCAAATCTGTTTCCTCATCTTCAGTCCGAGACAATGAAAAGCTGTTGTTCCTCTGAAAACCATAAATGATTTTTATTGACTCTGCTATGGTTCCAGGAGAAATTCGTCTCTTTCTCTCTCTGGTTTAGGTTTATTGGATTTTTTGTTCTTACCAATCATTTGGGTTTCCATTCAGTAAATTGACGTAAAATGTGTTTTGGTAAAATGATCTTCTCTGGTCTCAGTGACTGTCACTGAATGTGAAAGAAATGGGGAACATGACAGTCTGTGGTAACCCGCTGGAAAGCAACTCAAACATAAAATCAGCCAAGATAAATCACAGATAATACGGTGTAATCTTAAGATTTTTAGAAATTGTTCCAAATCCAGTTAATGGCTTTAAATGTTTTGAGTGCATTTGATCAAACAACTGTTTATACTATTCAAGAAAAAGCTAAATAATCAGTGACTGAGCATGAAAGAGTGGATAACCTTTATTGAAAGAGATCATGACCTAAAAAAATGTGGTCAATGATGGGCAAGCTTCCTCTCAACCAAAGTAGGGTTAAAGCCCATGTACTCCCTCTCTCTCAAACACACACACACACGCACAGGCTCTGAGTTTCACACACTCCGCCTGTGGCAGCACAATCACTGCCAGATGCTATGACTTTCTCTCAGACAATTCATTTCACAAGTATCTTTGAAGGAGCGATGCCGATGGTGGCATTTGGGAGAGACAATCACGTAAGTGTGTGTGCATGTGCGTGTATGTGTTTTGGTGAGTGATGGGGATTTGCCGGTGGCAGTGTGTGTAAAGGACACATATGAGATCAGATAAAGTTGAGACTAATTCCCAGCCTGGCCTGAGGACATTAAGCAGGATAAAGTGAGACATCTTTTCTCACACCATTTAGGCTAAGCCCATGGGGACACATTGTTTATTTCTTGGCTGAACTACATGATTTCAAGCAAAAAAAAAAAAAGTGTTTTTTAAACACAGTTATTTTATGTAGAACATAACCAAGGAAGTTGGACAAAAGTTAGCTTTATTTTGAAAGAAAAAATGCATTAAACCAACCAAATCACATGTTTACCCACATCAAATCGACAATTTGGTGCTTCACACACTGCTGTTCCAATGATTGTGATGTTAACCGTGCAGATTTATAGTGGATGAGACACCCAGAGCCAGCCCTTGGCAGTGCAGGCACAGTGCCCGCCCCAGGGGAGGGGGATGATGGAGAGCAAACAGCTAATAATTAATACCATGATTACACAGGCTGCAACAACACAGGGAGAAAAACCTTAACACATGCAGGCAGGGACCTGACCAAGACTGATAGCAGAGGAGCATCCAAGTACACACACAGATGCACAAATATGCAGACACAGGCGGGCACCCTCTGTACCTGTGACACATACACACAGACAATAAATGCCACCACATCAAACACTGGCTTTTTACGGAGCCCCTGAAAACCCATACAGTACAATTTCAGTGCTGGGAGTACAATACATTGAGCTGTGGGAACAAGTGAATTGTCATGTGCGCACCGTTTTTTTTACCTTGTGGGTGTAAGTTGTTATCTTATACCAGTTATCTTGTATCTCCACAAAATAGTAATCTTATAGAAACAAGTTATTACCTTTAGGGGAAAAGTTCTCAAGTGACCCTTTACAAATGAAAAATGAAATGAATAAAATAAGATAAAATCATACAGGCTTAAAGGTGATGATAATGAAAGCTTGTGTGCACAAGATAATTGTCCAGACAATGAAAATAAATGCATCTGTAAGTAAGTGATTAACAAAGACTGTATAATGAATGGGTGTAGTGTCGGTGGTATCACCCATTTGTTTGTGAAGCTTTGTTCTGAAGCCTGTCAGCAGCAGTTACTATCGTTTCAATATATTACTATCGTTATAATATTGGTAATGATAACTCAAGCTAATGTTTGCGAGAAAGCCTTTAACCTCCTCGTTAACAGTCAAGTCAACCATGCTTTTAATTCGCCAGTCTTGTAACCTCAATATCTCTGAAATGAGCATGTTACAAAAATATTCATCCACAAACAATGGGTGTCATGGGACCCCTTACCTATGAGAGCAAATTCATCTTCGAACCAGGCTTAATGTGTTCATTTGAAATACTAAAATATAATTTACTGGTTTAGTGTGTACGTGGTTTTCACTGCCTCCATAGCCGGCCTCAAGCGGTCACTGGGGGAACTTCAGTTTTTTGCACTTTAACACTAGCTTCCTCTCTCGAGACTGGAGTTTGCCACCTAGTGATTACACAGATAAGAGCAGTCAAACGTTCCGTCCCGCTCACAAAAATAACCACGCCCCCTTGTGGATAAAAGTAGTCACCTGAATAAGAGGTGATAAAAAGAAATTCTTGGTCTTTGGCATTTTTACAACCTGAAATATATTGATATATAATCGGTTAGCAGAATGCTTATTGCATTATGTGTGTCTCAGGGCTCCCCCTTCAGTCACCACTACATTTGATTAGTCCTTTTTACTGCGCATGTGCAGAAAGGATTCAGGAAGACAGCTGCAAAACATAGAAAAACAAACGGCGCGAAAAGAAGAGGAAGAAAGGAAGGAAAGAGACGATAAAAAGAAGTTACTCCAGCGGTGTCAAAAAAGGAAAAAGAAGTAGGACAGCAGAAAGCTGATATCAACAGTACCGAAAATGACTGTTTTTTTCACCGCGGCAGCAGCTACCGCAAGTGAGACGTCGTCCGTCGTGTGGGGATGAGGAACAACTAGTGAGTATTTTTTTTTCCCTATATTTAAAAGTATTCCGTTAAGTTATGCATTAACCCTAAGCTTTGCCCACGGGCATAGCGCCGACGCTGTGTTTTCTATGGCCTTAGTATTGTTACCGTAACTTCAGTAAAGTTTGTCCATCAGAAAAATTGTATCGTGTTGGACAGTTGAGAGTTGTGGGCATGCGCACATGTATGATTCACTACGGTAGTTGTAACCATATGAGGTTGGCATTCGTTGCAAAACACAGGAAGTACAGACAGAGCGCTACACAGCTTCTCAATCAGTACTGTAAATTTCTAGAAAGTTTGCTCAATCTGAAAAATTCCAATGCTGACTGTACGCTGAGTTGCGGTTTTTGGTATTACCAAAACCGCGGTTTTGGTATTACCAAAACCGCAACTTTGACAGGGGCAAGAGAGGAAAGGAGAGTGAAGTAAGACAGAGCAATTAATAGCTGACGATTCCATATAATTCGCAATAATCACTAACCAGATGTTGAAAAGTGAAGCTCAAGTATTTCTAGGAAAAAAGGACCAAAGCTCTCAGTCTTAGGGCATTTTCTGACCCTTATACAGTCATAATAACAAAATATCTCCAAATCGCCATTCATAGCCTTAGTAGGTTACAAAGTATGTAACTTAGAGTACTCAAGTACTCACTTTGCTAAACTAAAATGATCCCTGTCCGTATTATAGCTTTGAATTAATATTGCTTTAATATGCAATATTTATGCTCAGAAATGTATGCACTGTTAGGCAGTTTAAGCAACTTTCATATTTGTAGCATCACTATCTCATGTCTCATCTCTCCTGAGAGATTTAGAGACTTAAAGACAGTTCAGTTAATTTTTTGTAACAGAGATTTTTTTTGTTGCTCTGGAAAAATAAGGGCAAATAAATAACAAATACCAAAATGAAAACACAAACAGACATCGGCATCAGCTATCAGCCTAAACATCGCTATCGCTGCATCCCTAGAATAAAAGGATGCAGAGGGCCCCCAAATTCCTAAGTCCTCCCCTGGTCGCATAAAAGACATAAATGTATAGAGTCTGATTAACCCCGAAGCATTAAACCCAGACCAGTGCTGTGGTTTGGTACGGTCTTGCTCCTTAAATGCTTCCTGGCATTAATTGGATTTGTTATGTGATTGTTTTTGTGTACGTTTTGTCTGCATCTACTTGGGCCAGCTGTAATATACCTAATTAATAGTGCATGTGTTCTGCACTCTAATTAAATCTCATTCATGCTACAGATCAGTTTTCAGAGAAATTCATAAATAAAACAACCCGGAAAAACGACCAAGAAAGAAAGAAAGAAAGAAAGAAATTGGCTCCCTATATTTTCCCTGTATATTCTTTCACTTCACTGTTCAGAGAGCACTAGTCCCCCTTGTGTCAGTTTGGCTACTGCAAGTCTATATCCAACCACTAAACCTTACCTGCAGTGTGTTGAGCTGATACCCAAATTCAAAGGCTAAAAAAGACCTTAAAAACGTGTTAAGACGGCAACAATGCCGCCCAGACCCCCCCTGGGTGTGTGTGGACTTAACCACCCATCCTAAGGCCATTACCTAAACCACACAGTAGGATAACAACATAAAAATGTCACAGTCCCTCTCATTAGCAGTAGGGCCAGGATTCCTATGCTTTGTATATACACATACATAGTCTATGATCGCTTACATATGGACTCCCCTTCATTTTTTAATATAACCGGCATCACGTTACTCCAAGATGAGGTGATCTTAATTTCTCCAAAACCTCAAGTATTTTTCTAAATGTGCTGGACATGTCCGGGATTTCCTATGGTCTGAAGGGATGCAGGGGTGGTGTGTGTTTTCTCTACAGTGTGGCTTCCCGAGCGCCTTTCTTCATAGCGTATATATACCGCATGTGTGTGTCGGATTCAGAGAGGTAAAAAAGACAGGTCATTTGTGAGCGAGATGCCAACCATGGAGCGGCCGCACGGGGCCCCAGACTTGCAGCTCTTGGTCACCACTTCCTCCCCCTCCGTGCCACATTGACTCTGTTTCCATTACCGCAGTGGAAGGAACAATAAAGGGCTGATGTGTGGATGTGTGGTCGACTAGCACAGCTGAGGCCTGGAC